TTATTATTGCTGCCTTTGCTGTAATAATGGTGTTACATAATTAAGCTTAGTGTTTGAAAAGGCGAAATTGGACATCTGTTGCTTCACGAGTGCAAGAAACCGAGCTACATCTGCTCTGAACACTCTCTCTGACTGCCCTGAAATTGCTCAAAGAGGTTTAGAAGCACTGAAATTTAGGCAAGATTGTACTTGAACATAGTGGTAATAAGAACAAGTAAGCAGACAAGAAACTAGAGACAGAATCACACAAACGAGCGTTCATTTCTTGTTTCTATATAGTGTCTCTCGTTTCTTGTCTGCTTATGCACTCTTATTAGCACTGTGCTTAAAGAGACCTTACTGGCTGCTCCGATAGCTTCCTACAAAGGGCACTTTTGTCTGCTCCCAAAACTGCTCCCAAACCCATGTACTCTGTCCCATCCATGCTATAGTGTAAATTATTTCTCTGCAAGCTTTCCTGTAATGTATACAAGCTGCTATGCACCCCATAGAACATAGAACACAAGGGCACTTTTCAACCAACTTATTATGTCTGGGTGGAAATTGTTCATTCTTTGAAGATCTCAATGTGCTCTTGACACACAACAACACATCAACCACGAGAAATCAATAAAAAAAGACAGACCAGCTCCTGATGCTGCTTTTTTTTCTCTGTTTATTTGTAGTAGCATACTTCAAGGGCGATTTATAATAAACATGGAATGCCCTGATTCGCCATCATATCATCTTAGTGCGTTGTGTTTCTGATAATCTTATATACAAGTTCTGTAACAGCAATATGTGTGTGTAAGTGAAAATTACAGCATCTCAGATGGTAGTACCTGATAGCAGCGGTACTACCTCTTAACATATCTGATTGTAGTGTTGTCTGACCGCCATGAATGTAATAGGAGCTTTTTGCTTTTACCTTTTGGTCGAAGCACGTTTAATGTCTGACCATAATAAATTTACTACTAGACTCTCGAAGCATATATTTATTATACTAGTGGGCTTTGCCATAAAGGGCATTGTTTGTTTAAGGGCATCTTGAAAGTGCTGTAGAATGTTAGATCAGAAGGCTAAACTCTAGGAAAAGCACCTTTCTGTTTTTGCCTGGAAGAGATTTCGTATGCCATGAAAGGTTGAAGTGAAGGACAAATGACTGTGCCACTCTAAATTTACTAAGGCAAAATATTGTTGTAATTTCCTAAGCACAGGAGCCATATTGTGGGAAGTACCGTCTCATACTCGCAGCTGTCCTCTAAGATTCAGACTAGCAAAAACTACTACTTCTCTTTATTGCACTGAGACTTTCAAGTGGATTAGTAGTCATCTTTGTCATTGCCCATGTGTAGTAAAGCACAAATAGGGATGTGGCATTACTGTTTATCTAAAGCTAGCATTGTCTTGATTCTTATGGAACAGTGGTCAATAGATGAGTATATACGCAGCTTGTCCGTGTATAAGTCAATCGAGATGATATGTCTTCATGCACAGCATTTGCAATGCCTTTAATACCTGTTAATGACGTTTTAAGTAGCTTGTATTGTCAGCACCGTAGTCTTATTTCATGCAACTAAGACGGATAGGAACCCTTTACGCAGTGATACCACTTCTGCGCCAAATGAGATTTACTGCGCCATTCTGATAATACCAACCAACATTGATCCAAACTAGGCCAAAGCCTGAGTTAAGAGCGTCTATCACTGGCAATAGCCACGCCGGCGTGTGAATACATGTTCATCGTGTTTTTGGGGCCTCCAAAGTTTACTATCACTTACCTATTTTATTACGCTAAATAAAGAGTAGTCGCGCGTATGTCCTGAAATTCTCGATGCTACGTTTGGTGCCGACGCACCTCTGTTGTGTAAGTCCGGCTAGTGGCGAAATGCGCTCTCCGAGGGGGCTCGTGGCGTCTAGTCCAATCAGTAGCGTGAAACTGTGGCGGCAATGTATTGGTGGCTTCAGGAATGCTGTTGATAGTTTGTTGGAAGAGTTGCACTGCATGTATAAAACAATTTTCACTAATAACAGCATGCGGGCCACCAGAATGTCTGTCACGTCTGTCTGGACATTGCGATCTAATTTTTCGTGCTTTGCGCTGCAAGGGAAGACGTAAATGGTGGCAAAACGCTGACACTTTTCCTCTAAGGTACTTTATCCATGGAATATCATACAGAGGGACTGTTTTGTAGTTCCTTCTACCAGAACATCCGCGTTTATATTCGGTGTACAGATTAAAGCCCCTAAAGACCCTACTCTTTCGAACTCAAGGTTGCCAGTGTACGAACTGGAAATTTTCGCATGCTTTTTTTTAATTGTCATCTCATTATTGAAAGCATGCCTCCTGGTAGGAGCAGCAGCGACTCGGTTTTAATACACGCAGCTATATTTATGCCATCGCTTGCGGCTCTGATGTCGGAAGGCCTGTGAATCGGCTACACCTTGTTACACGTCCACCTCTCACTTTCCAGTGTCAATGGCTTACGATAAAAAACAAGAACATTGCGACATCGCATTCATTGTTTAGTTTCGAAGGGAGAAATGGGGGGGGGGGGTGAGGCTGCTGCATCGCTTGAAGGTTGCAGTAGCTGGCACGCACTATCTCGAGGCATAATGAGACGACTCGTTAACTTTCTGCTCCTTCGTGTTAAGATAACTGACACTACGAAAGCTTCGGCAACTAGTAGAGTGATCATTGTCCCCTTAGCCAGTGTTCTTTTGAGTTACGCGATATCGGATCTAAAACATACAATTTCTTAGTTTAACTTACACACATAGCAATGAATGTAACACACACAAATTGTATTGTTATACCAAATAGTAAGGCTTCACCTCACCTGTGAGAAGTGCCAGAGGCAGGGGTGCCATTTACAAGGTCCGCGCAGTCGCAAAAACTTGCTGCTCGTACGGTGTTCGATATCTGCGACCTGGGTGTTTAGAGAGCCCCAAAACATCTATTGCACATCCATGCACGTACAGATGGAATCTGATATCTCCAGAGTGCCCAGCCGGCTGCTCTAGCTGGTGTTCTTTTTTTTTTTGAAATATGTAAAGAGAGAAACCGTAATGCTACCAAACATAGTCGTACCACAAGTTAGGCCCTTGTGCTGTAATGTGAGCGTCAACGGAAGTTTGTAGCTAACGTGAGGTAGAGGCCTCGGTCAACAACAGTGTCGTCAGGCCCGTGCTCCGCTGCTCTAGACCAGTGTCATTCTATCTGTACAGCATGAACGGCAATCACGAATGGACCTCCAAAAGTGCGCGACAGTAGTGTGGCTGCCTTGTGATCAAGGCTCACTGCTTACCGTTACATGGCCGCTTAAGAAACCGGAGCACTTTTCGCACAGCCTGTTCGCATTAAATAGACAAGTTAGAAGGGTATACCAGCCTTACATAGGGCGTGCTAATTATTTAAATGACACTTATAACAGACTGCGTCAGGTTCTTGTTCCAAATTTAGACTAGTTTGTTTCTTGGGCAGGCTTGCTAGGTGTGGACATTCTTTTTGGTGGCTTGACAGCCTGAATGAGCACCGTGTTTAAAATTTGCATTTCAGTACTTCGTTTCGGTGCGAAACGGCACAATTAACAGGTGTTTCAAGCCCTGGTTTCTTGTTTAACTAGTTGAAAAATCTTTCTCTTAATCGAACATTGGGTCGAATGTTAGTAGCATTAAACTGCTTTATGGCATCATTTGTGAGACTATCAGAAAGATGAAGTAGCTTTAAGAGCTAATTTTCAGCATTGTTCATTTGCAGTTCTAGGTAGTAGGAGGTCACCCGTACTCTTCATTTAAATGGGCTTTGCAATGGACCTAAAGTAAACTTGTAAAACAGAAGTGATGAAGACTGGTGGAAAATGCGTTAGTAGAACGTATTTTAAAACAATAATAATTAAACTATTCAAATAGGTTGATTACTAATGGTGAAGGTTTCTTTTTTTTCTGTATGTTGAAACCTCTGTGCCCATACTGAAAGGACTCATGGTGGACTACATATTTTTTTGTCTTTGCATAGGAAGTGTTTATATTTTGGGGCAGTGTGCCTCACATATAATTGCGTAGTTCTTTTTCAATGCTAACAAAGGGACACATTTGTTGCCATGGGCAAGCTGGATTCAGCCAAGAATATGAGTAAAAAGTGGTCAAGGCTCGACATCAGTATTTTTCGTTTTTCTAAAAAGGTCAAATGAACTGCTTTTGCATTCATGCTCTGCCATGCTTCTGGTAAATGGTAGTATGCAATTGCAGGCACCAAAACATGGGCAGCAGGTGCATTTAATCATAATTTTGCTGGTAATGGTAAGAATTGCAGATTGTAGCAAGGCACAGAAAAGGTTAGTGATGTACATTATCTAGTCTCATTTTGCCCAAGAGTTGGATATACACAGACTGCTTTTGTGATTGTGTCACAGAAATGTGATTTTGTTAGGCAATACATACACATGCCAGCATTTGATGATAACGCTAGCGTAGAGCCACTAAGCACACTTAACTACACAATATCAGTCCTCCCCATTGGCTTGCTTCTTAAGGTTCCAAAAATATGACAAAAATGGTCAAGACTTGCCGAAAGTATTTTTCATTGTTCTAAAAATTCCAAATGAACTGTTTCTGTATTGGTGTTCTGCGATGCTCCTGGTGAAAGGCAGTATGCAATTGCAGGAAAAAAAACATGGGCATAAATGAAACAATGAGAACGGTGTCACTTTTAGCATTTTCAGCCTATAATGGCAAACAATGCATGACCTTGTTTTTGTTCAGACTCAAAAAGCAGACAACAATCGACTCAACTTCGTTAAATATTACATGCTCATGTAATGTTGAGAAGGTTCGTATAGTAAGAGAGGGAGCTTGTTGGTTTGGGTTGAATTTTATTTATACACATTGTAATGTCATCCTTCTCCGAATGACTCCAACTGGCTTGCCCTGTAAAAGAATGATCAGAACCTCACTTGCTTACAATAGAAATATACAACAAAATTATCAAAGATTTATTCTGTTGTATACCTCGTGTAGCATTGGCGAAACCTAAGCGATCCGTCTACTGGAAAGAATAGCTGAGATTTGGTGCACCTCCAGCCCATTGCGTGATGAACTTCAAGACATCTTGACATTCTGCACTGCGTGAAAGCTGCAAATGGTAGATGGAAAGAAAGATCGACATAAAACATATTGTATTGGCCATAGTTTAAATAACTGATAAGAGTGAGTGTCATTTGACAACGTTGAAGCCCAGTCAAACAAAAAGAGGAGGGTAACCAAGAGCATGCTGGGAATTTGACTTCTAGCAAGGGATCATGTAACATGATAGGGAAGAGGTTTGCCACAGTCCCAGTGCACACGTGTCTATGCGGCGTGCGACCGTGCCATAGACTTTGAATACAATGTACCTGTGCTTGTGTGTGTGACACTTCAGCGCCTCTAAAGCACCTCTCGTAATTTTTTATAGGGGAATAGTTGTAGCTTAGTATACAATGTGGGACAGCGTCCACAAACGAATGGGTATGTGTCGTAGGTAAAAAGTACCTTCATTCTCCAAAAATATGATATACAGATTTATGCCCCATAATTTGTGGGAACACCGTACTCGCAACTACCGTGTTACCTGTAATAAAATTTGTGGCTGCGCCCAAAAACTATCATCATCATCAAGAGTTATGTGCAACAAACCTTAGTCAAATCTCACTCCACACGGCTATTGCAGGGCCTGTAATGACCCTGAGATTGTGTACAGAGAAAGGAAAAAAGCAAGCATCAAGTTGTCTAGCAACAAGATTCCACACCACCCAGCCAAGCCGAGCATGCCTGACAAGCCACATACAACGAAAGATACTTTACGTACATCATGCTTACAGCGCATAGCCCGCCTGCACCTGATCGTGCTATGAAAGTCATGGGGCATTCTGAGAAAGGATGTACTCCCAAGGAGGAAGCCACACATCTCCAAAACTAGATGTGTCGATTGATGGGGAGTACGAGTGATAATCGGCCAGTGCTTTGCTGTGCCAAGCTTTGCACGACTTATTGTAAACTGCCCACATTTTTTTAACATTTAGGTTCGGGGATTCAGTTCAGAATGTCATTACAATGAAAAGTATTGTAAACTGCCGACATTTTTATAGCACCTAAAGTGTTGGGCATTGAGTTGAGAATGTCATCACAATGAACTGTGCCAGAAACGGCAGTATTATGAGCCATGGGCATACTGTTGGCCATTGTGTCAACGCTTGTGTCTTGTCATGTCATGCACAAAAGTAACCCCTTTAACTGCTTCCAGGTATGTGCGCTCTTCCTCCTTGCATGACTGAGAATAAAGACGAGTCGATGAACTGAGCATAAGGAAAGAAAAAAAAAGCAAGTGAGGGCTGCTTTCATATTCTCAAATGTGTGTAATTCACTGTTATGGCACTGTTTCAAATAATTCTCGCGGCTACACGTTTGTTGAAGAATCATGCACAACTGCAAAACCACACTAAATGTCAACCATTGGGTGGTGTAGAGTCCCTTTAAAGTCAAACGAGCCCCTAAACTTGCTTGAGCAAACAGACATGCCCTGAGAGCATGTGTGTCTGGTGCCTTTGCATTAGTGGTAGGTCATGAAAATGGCAAAAAAAATCACAGAAATATCTTTGCTTCAAATGAACAAATTATTGGAAGAACATGGGGTACAATATATAGCAAGTAGTGCATTCTAATACCGCCTTGCACAACACTGCTTCGCTCGTCATTTTTTGTCAGTTCCTTCATTGATATAGCCCCTTGGCAGTTGTAAGCGCACAGCTAACTTTGCAGGTTGAAGTGATCAAAGGGCATGCATATATCGAGCCTGAGAACAGAAGGCTTAAATGTAGCATTAAGAAATTGAGTGGCATGGGGAAACGTATCTTCCTCTGGAGTCCTCAAAGCGAACGCGCTTTGCATTCTGTTTCCAGGATATTTACTGCTCAATGCACACATTTCCACAGGCCGAGGAGCGAATCTAGTCAAAGCAGGCCATCATGCAAAACCTGAATTTTTATTGCCGTGCTCCCTCCTATTTATATTTATTTTCCTCCATGCTGGGCATCAAAAGACTGTGTGGCCTGTCAGTGTTTATGTAATGTACCCACTGTAACGTACCCACAAGATTTTCAGCATTCCCTGTCACTGTCAATTGCTTATTGCCTCACTATCACTGTCTGTTGGCTCCCATTTAAGTTAAGATTGCCATATGTGGCGAGCCGTTAGTGCTCAGGTGCAGTACTTGAGTCAGTGCTCCTTCACATGGAGTATCTTGGTAGTGTCTTGAAACAGCTATATACTAAGCCTATGTGGAGTTTTTCATTTCTGTGTCCATCACTTCATTGTCACTTGTTTAACTTTATCATTAAACGGGGGTGGGTCAAGACGAACAGCCTGTATGGAAGCACAGTGCCAAGAAAGTCAAAATGTCTGAATTGGCGAGTTGGTGATTCATAATTGCTTGAAATACAAGCGCGTAGGATGAAAAAGTATGACTAAGATATGGACAGTGTCTTAGTTGTTCTTGTCCACGATACACGCCCACATTTTAAGTTAACAAGGTGCTATTCTTGTAGAATACAAGGACAGCAAAATAACTGCATCGTGCATTGTATGGACATTGCTAATGTCACTTTGTAGAATCAAGGTTGAAAGATTTTTAAAATAATTAAAATACCAATGCGAAAATGATAACACACGCAGGAGGAAGAGTGGACAGGCTGGGTGTGTCCATTTTGGCCCTCAAGGATTGTTACTCACTTTTGTAGCCAACAGGAATTTGTTCCAGTCGTCCTTGTTGCAGACTATTCCTGGTTTTTGAAACTGGACCTTGTTTTCAAGCACAGGATACCCTGAAATAGTTAACAGCTGATGTTCTGGCTAGTGCAGCATGTACTCTGTTATGAAGAGTGATGAGTGGTTTAAAAAAAGCACTAAACAGAAAATGATTTCACCTGCGCTAGTTATCATTGCCTTTCTATCAGAACTATCAGTCTTGTTATGTGGTTAATACAATCTTCACAAGGGAAAGTAGCAAAGATGCTATTAAACTTGTATGATGAACAGATTTTTTAGCAATATTCTTTTACTACTATATAATTTTTAAAATCATTGTAACTTGTTATGTTTGATGCAGTTGCCCTTGGGTGATTTTGACACTTTTCCTCATGCCATTGAGCTTTCTCCTACAAGGAGGCTCATTGTTGTAAAGGTGCAAACCATGGCTGTCATTTTATTTTTAGACATATGGTTTGTATTTTTATTCGCACAAGAATCAAACTGGGCTTTAATTTGAATTTTAAAAAAACGATCATGGTTCTATTTCATTGTTCTATTTATTCTTTTTTTGGATTGGTTGAGTAGCTTGGGCCAAATTTTGTAGTCTCGCGCAGCTGAGAGATATTGAACACAGGTACCTATACTAAAATATTGTCAGCCTCTAAAAGTTGAATGTGCTATACCTAACTGTCCAGTAATTAAATGTATGATGTTCTAAGGCTAAATCTCAAAGGGGGACACGTGCAAGGGTGTCTCCCAGCCAGAACACAAAGGAGTCAGGGCCCTCCTGACGACCTCCCCCCCATAATTTACGCAAAAGGCCAGTAGTGCACCGCATGGACCATTCCTCGTAAGTACCGGAGACACTGTCCTAGTGAACGCATACGTGCTTTAGCACCGAGTCCATAGATTGTGAAGATGGTGCACAGCAAGGTCTATATTAGAACATCATAAGGTAGCACGCTATAAAATTATAGATAGGTCTGCGAGTTTAACAACGATAACTGTGATTCTTTGACGTACTGGGACCTTTTCGTTCTGCTTCCATCGAAATGCTTGCCGCCGCACTCGGGATTTGATTCCGCGTCATTCGAGTGAGCTACCACCGCGTTGGGTAAATTCAACCACCTTATGGATATGCTCGGGCATTGTTTTGTATGTGTGCGTGTTTTATTTAATTTTATTTACAGAAATACTGCCGGCCACAGGGTCCATGCAAGAGGGTAAAGTAAAAAAAAATGTCAAAACATTGCAAAACAAGGAAAATAACAAGCTATATTACTAACACAAGTTAAAAGAAATGAAAGTAATACAGATGTCGAAAAGTCAATACAAATAATTGTGTGTGAATATAGTAACAGTCCAAAAAAGTTTCAAGTGACTGAAATAGAAGTCATTCTTTGAACACTGGGAAAAGGCACTGTTTACCAAGTAACCTATGAGGAGGAAATCGACTGTGCTAAGGACAATAGTTGGGCATGAGACAGATCATTCCAATCGGCAATCGTTCGCGGAAAGAATGGCTATTTAAACAGATTTGTTCTCATAAAATAAAGAGGTAAAGAAAGCGCATGTGTGTGACTAGTACAACTTGTGATGTAAGCGGAGATAAGTGTGGTGTTGGGTTGAACCTGAGTTTCTGATTACGCAAGGAATAAATAACTTTAGGTGTTCATCCGGACCACAATGAATAAAAAAACCTGTTGGGATTCTATAACTGACGTAACAGAAAACTGGGGACCATATAAACAAAAAATAAATGGCACAGCCTTTCGCTGGATTTCTCAACCGTCTCAATGTTGACGTTTGTGTACGGGTTCCTTATTATAGAAGCGTATTCAAGCTTAGGCCGAATCAGATGTTCATAAGCAAGGCGTTTAACATGTGGTGGTGAATTTTTAAGCTTGTGCCGTATAAAGCAAAGCTTGGGAAGAGTAGCACAACGTGTGTTGGCAATATGGATGGTCCAACTTGAGTTATTTGTTAGACTGACACATACGTACTTATATTCGCAGACCTCAGTGAACGACTTAGTAACAATGAAATATGAAAAGTTAAGGGGATGAAGTCTCTTTCTGACACAAATACAGAGTATTAAGCTCCGTACCCCTTTCATCACACCATGTAAGGATTTTACTGAAGGCTACGGAAAGCGCGAGTTTATCGTCTGTGAATTGAATATCGTGGTATAATACGCAATCATCTGCAAATAAACCTATCTTTATTGGTTCCTTGGTAAGTGAAACTAAGTCGTTTATGTAAATTAAAAACAAAAGTGGCCCTATTACCTGGCCTGAGGCGGACATCTGGGCACGTTGGTCGTTTGTGAATTGTGAATGGTAAAAGCACACTAAAGATGGTGTGTGTGTGTGTGTGTGTGTGTGTGTGTGTGTGTGTGTGTGTGTGTGTGTGTGTGTGTGTGTCTTGCGCGCGTGTACTTTTGTCGTTCATAAACATGTCAACATGCAAAACTTTGAAATTTTGGTCGAGGGGGCCGTATGTATAGATACCCCCACAAAAATTTCGCATTTCAGGGGCTAGAGCTCGGAAAGCTTCAAGGGGGATTAATGCAATAAGGGTGATGCGAGTGATTAGAGGCGAAAATTAGTTCATAACGTGAATGGAACATAAATTCGGTTTAATAAAAGGGAAGCAAAGGTGCATCACATGTGAAGTAATTTAACATGAATGCAATATTAGGAAGTGAAGTAAAGGAAGATGAAATGTAAACACCTCGATAGCCAAATCTCAACATGTTGAACCAGTGGATATATCTGGGCATTAGAACGTGTAGAGTATGGGAAATAACGATGCAATCGACCTAGAACGACACAGCAATTGAAAAAGTGAGCATGCGCTTTGTCTTTGCTTTCCTTAGCTTTCGCCAAATAGACTTATTTTCTTGTGGCATCAATGTGCGTGACTATTTCTCCTCGATGCTCTCACATTCTGGAGCCATGCTTCCTGGTCACACGCACCACATCTACGCTTGCAGCACGGGATTTGGTGTCGCACCACAGCTGTGCAGGAAAACTATATAATGTCGCATTAAACCGTTTTCTGTAATCTGTGTGCGCCTGGCCCCCCCCCTCTCTCTCTCTCTCTCTTTCTCTCTCTCACTCTTCGCACTCTGTTACGTTTGGCCCGGCAGTTCATCTTAACAGACGCCATTGCGCGTGTTCCGGTCTGATAGAAAGCTTTCTCCCCGATATCGGCTTTCGGTCGGAAGCGAAAAGCACGACGCTGTTCTGCAAGTTGGCCAGGCACGAGGAACTCGATGGAAGCTTTGCCAACAACCCTTCGTTGAGTGGGGTCGAAAAGCGTGAGACGGCGTCACTGTTGCAGTTATTATGAAGTCAACCTTTCCACACAGCCATTGTCACCTATACACGAGGTCGTGACAAAGGACAACAGTTCGGAAGCATGAGAAGGCGTCGCAGTCGCAGTTCTAAGGGATCAAGCACCTGGCCGGCTGAGTTCGAGAAACTTCTGGAAACACTGTAGAAGAACGCAGCCATATACCCCGGCTGACGTTCGTGTCAGCGGCCATCTTCTTCCCAGAGGAGCTCGACTTTCCTTCTCCACCATCTCTACCCCTTCGCACTGCGAAGTCTTTGAGGCGTGGGCCGGGTGTCGCATTGTGAGTTGCGCTCGTGTTACCCATTGGAAATTTGCGCCCATGTTCCTCAACAGCCGAGTGGTCATATATCTATCTAGACCGTTTCTGATGCATGGATCACTGAGACTTAACTTCACATGATTTGTGGCAACTGAGGTAACTGCCTTCTTCAGACTGTCGTGCAAGCAATCGACGGGTTATAAAAACTGAGGACATTTTGTACATAAAACTGAATCTCTGTACCGTTCCATCTTTCTCATCCTGTAGATAAACCTTCGTTCTATCTCTAAGAACGTGTCTGCTCACTGGCGAGCATGACTATGCGGACGACGGTGGGGAGCCATCTACCGTAAAGAAACTCGCCGAACCTGACATCGACCTCACACCCCTTACAACTGGTGGCAGCGGCGGGATGCCATCCACCTCGACTCTTCACAGTTGCCTCGCAGTCGCCCTAACGGACGTATATTTCTCTGCCTTTGCCACATAACCATGTAACAGGCTAAATATTCGGCCTCAGTTTGGCAAATATTTTTCTATTAACAAGTTTATCAATCAAATGTGTGCGTTATGTCGTGTTCATTTTGTATATGATGAGGTTATTTAAAGATGTGTCCATTTGTATGCTATTGTATATGTAGGAAAATATTGAGCACGTACCGGTTATAAGACATGCCGAGGCGCGAAAAGTGCCCTTGGGGCCCTCGAGTGATGCCTCGTAGAACCCTTGTTCATCCATGGGCAGCGCCTGCTCTACGCTCTGATTCATGCTGATGGCCAGAACCCATTCCTTGACCTCCTCGTGTTGTGCCTCCTGCGGAGTGTCTCAATAAATGCGCGCTCCGGGCACGATGATCACCGAAGCCATTGCCATTTTCTTTGAATCTTTTATATCTTTTAGTACCCTATATACCATATCCCGCACACGACCATATGACTTCACGCAGGGCTCCCTTCATCTTTTATTCCATCTGCTGTGGGCTAATTGCCACTCAGTTCCAAAATATTAAGGTCTGCACCTATCGGTGCTACTATGTATATAGGGGTAGCCATGGTAGCAGTGGCGTGGCATATATTTTTTTCACAGTTTTCAGTTACAATATCAATCCTTAGCAGAAAGAATTGAGGGTGTAGAATTACGCTAGCTGGTTTACTAGAGATAGGTGAATGGCATTCGGGTAGCCCGCAAGCCACGGGCCGGGCTCGGGTGGGTCGACGTGCTCTCATTGCGGGGGCCAGGCGCAGGCTACACAGATTTTTGTTGGGCCAGCCATGCCAGATGCAAACCCCAAATTGAGCCTAATTATCTGACGTTGTGCCAGAACTGTTTTCCACCGCGTAGCGCCTTGTCCTCAACCAACCCCCCCCCCTCCCCCCGTTCTCCTTTCCTTTGGCAACACAAGGGGAGAAGGTGAAGTCACGTGTTTGTGACTATCTATACACAGACTACTTCCTTTTCCTATATCTGAGGTACTATACTTCTTGAATAACAAATGGTGTAAATATTAGAAGTTTAGTATGCTTTCGAAAAATTTGTTTGCACTCCGGCTACCAGTGCAAGCAGCAAACGGAGCTTATTGTGAGGGTGGGATATGGGACGCAAGATCACTGCACTTCACTGAAGCCCGAAACATTGGGCAGCTCATTTTTACTCGTTATTCGTGCAGCGCTGAAACAGCGGGAAGCTGAAAGGATCACGTTGGCTTTCGGTAAATTTAATTATGTAAGCTTTACACAACGAAATCTAGAACGGTAACCTCTTCCTTGAGTCTGTGCATCAGTACCAAAGAAGCCGGGGCATTCGCCATGAACTGAATGGCATGATATCGCTCCTTGCCAAATATGATTTGTTATGTGGAGTAAATTCTGCGCTATGTCACTACTAAATGCAACGGTGTTCGTCCACACTATTGCTAATGTGCCTGTTAATGATGAACGGTCAAACATAATGTACATTGCAAATAATATGTATCGTAGACAGATCAAGCAAAAAAGAAAGAAATGGCGAAACTTAGTGTCAAACAATGAACTGTCACTCATTCGCTTTTGCTTCCGGCTAAGTAACAATTATTTTCATGAGGCTTGTAAGAAAACTGAACCTCCCCATTAGGGGTGCAAAGTCTGAAAGAAAGAAGAGCTGGACGGCTTTCCTTGTATTTCTTTCTTTCTCTCTTTTTTGTCTCCATTTCTTTCTGTCTCTTTCTCTCCGTTAGTTTTGCTAACTTTGTCTTCTTCTCTATCTCTATCTTTCTTATCTTCATGTATCTGTTTGTTTCTCTTCCTCTGTCTTCCATTTATCTGTTCTGTGCTCCGTTTTTTTTTGTTGATGGCTCACAAATTGTAGAAACGTTTACAATACATATACATCGTATCAATCTGAATGGTTGTGCTGGCCACAAGCCTTATTAACCACTATTTTACTAAGCGATACAAAAAAAATGTGCTCTAACTATCTTAATTTCTCGATTATACGTCGCCAAGAGCCAACTGCCTTTACACGCTCCGTTTAATGCATAAAGTGCAACGCTGTGGAAGTTCGGTCAGCAAAATGTGTGATTGCGCGCGTCTCGTGCTTGTCTTCCGTCATTGTAAACGCCTGCGCAAGCTGAGCATAGGGTGGCGCATGATGCGTCGCGACGCACAGCTGATATAACACCAAAAAACGAAAACAAAGAAACGCCAAACGGTTCAGAACGACTTATTGGTAAAGATATCACGGGGTTTGTTTACATGTGAGGCACAAAGCACAGGCTAAAGAGAAAGAGAAACCATCTTAGGGATGGTAAAGTCATCAGACTATTTCTTGGTGCGAATGCATTTCCTGTAAGAAGCCTTGACAGCCTCCGCAGCGTTGTACTTGAAATATTAAGCTGAGTATAGTCAATCACGAGATGAAAAAGATGAAGAGAGTGCGCATCGGCGAAGTTATTGCATTCCATGCGCTAGGTGCAACTGTGCCAGCTGGGTGATAGGCGACGCGAGATGCCATATTTAGTAGAGGTCGTTCAGGATGATGATAGTTTTGTAATAACATGAAACAGCTGCACTGAGACCTTAAATCCGCTGGTAAAACTAGACATGTATACTCTCTAGAGCCACCTACCAGACTGAAGTAAAAATATTCTGTGATTCGTTGACAAGCACAACACTTACATCGAGGAACATCTTCTCTGGAAGAGGAATTTCGAATGGGATGTCGGTGTTCTGGAAGTCTGAATGGTCCAACGTGTCCAGTGACCCTTCCTCGATTGCCTGAGAATGTAAAGTAAAGAAACGGTAACAGCTTTTTTTTTCTTCTATTGATGTGGATCTTTTATAGTTACATTTCTTTGAATCATTCATTTAAGGACTGTTATTAACTGCTGCAAATGAATAAGTGAAATGAACTTTATTTGGACCAGGCTCTTTGTACTTGAGCACTAAGGAGGGTAGCCTCCAATTTAAATTTGTTGAGCCACAGTAAAAAGATCTTCGTTCAGGGATGAAACAACCCCTTCTGGTCGCTGTAGCAGAAAGAAACACTCGTGATGAAAAATTCGAAAAATATACTATGTCTATCGGTCGCTAGAAAATGCTTAGATATTTTTGTGTATGTTTTCAAAAGAAGCGCACGTGAAATTCACTTTCCGAGCTCATTCGGCGTTCAAACTCCATAGGTCTGAAACTTGTTGAGAGATTAACTGTTGTCTTTCAATACCATGGCCATAAAGGGGGCATAATGTCTTGTCTGCCCCATACCTTTACAGGGATATACAGGGCAGGGACGTCGGCAGAATTTTTTTGTAGGGGGGGGGGGGGCACCTTGATGATTTTGAGTGAGAACCGGGCAGGCAGATGTAGATTTCGTGCTCTATATGCCATAGCAAAAATAAGTCGGGGGGGGGGGGGGGCGGTGTGCTACTCTCTGGTTGCGCCACCTATCCAGGGATATGGCCACGCCGGTTTTTGATCATGGTAATAATGAAGGCCGAGGATCAATCTGTGACGTTGCATTCATAAACTGCTGAATTCGCACCTTTACCACCGGAACAGTGGGAAACTCGCCATCGTTTCTTTTTCCCGTTGGCAGCCATTGCAATGCTTGTTTTCTTGTGACTAGACCAACAGGTTGGGGGGAGGGGGAGCTGCGATAAAACTTGGCACCCCCCATTGAAGAACCCTGCGCACGCTTTATGACTGTAGGTTGTATTAAGTGCTCTGCAATGCTTCTTAGTTGGTATGACGCACGTGGCATGTCATAGTGTCAGAAAACAAACATGAACGATCGACTACAGCAGTACCTTTATACTCACGCTTTGTAGTGCATGCGTGCATCCTTATATTGCTCGACCTTGGTCAACGTACCTCACAAATGTCCAGGTAGTGGTTCCAGAAAACGAAAGCCATTGCCTCTTTATTCCTCGTCTGAAAGAGTAAAAGGAAAAAAATACATGGTCCCTCCATCATGGGAAGCGCTGTATTACGAAAATAAAACGTGCGCTTAATAAAGTAGTTTACTGTATATTTGCTTCATATTGATATAAGAAAGCATGCACATTCTATATTGGTGTTTGGCAGCTACAGCACCGTTTAACGTAGGTGTGCCCATGTATGTTGATGCTTAATGGTAGTATACACCTTTATCCCGACTTCTAACGGTCATGATGAACAATCAAACAAACCTTTCTAGTAGCTGTAGCGTACAAGAACATAGTAATATGGTTACTGCATTACTCTATGGCTGTAGTAGTTCACGATAAGAGCGTAATCAGAAAAGGGGGTGTGAAAGCCAGAGGAGCGTCGCTAATCGAACGCAGAACTTGGGCTAAGATCGCCATCCCGTGACTTGTCATATAATTATTGAACACTACTGTCACACTAGAGCGAAACGCAATGCGCGTCTCGTCTGCCCTGTAGCCCGGCTGCGATTTTGCTCATGGAAAGCGTAAGCGGAGAACGCGGTGTTACAGCCAGGCGAGCCAGGTGTGCGTCGCATAGCTATCTTTTGGCATACATGGATGCCTGAGCAAGGCCAACGCTTGGTCTATGGCCACACTTTCGAGTTGTGACTAGGCGTTGACGAAATTAACTTCTCCTAATGGATACGCGCCGAATGAGACGAACTCATAGCAACGACGTGTCACAGGATTTCATCCAGGAGGCTACGGTAATGATGCATTGCTTAATTTTATCGCTAACAGAGGGCGGTAGCTCCCCGTCGACCAAGAGCGCTGGGAGAAGAAAGTGTGAGATATGTAAAGGCCCCTTAGTAAAGCCTTCAAAGCGTGTAACCATGGTGCTGTGGACAGTGTGCCCTGCATCAGTTCTTGTACACTGAGGGGTCGTGGGTGTTACTCCAGTTGACAAAACTTGTTTTGACCATCTGATCGTGTACGCATTTTCCAAGTCATTTCTAAGGCGAAAATTATGACTGAAGTCTTAATTGATCCCGACATAAAAAAACACTTTCGCGTTAAAAGCTTCATTTGCGCTCGGCTCTCACAAATGAGTGCTTCAGAAAGCGCGAGCCTCCGAATTATAGCGGCGGCGACAATACCGGGTGCCGTTCGGGTACGACAGGATTTGCTCGCTAGATTTCGTGCCGACCAATTGTGCCCTCGCGATCTCCGACGACAGCGTAGCTCTGGCCGTCTGGGCTGGCCCTACGCCATCTCCTGACGCCGGTCTACGACGACAGCGTAGCTCTGGCCGAGTGGGCTCGCCCTACGCCATCTCCTAACGCCGACAAGAGCTCTCGTCGAGTGGTGCCCCGTCCTCGGATTCCTGCGACCGTTTCCATCTTTCCTATCTCCTCTTTACTTCCGTCGTTCAATGTCCCTGCGCCTCACTCTCTTCTTCCTCTCTCTCCCTATCTCTATACCTTTTAATCATATCCTTTTAAATCCTCCGTTACCCCCACACCTCCTGAACTATACTGTTCAGGTGTCCCCACCCTGAGAGACAGTTTCGGGGCTCACTATTCTCTTCTTTTCACTCAAGATCACTCCCCCCCCCCCCCGCCGGGTGCGACAGAAGCCGGCGCAACGAAGAAACAAACATCAAAAGACGCCGAACGCGCGCCTTTTCTCCCCTTCGAAGGCGCCGTAGCCACACGAACAACCTCCTCGCATCTATTGGTGAGCGAACTTGAGAACATCTCGAAGGAACGTCGTGCTGCAGAGTTGGTAACGTTACGAGAGAGTTTCCACCCTTTCCACAGCATTGACTGTGTGGTGAGCCGACGAAACGCCTAGAAATTTCAGGAATACACCAGCTGGTGCACATAAGCAAGCAGTGGAGGGAGTCGCATCAGGAGATGAAGAGAGTTTTCCACCAGCGTTCGAAGGCTTGTCTTACAAGTAGGAGTTCAGTGTGTGTTTACCGACCGTGAGCAAAGACGTGTTCTGCAGTCGCAGCACGTGAGTGGCTGGTGTGTTACCGGCGAAGAAGCCTTGTTATTGAAGTGCGGTCAGTTGTCGACGCGAGGGTTTCCTGGAAAAGAAACCTCGGACGCAGCGGGAAGACGACCGGCGCTGGTTTTTTAGCGAATGCTTCCTTGGAAAGAAGCATTCAAGATTTCTTTTAATTACTTTGGGCTGAATACGTTTGCAGACATTCTAGTACATAAGCGTGCTTGGTTAGTTAATGCATGAGATTGCATTGTAGTGCGTGTTGTTGTTTGTGCCCGTTGCTGCTTTAGGTGTATTCGAATATCGTGGAATTGGTGTTGTATTGTACTTGATAACTGCAGAGTGGGCTTGTTTGTGTGTTGTTTGATCTGGCTTATCTGATATTATATTTTTGTTTTGTTATAAACTCTCGTCTCTACTTCGTTCTTTTAACCACAGCCGGCGTTCTATAGCGCACCAAAAGGTCCAATTTTAAATTGTACGTGGTTTTGTGGTGCGTTTTGAGGGGCCGATACGTCCATCCTTGGAATCAACCCGGCGATTGCCTCCCTATTAACGTGACTAGTGACACCCGCCTGGCTGTGGTAGCTCCTACTTTCAGTAGCTCATGATAGTCTAAAAGAGATGACCAACTCGTCTTTTATTGGACATTTCATGCATGGGGGAAAAGTTTCTACAGAACTGATTTGCATTATTCAGCATTTCTTTGAGTAAGAATGAAATCCCCACACTTCCTTCCTTCAGCCTAGTGCTGAGTCCTGGCGATGGAGCAAAGACGTCGGGAAGGCGTTGGTCCCGAGTCAGTTATTCAGACTGGGATAAATTTCTTTTACTGAGAACTGCTTTTTTTAAAGCCATTATGAGTTTCTGATAAATGATGAATGATCCCCTATAGACGCCAGACTCTGCCCAGGTGGCGCGGCGAAAAACGCCGCCACCAGCACCCTCATCGCCGCACCGGCCCTAAATGGGTAGCGAACGTGCATAAGCCTCCTGTTTCGTTGGTCTTGAGGCACGGTTTTTTTTTCAAAATCAAGAACCCGGTAAGCTTCTTACGTCAATCCGACCTCTCTTCAGAAAAGTAGGAAGCTCATCAAAGCGAACTGGGGGCACACCGCAAAAGATGTTTCAGATATTTCGATGAGCTGAAATTTGAGTGCAAGCGAGCATGACATCGAGTTCGAGGCAATCGCTCCGACGTGCGTTATTTAACTCCTAAATGTGTTAAACTTTGGCATACGCGTGAAGCCAAAGCGATGAAGTACATGCACGAGCAATCTACCTTACGGTTAGTGGTATGTGAAGCTCGCTTTATCCGGCACCAATTACCCTGACGACTTTCGTCTTCGCAGTTGCATTCTCTGTCAATCTCTCGCTTCCTGTGCGTTGAACTATAGCTAAAAAATTCTGTTGATGGTTGCCTTCTGTTTGTATATACTGCTAATGGGGATACATGAGTGTCCGCTTTCTCAGTGAACAACGAAATGCACTGGCGAAAGGCATCTCCGAGATTGCTCCGGCAATCGCGGAGACCAACGGTAAGAAAAAAAAACCTGATTGTGGTCGCGTTCAATTTGAGATTTACCTGCGTGACGTACGTGTTCTCATTTCCTAGTTAAAGCCAGAACTTAGAGCCTTCAAAGCTCCACGTGCGTAATGCTGTGCGTGGCGACTACTTCAGATCATCGGTAGTCGCGGCGTCTGTGATGTTTATCGCGCGTGTCACCTGTCTACTGTGCCACGGCCCGCACTATGGTCAGAGGCTCTGTTAAGCTTCATAATCAAAGTTACCATGGTTCTCCGTCAAGTATAATCAGAAGTATAATAGGAGACCTACATTATGACACTTTCTCATGCAACAGGCTGTGGAGAACGCGAGTAATTCGCTTACACAACACGTTCGTGACGGCCCGTATCAAGCGCTTTCGCCTTTCTGCGTCGCGAATGCCGCCGAAATCAGCAAAATTGAAGTCATTTACGTCCCTGGCAATCCACAACGCAACAGTAGCGTCGACTGGGCTCTTTTAGAGCGTGGAGCTGTTGCGTCTGCTCCTGTTTTCGCCGTCGTTCTGGCGAATGAACCGGCAAGCACTTATAGGCGGTTCGGTGACGCATCCGACAAGCGGAGTGAAATTAGTAGCTCTTTTTCCAAATGTTCAATGCGCAAATGTGCCTAATATTTAGCTCAGTTGTTTTGTACGCAGTAGTTGTACCTGGTTGAGCAGCAAGGTGTGCAAGAGAGTCGGGCTTTGTACTACTCAAAGCTACGTCGACAGGTGGCGCTGCGTGTCCGCAAAACTCCAGAGTCTGACGTCTATTGCATAGTGATGATCTTGTCGAAATCATCACGCAGAATAACGAATGGTGATTCCAAAGTTTGTCTCTCAAATGTTATAGTTCAAGGAAAAGCTGGCATCCGCATGCCACTTTCCGATCTTCCAAGCTTTCGCGGTACTGCGTCCTCGATTATATAAGTTCTGAAATATTTGATCATATCTATGCACGTTCTGGGACTGGTAATAAATGTGCTATTATTGTGAAAAAAAACGAAGGTCAACGCATGCATGCCAGGCAGTTCAACGAAGGCACTTGGGAGCGCAAAAGAAACAAGATACACGAGAAGGGCTAGTCAATCACTAGATCAGTCCCAAATCGCCCAATATTTTGTTCTTCTAAAACAGACAGTTGTTGGGTACAGGGTACATGAGTAATTTAGGATGCATGGTCCGCTTGAGAATAGAAAAAATGCCCAGGTGTCTGTGATTCGCAGTGCCACAAATGGCAAGTCGTTTAAATTGGCAGCTAGAGTAATGACGATATGGTAGTACATAGGCGCTACACTAAACAGCCAAATCTGTCTTGGTATATTAGCAAGAAATCGCGTGAATAGAAAACATGGTTTACATTATTAACAACTATTAGCATTAAAACACTAATTATAGAACGTGGTTCACGCGAGGAGCTATACAGAACATTGTTTAAGCCACTTTTTTAGTGGTCAAGTTTGTAAGGTAAAGAAAAAATTAAGGCAGCATGTTCCTCCGTACTAGTGGTTCATTCTTGTTCCAACTTTTTCTGTGAATGCCATCGCACGCAACTATTATCTGAAACGGGAAGTGTTGGTATGGCTTAGTCTTACGGGCACAGCTGTTTCGATTTTATCATCATCTGGTATAGGCACATATGCCGATGTCAACCCACTATGCATTTTTAGCGTTTTTAATACGACATATGACAGCAGGGGAGACAAATTAACAGTTCACCGCGTCTTAATTATTATGGGGTAAAATTCACAGTGCCGTTAAAACAAACTCGCTCGAAAGTCACAACTGCCGATGAATCGACATGCCTTGCAAGCAAGTCCTGCTTCGTAGAATGCCTTATCCGGAGGAATGTGCTCTATGTAGCGCAGTAGGGACACGGAGATCTTCATGGCGTGCTCAGCCAGGGTTTCCTGTCCCTGGCATGCTGATCGTGTGGCGTAGTAGCTACTGATAAGTAGTAACTTTTCAAAGTCACTGACGTCTTGGTGGCTGGATTCCAGGTTTTTCACCTGCGCAAGTGCAACGCCATACAGTTTCGGTTAAAAAAATGGGCAAGTGAAAAACTGGACGTCAGAAAAGCCACGAGAACCTTAAAGGTTGGATGGAAAACTCGTAAAATATTCTAGCTTTTTTTAAAGCGCAGATTATATGCTCGAAAAAGCACCTTCGAACATGAACTATGCGGGACTGTTATGTTCGTCATTTTATCAACCAGCATAACAAAGAATTCGCATTCATTCACTCTGCAACGCGCACTGGGGTGTTTGAATTCTCCCATCTGCATACTTTGGGCTGCTCCCTTAACTCCAGTATTTCTTACTAAATTTTGTGCAAAGTTTAAGAGCTTAAAAATGTCTGGGTGTGTGTGTGGAAAATGGGGAGGTGGGATAAAAGCGCCTGAAAATCTGATGTTGTGGGCGAGATGATTTGTTGCTCGAAGGTTTTGCTGATAGTATACGATGGAAATTCCCAACAAACAGCAGAAAAATTCATTACGCAGTTCATGGACGCAGGCGTGCCAAAATTTTATATGGGACTGCGAGTTTCTACACTCCTTTTAAAGTTCATACATACAGCGGATATTTAATATATTCACTGAGGCGAGTTGAATATCCTCCCCCCTCCCTTCTTTAAGTTACAGCAAAACCGCAGAATCTCGGCTATACTTCTATGAGACTGGCATTAAGCTATTTCGTTTTATGGGACTTTTGCCATTTCCCTAATGCAAGTTCGCGATAAAGATTTTCGCAACAGTACCTCAATTAAAGCTTTGCAGCTCGTACGGCGATCATAACATTAGGGCATTTATTTTGTTAGTGTCGTGCACAAGAAACCACATCAAAAGGCCGCTAAGGGGCCACATTTTGCGAACGATCTTGCGGGTGCAATCACAAGCTTGGACACGAAAGAAGTAACTGCACTGTGTGGAAATCAATGCTGAACACAGTGTGTCGAAGATGGCCAGCTTACGAGATCGTACAGGACGTCCCTGAGTTCTGACCAGGTTCGGTACGCGTGCGCCCCGTACAGGCTTGGCAGTGCGAACACGCTAGCAGTGATATGTCGGTAGATGTTGAAGTTCTGAGCCAGAGCCGGTGCTCCGTAGTCGGCGTACAGGCGCAAAGCGTCCAGCGGCGACCCGTCGCGGATTCGCTGGCTGGCACACAGTGCCACGTACTTGTGCAGCACCTGCAGGAAATCACGATAATGCGAGCGAGCTGGTCACTCTCTTGAACATTATCCCACATGTTTCATGAGAAGGTCCGTCTTATAATGGTGACTTTGTAGTTGCTATCATAGCGTTTTCATTCGATGTAGTGACTACATAACATTGTAAAATATTGTGTAATACTGTGTAATCCCTGAATAACACTCGTGTAAATGTTATGCTGCAACATGTGCCTGTAATAACGAATGGAAGTTAGGTCCTCATCAGCTGTATTGAAAAACCTTCAGCACAATTTCCTTGGTGTGGCACACAGAGGTCATACCTGCTGTCCCTGCTGCTCGGCCATTTCTAGGCACTTCTTCCATTGCTTTTTCTCGGCGTACAGGTCCAGAGCGGCAATGATGTCGACATTAGCCAACTGATCTGTCTGGCCGTGACTGCGCAGATAGCGTTTGTACTCTTGGTCCACATGTTCCTCCAGCCTGCGCAAAATAATACATAAAGCAGGCAGTCCCGGTCAGTGCAAGGCATTGAGTAGAACACATTGTATCAAGAATGGCATACAAAAGCATGAGCAACTTTATGGGTTGGTTATGTGCATTGTAATGTCATTGGCAATACGCACATTATCCTGTGCATTACCAGAACGATAAAGAACACCTCCTATTGCAATATATTGTCGCTTTGGTTGAGCTGACCTAATAACAATGGCAGGGATATCTAATTCAACTTAACGTATCACTTCAAGAAACATGGTGGGACTCGAAGCAGTGAACTGGAGAGCCTACGTGTGTTCTCCAGTAATTGCTTCGTATGAATGATTTCTGTTCCTACACACGTTCGGCGTAGGCTTGGTTAAGTGCAGTCGATCTCGCACCAGCGATGTGAACTTAAAAGAAGTTTGTAAAAAGCTTGTAACTACAGGCGAAAAGTAAAAGCAGTGGTAACTACGTGTAACAGACCATCACCAAGTTTACTGGCTTTTTGCTACCGTTGTTGCTATACAGAAGCAATCTACTTTGCGTGAGGAAATAGCGTCATGGGATACGTAAGCTTTTTTTGATGCATTGCGTAGTTGACGTAGGTGTTTTTTTTTTTAAATGCTGAAATAGGAGATGTTGGTGCCATTATGGTGGCACCGGTTAGTCCTTTTCTTTTATCATACAAGACATGCCGTAAGACAAGCAATAAGGGCACAAAATGCAAGGCAGTACAACATACGATGTGAAAGTATACAAAAGCCAAATGTCACTAGGTCAGTTCATATACGGCTAATAGGTTCATTTGTACACAAGTTCCACACACAAGGTCAGTTCACATCACATGACAGTTCAGTTACGCTTAATAGGTTCATTTGTACACAAGATTCACAAACAAGATAAGTTCACACTGAGATAAATGATTACACATATGAAACACACTACCTCAATATTACACATTTCCTTTACAATGAAGGCGACATCGAATATGGTAGATAAATAATTTCATAAAATATTTGATGCTTTAAGAAACTTCTTGATGACAACAAGCACACTTCTCTGAAGACCTGCAGTTGGCCATGGACCTAGTATTTTCGTCACTGTTAAAGGCCTCCTATCTAAAAGTTGCAAACTTGCTCACAATACTTGGATAGGTTTAGCGCGATTTCGACGAAGACAGGAGACCCACAAAATGCAGAAGAGCACTGACTTTCAACTCACCTAAGGGAAAGTGCCATTGCTCATAATACTTTTTTGTGCCTCATATTTCGGGCACTCGAGAAGCAGGTGGTGTACATCTTCGTTAGGGTGGCCGCTAGAACACTCTGTACTAGGCGCACGTTTTATCCTGTGTAGGAAGCGTCACGTAAATGCATTGTTTACCAAGCCGTAGGCGGCGGACCAATGTTTTAAATCTCCTGTTTTATCTTAACTCTGGTGAACTGCTTAGATTTATGTAAGTATCTATCAAATACAAGTGCGAACTTTTAGAATTTTCGTCGAACCATTTGTCTTTGTGGACGTGACAGGTTATCTGTCTGAGGAGTAGACAGATTTCAATGCGTGAAGTTGGCAGAATAACGCTCTCTTCATTATTGAGGGCCCTATTTGCCGCCGCGTGCGCTGCAGTGTTTCCTGGAATGCTGTAGTGACCTGGTATTCAATGTAGCAACCTGGTATTCAACACATCAAATTATGGCACCGTGGGACCTTTACGCAAGTACATACAAAGAGTTAGTGCTCGTTTCAATATTATTTAATGTAAGATTGTGCATCTGGCAATAATTATATGCCAATGCGTTCAGAGTGTGTAACATCATTTAATATATAAGTGACTCCAAGCGACATAATTTGCAGTTATCTTTGAAGCCTTGCCAAAGGCTTGTTGGTGAGAATCGTAGAAAATATTTCATATTGTGTTTTAAGAGGAATCAATTGCTTCAAACATTCGAAATACATACTCCAAATAAATGCAACAATGTTCAGAAACATTTTTTTTTTGCTTTGCCATTCTACAAGCATATATACTTGGGTGCACGCAAACAGAACACCAATGCCTAATTTTTTTTTATAGTTGCAAACGAGTCGAATGTAATTACAGCAGAACCCGCATGCATCCAACTTAGAAAAAGATGGAATAGGTTTGACATATCGCATTATTAGACATGTAGCTTTTAAAAAAATTATTTAAAAACTCGATGTAGATAATGGTGCGCAAGTTTGCTTCACGGCACCACCTTATCATGGTGTAAGCAAGGCGTTTTTTTTTTTTTTTTTTGCCGTTTGTAGTTGGGTTTACGGGCTAATACGGAGGAGCGGGTTAAACGTGAGCAATACGATATCGATGTAAGTAGCGGCTCATAATTTTCGCACGTTGATGTGTGCACTCGTCGGGCGCAGGAAGCGTCTACTCTGCCTTTTGCCTAAAGTTGGCCTCATTTTTCGAATCAGGCTTAGAGTTCTACTTGGGATGCTGTACGCATCGGTAACGCAATGCTTACTTCCCCCAAGTTAGACTGTGTAGATAACCGCCAGCTTTGCGGATGACAGCAGGTTCTTCTGTTTTACAGCATCGATCGATTTAACAAAACGAGCAGAGAGGCAAACGGTGACACCGCACGACGTGCCGGCGACGACGAGGAATCACGGTCTATAGAAGCTCGATGACATGTGGTAGGGTCCATTCGCTCCGCATGCCATACCATTGCTATACTGTGATATACACGGTTACTCTGTGCTCCACCTGCGCCTCTTTGTTTCCCCCTCACCCTCACTTCTCGTTTTCACACTCTTCCTATGTTTTAGACCCCTCCCAATACTATACGCGGCTATGCTATGTTTTACCATGCCCCTCCTTACATCTCGCCTTTTCATTATCATTTCCCTTTACGACCCCCTGCTATGCTGTACGGCAATGCTATGCTCTCCGAGCATTCAACCTCGCATCACTTCCCTTTATCGCGCCCCGCTGCAGTGGTCTAGTGGCTAAGGTACTCGGCTGCTGACCCGCAGGTGGCGGGATTGAATCCCGGCTGCGGCGGCTGCATTTCCCATGGAGGCGGAAATGTTGTTGGCCCGTGTGCTCATATTTGGGTGCACGTTAAAGAACCCCAGGTGGTCGAAGTTTCCGGAGCCGTCCACTATGGCGTCTCTCATAATCATATGGTGGTTTTGGGACGTTTAACCCCACATATCATCCCTTTATAGCACCCCTGCTATGCATGACTATGCTGTGTATTGCTTTGCTTGGATGACGCCAGCGGCGACATAAAATGGCAGCATGCGATGACAGCGTACTCTCCACCTCCTCCCCCTTCCTTTCTGCGTTCTCTAATCCTCACCATCGCATCACTACTCCTCAGTCTCACTTTTCTTTTCCGCTTGCCTGCGTGAAGCCAAATAGATGAGTCGACGGTGACAGCATAGAATGACAGCCTACATCAGCACACGGCTGCTCGGACCACTACAGTGTTCCACACTTAAAATTAGAAATTTTGACATTACATGACGAACATAAGCTGCAAGATCACGTTCGCTGAATATCTTGAATAACACCAACTGTGAAATTGTCCGTAGACCTCATTAAACGAAACCACCACACACAATGTCTCAACGTTAAGTTCGACCTATCACATCGACTTGTCGGCTATCTATGTCAGTGCGATGGTCATCGCCTTCAAAATCCTCACTTTGCGCCAACCTTACACTGCTTGTTATACAAAATGCATTCGTAATGTTTGGTTATAAACGCCTTTACATAAGAACGTAGAATTTCGAAACTAATGGCTCGTACAAATAAATGTACCTTTCAAGATTGACTAGAATTCTCGACCGCTCTATCTTCGAACGAAAGATATTGCGTATAGGAGGGAGCACCCGACAGACATTATTTCTTAAGTGAGTCTCACAGCGTCCCCAAAAACGCACACGTAATGCTTATTCATATTCTATTTCATTCCTATTCTTATTTGTTTTCGTTGTTTGATCACTCAGTATGTCACTGACACTAGGGTCATCGGACTTGTTTCCTAACGAAGTGTAATGCATTGGGAGGTGGTGTGTGAATGAGAGATCGACGAATGACATCACAGGGGTGACGAAGAAATCTTGACTGTCCAAGCTGTTGACATTTCACCCGTAGCGAGTGTGGTCAATCGTGTCTCAAGTACGCCATCGACTGGAGCTCAGTGACCCGAGCCGCAAACACAGCGATCTGCGATGTCAGTGCCGTCGTTTTCTATCATAAATCGCCAAGAACTTCCTGCGACCTCGCGTCAGCTTCTTTACGCAAATATTGACTGACACACAGGTTGGTTGAAAACTTTTTATTTATTTTTACAGCTTTTTTGTCTTACTGTGAGCAACTATAGCGCGTGCTATGTAGCACGACAGCTTATTAGGCCTATTCTGCTACTGCACACGTGAGGTAACGAGTGTTATATTTTAGTAATGCTCAATCCTTAACTGTTTTTATCTTATTCTTTAACTTCCCTTCATAATATGTAGAATGATGTTCATTTAAATACTCTTGTATATTTTATTGGAGCTGTTATCGCACACATCCTCCACATTTCTTGGTGGAATTGCTCTTGCCGTTTTTTTATTATTAGATATTTGCTCTTTTCTTTTATGAGGAAATATTTATGCCTGTTCTTGAGCACATCACTCTTCCTCGACATCTGTACGCTTGGAATAACATCGGGTCGACCTTTAAGCAAAACAAACTTGAAATGTACTACTTCGAGGCTTTTGAAGCCTGCGAGTCTACCGAAGCGTCGTTGTTAGATGGTGTAAGGTGTGAGTGATACCCGACTGCTCATTTATACAGTGCGGCTGAAAAATAAACTATATGTACTAGATAAAGGTAGTCTTCTGAGCTATCAGTAGCTTAAAACAGCTATCAAATATACTGCAATTAAACTCAAAAACTTGTTAAAGCGAATTCATTTTTAAAAATCTTCGTCACGACCCAAGTATTTAAGCTGCTTTGCACGCTTTACAGGTAAAGTGCAGGCAGTTGACTGCCCGACGACAGACAGGGTGGACGTCTTGAAACGAGAGATAGCGCTGTCGTTAACTACATAACTAACTAAATAAACACTTCAGTGTCAATTCACCAACAAAGAGACCTACCCTAACGCTCTGGTCCTCAATGCAACCTCATAGGTACAGCAGGAACCATCAACACTTTCCCCAGAACATGCTTTATTTATACACTGTACGCTTGGTACTGACAAGAATGAAACTAAACGCTCACCCTGGGTCGAATTCTTGGGCCACCTTCTTAGCCTTGCTCCACTCACCACCCGCGATCAGGGCCTCTACGGCCTCCTTGACCAGCTCCATGCTGAGGAACAACTGGGCTGCCTGCACAGCGACGGCCGCAAAACGATGCATACCCAAAATGAATGCAAGATGGCCTGCACTAGCTTATAACAGAATACTTACCGAGCTGTGCTTTTTGATATCCAGCAGCATACGGGCGGCGTTCTTCAGTATCTTGTCCGCCTTCTGCTCATCTAGGAACTTCAGGGCAAGGTCGGCCGCCTGTGTGCATTGGATGTTCGTTGCGAAATAGATAGTTTGCGTTAGCTGCCCATGGCTCCGCAACGGTAACTCACTTCGGCACTGGAGTGTGCCGTGCTTTTACAGCTCCTCGTTACGCACATGTGACTAACCCAAGTTGTTTCTTACCTTCACCCAGCATTTTTCGAGCATGTCGACGTTTGTTACGTTTTGAGGTGTCATGCGCATATAGCAGTCCACTGCTCGTTCGTACTGAGCATTTCGTTCCCACTCCTGAGCCTGCTCAAGCAGGGCGTCAGCGTCTCTGCAAGACAATCGCAGAAAGTGAATTCGTACTTGCCATTTTGACGCGAATAACGTTTAGTTGCGTCCAGATAGGTACTGCATAGAGACACTTTCTAGATTCCCCAACAGACGTCAAAGACTTCGTGGCCTCTTTGATATTGCGATTCGCGCTAGTCGGCGTAAATTCTGCGAGTTTTTCTCGGATTCTTTACGCAACCACCTATTTGGTGGAGAAAGTTTTCGTTAGCTTTATTACACGAAGAAACATTCGCCGAACCGAATAAAAAACTTCTTTGTCAGGCAGATACAGAACACCTTCTAGAATCGGGTGCACGAACTTAGCCTCACCAACGTTATCTCCGCGCACATCTGCAGCTCGCATAAGTGCTGCCTCTCACATCGATTCCACTCTTTACTCTCTAATGTAAGAATAAATGCTCTGAAAAGAACTTACCGTGATCCCTTTGTGTCCATGTGGTTATCGTATTCCTCTTGAAGCTCCATCATCTTCGATGGTATGTAGTCTCTGCAGATGCGAAGAGCGTCGTTCCACATGCCCGCGTCCTACGCAGAGATTTCGGCATTTTAACAGCTTTTTGCTGCTTCTCAGCACGCTGATTTTCTACTACCTTTTATGATTCGCACTCTAATCTAGCGATGCGGTGCTGCTAAGTGTGATATACATTTAAAATATATTTGCTTAGAGCAATGTGCCTCGTAATAAAAAAAAGTCATTGTATAAAAGCTGCCAGCAAGAAGCGAAGGTTATTTACAGAGCAAAACTATTTTTCGCGAAATAGTAAAGTACACTTCGAAAATTCCGAAAACACCACTATTACCGTGACATGAGGCTTATTAAGCGAGAAAACGCGCCAAAAGCGAATGCGGGTGGTGACGCCACCTTGATATCCCCGCACCAAAAACCACGAGCTAAGAAATTTTGAAGACGTCTACTGGTTTCTACGTAGCTTTCAATCGATAAAAAGGGAAACTATTGTAAGCTGTGGGTGTCGTAGACTTAGCATACGACGTTTCAGAAAATTTCATTGAGCCAATGCCACAAAAATACCGCAAATACGTTTTGAAGTTTCGTATGTCACGTGTCGATGTTTTGCCGCGAAATTTAAAAAGAAATTTCAACCTCAATTTTCTGCGCTAATAATTGACTTGTCAGACTGAGTGAAAGATAAGACACTAAAGTCCCCGAAGCACACATGGTTATTCTGAACTAAGTCATTGTTCATCTTTAGTGTCCCTTTAAGGATATACATTTTTGAGAAAAATCAACTTTTGGAGTTCATCTGTATTAGTTTTCGAGTCTATAGCACCAAAAAGTTATTTCTACCATAATATGAGACATGGGGAACCAGATACAGTCGCAAGTCACTTTGGTGTACTACACGTAAAAGAAAACAAAGTGTCACAATTATTCCGGAGTTTTCCGCTACAGGATGTCTCATTTTTAGATTGGTTGTTTGGTAAGTAAAACTTCACATTCATTTTTTTTTTTTTCAAATCAAATACTCAAAGTTTCATTCACCAGGCCACAGTGACTAGAAGTTTACGTTGATCATACCATGAGGTGGCGAGACTAGCCAAAGAGCGAGTTGCTTGATTGTAAATTATTTTCAACCATTTACGTGCCATTAAAACTCGAAAATGCGACTGTTCCTTTTCATATCGTGCAGTAGCGTACACAAAATACTACTTCAAACTAAACACTTTGTATAATGGCCAATTAGGTAATATCAATTAATCGTTCTAATCGTGGTTTGCGTGTGACGTCAACCGTTTAGCTAGAGGAACACGTCACGGCTTGCTTACGATGGTGCGCACCCATTGGTTTTCCCACAGCTATACACTATAAACCGAATGGCGAACCTAAAGGCTGAAAAATTCCTATAACTTTGCTAAAGTAACCACCGCTCCACGGGAAGTTCGAAATAATTGAGCCTCGCAGCTGAAATCGGGCACTGGCGGAGAGAGGAAGGCTTGAAGCCGTGCCTTCAGTAATTGGTCAAGTGAGCCATATATACGCGCTAACTTATAAATACGTGCCAGTCAGCCACTAAGCACCAATTAGTATTTCTTCGGTTGCTGTGTCTACCAAAGATAAAGCCTTTTACGTCATCAAATTTCACCCCTCCCTCCCCCCACTCAATACCAGAGGGCCAACGGGCGCCCGCCACTGGAACTTTACGTAATCAATAGCGCTTCGGGAATGTCCTAACTTGAAGAGTATCTATCTTACACCGCTGTTTCAAGCGATGCCGCAGCATCGCGCGCACGTGTTAAGCCAGTTATATCGCATATATGCATGTGCGAAGGTGATCTCTTTATCTGAGTTCAAGGACCCCTTACGCTCAATTTCTTCACTTTTATCTCCGAGATATACGAGAAAAAGTAGAGGCTGGCAACCTTGTACAGCTTAATGACGAGGTCCGGCCTTTCGGCTCGAAGGGCCAGTGACTCTGCCTGCTGATAGTGGCCAGCTTGAAAGGCGATTCTCGCCTGACCGATGGACACATCCACCACAGATTCCGGGTCATGAGCTTCAGCCACTCGCCTGGCGCTGTCCCAGTCCTTGTTGTGCACGTACCTTTGGGGCGAAAAGTGAGCATTGTGCCGATCATATCCTCGACGTGGTCACGTAAGGTGAACTGTGGTTCCCATGACGTAGACGTGGGCGACTTACATGAGCACTGCTTCTTTGGGCTTGTTGGCCTTGATAAATTCTTGCTCCGCTTCGTGGAACTTGCCCTCGTCCTCAAGGAACATCGCGTACTTGAGATGAATGTCTGGAATCTTGTGCTTCGCTGTTGCTTGCGCTAACTCGAACGCAAATTCGAAGGCACTGGAATAACACCACCGAGACCAAAACAAGCTTTAAATCACATTTCGTAAAGATATACTAAAACCATATATTATAAATGTTACACACGCTTAGTGCAATGAGGAGTGACGGTGTACGCACAGTCGAGCTCTTTTTATGCAGCTTTTTCTTCTCCGTCTCAACAACTGTACAGCTGATAAACATAGACCTACTCAATTGGACTCCACACTGTTGTGTTACGTAGGTACTTGAAATCGAATAACAGTACTATGGGTGACCCTGAGGACAGAAGAAATTGTCAGTGGTGTTCAAAATAGTGTTTGAGGACGTTGTCGTAAACAGCAATATTGTTTAGTAAATCTGCTGCAACAAAAAGGCAGGGCTTTATTTATTCGTATCTTATTGTCCGAACTCCCTCAGTCCCCAGCAGCTGCGATTGCATTCTCTCGTCCCGACGAAAGCGCCGGAAGCTAAGCAGGGAGGGATGGCAGGGGGCAAGGAGAACACGTCACGCACAGTTCGTGACCATGAGCACTTTTTCTTTTTTTCTTCAAATGCGCCACCTTTTCAGTGTGATCGTGTGCGCACGCGTGGACAAATCGCGGCAATCTCTGTGACGACCCAGCGCGCCATGTTCAAATCAACCAATGGCTGATAGATGGGCTTACTACGAATAATTTTGGGGTTTATTGCGTGATTTGTTGAGAGAAGAGAAAGACATTTTTAGCTGGCTTAGACAATTTATTGTGAATTCCAGGCCACGTGCCGTGCTATATTGTTTGGCCCGCGTGTTGTTGAGAGCTTCTACTGCCGATCGGCGGTGCTTTCTGCCTATGCTCCAAAAGTGTTGCCGGGCCCCTTTAAAGCTCGCTTTTATGTAGAATACCTGCACACAATATCGTGCAAGGCACTGTATCAAGATCAACGAAGTATGCTCTTCCTATCTCCGTTGTACCACTCACTGTACTCCAATCTTCCAGGCCCCGATGTGTTGAAGCGAGTGCGCGAAATGTACATTCCATCAAATTCAAAAACGTTCTTCTATAAACTCTGCTCTGAAATATTGGCGGTAAACACATGGTTAAAAAGAAATCGTATTTTTACTCGTTGGTTAACTGCCTCCTATATGGTGTTCGAGGAACGATTGAACATTGATGTATTAGCTGCAAAGATGCCATACTGTTTAAGATGTCCTTCAGCGAGCACTTAAAAAAATTTTCGTCATTAATTCTCACACAATACGTTATCTTCTACCAGCAGTAATTGATGAAGTGCCATGTGATAAGTTTTTCCTCATGGGTATGCACAGCTTGTGGAAGACACGAATGCGGGACCGCAATGCAGGGCCCACCACCTAGCACACGCTTCATTCAAATGGCCATTCACCTCAAAGACATTTACGACTAGCTAGACTTTAGACTGAATTGGTACTCGATCTTGGAGAGCTGTTCAACCTCACCCCTTTCTTGTTTGCATAACACGATGTGAAGAACTCACGCTGTGTTAGCCATTGAGTGTTTATGAGTAACGCTTGAGCGCTTATTGTCACCATTTGATTGTACTTTGGTTTGCTTGATTTTGTCTTGATTGTGCATATACTTTATTGAATACCATGAAAAAATTGTGGCATAGTTGGTTGGCGCAGCACATAAGGGGCGGGTGAGGTCGGTAGTTTGAGTCCGACTGCAGTCTTTTTTTTTTCGCGCAAGTATTGTTTTACATTTGCGCGTCGTCATCGGCGTCCCATGAGCCTGACTTGCTGCTGGTGGTCTTGTCTACCAACCCTTTGATATTTTTTTTTGTTTTATGAACTTCACAGAATTCGCTAAATTTGTATGATATAGTGTTTTGCAAATTAATGCTCTTAATCGGCGAGACACAGGAGGACGCGAAAAATTCAAATGCAGCTGGCTGCACTGGTTTCTCCGGCACGCACGTCAGGAATGTTGATTTCCACGTTTTATCAAAGTTTCGATGACAGTAAGGAGCACTGCATTGTAGCCATGCTGAATATGCAACAGGAAACTTTTTTATGGCGCTCAGCGTACGTCATCACCTGACGAGGTAACCGGCAGGCCGCTTCAAGATACTGATGTATCACCGTTATTCTCTGTGGATCAGCACTTTATAAACGATGCCCAAGGGCAAGTGCAGACTGCGTTAGTCCATCTACCTGCAAAACAGCTTCTCTGCCTTGCTGAATAACACGCACGGCCTGTGACAGCATGTGAGCATTCACGTAGCGACGGATGAGAACGGCCGTACGTGTTCGCACATAGCAAAACAGCCTGCAATGCAGTAGCTTTGGCCTTCGGAGAACACGTTTCGTAAGAACACTTTGCGGATGCTCTGCGGTTTCATGCATGTGCGTCCGCACATTCCCACGTGAACTGTGCAAAAGAATTTGTTTCATCGTCGACCTTACCCTTCGCGACAAGCAAATCTCGGCAGCAGTACACTTTCACCTTCGACAACAACACGCTTGGCATTGCAATCTATAAAATGCAGTACGCCCAACAACCATAATCCGCACTTCATGCTGAGAAACTTTATGGCGCACACACTCAGATGAAGCTGCAGCGCGTTGGACGGCCACGCTAGCTCCAACCTCCAGGATTAACTGGGCATCGAGAAATCCCTTGAGACAGCGACGACACAGGGTCTCCGGTCCTCCGCGGGGGCGGCCTAGGCCCAGGCCACGAATTCGCCGGAGTTTTCAATAAGGTTGTTACCACCAAGGAGGTTTTAAAAAAAAATTCCTGGGGCGGAAATCATTGCCCAGGAATGAAGCCATGCCGATGGCAAGATGGCGGCTACGGCGGCCATCTTACTAGGGACATAATAAAGTATCACCGTTCAGCGATTAAGAACGGAGTGTTTCCCTCGCACGCCCAACGAGTTTGATGTGAACACTTTTTCGCGACGTTTGATGTGGACGTTTTTTGTCACATAGTGCTTCTAGTACGTCTTAGTGTTACTAGTTTTCCTTAGTAAGCTTCTAATTCGAGGCAAAATTTTTACTAACATATCAAAGCCTCTTTGTCTCTAAGTGAGCACCAACAAAAAAGAGCATGTTTCCGACATCTTGGCAGTGAAAAAAGCAGGCTTCACTTTTGCTGGCAAAGCATTGCGGGAGCTTAACCTCCAGCAATTTTTCTTTAAACCTCCTTGGTTACCACCACCGCACATCGCAGTTATACCATTTTTGCCACTGTTTACCTTTCGCAGCCACAGTGCCCATGGCGCTTCCTGTATTTAAAATGGCTGTACGTGTTTAATTAACAAATATAAGCTAATTGACTCGTCAAACACCTGCTTAGTGACATTTTTGCAGGTTTAACGTAATATACAATAATTATTCATGTATTTTAAACGCTTTAAGTAATATTTTGTAAAGTGACGTCATTTCCGTGCGGCGCAGGAGCCACTTCTGTGTGGGGCTGGCTACTGCGCCACGTGGCACAGGAGACGCTGCCTTTTACGAAGCATTCACGTGGATCTAGATGTACTTCCTTAGTGAAAGCATGGGTGGGAGACCTAGTGGTGAAGACAGCAGCTTTCGAGGAATGAGGGTATAGGTTCAAATCCCAGGAGAAGAATGCTGCATTGTTCTGTTTAATTTATTTATGCTGAAGACATATTGGGCATGGCCAGCCGCTCGTGGCGCTGAAAGCAGCGCAGTAGTAGAGTTACTGTATATGCTACCTTAATCCTAAAATGTGATCCTAATGTGAAAATACAGTGGTGTATTCTATTTTAAGCTGAATTTTAAGCCACTAGCGAGCTTACTGTAGTTAAGCGAATCCCGGTCAGTCACAGTGCCCATGGTGGTGTTTGCCAAGGAGTGTCCCCATATTCTGGCTGACAAGTACATACATGTAATACGTGAGGCCGGCTTTGAACAGTGACGAAAGGTGTCGAGAGCCGGTACTGGAATGTTCATAATTATGACTGTGAAAGAGATTCGAAGAACAAAGACAGCTCAGAAGCGAAATGTAGGGGCTAGGAATGCGAACAGGCCGGATAGAAGCGCTTCTACTCGATGTGTATGGAACACATTGCTAAGCAACCTAATGAGGTAGAGCTAGTTGTTTAGGTCGTATTTAGAAAATTAAATGTCAGTTAAAAACAAACGCCAGGCCTGCGCGGAAGGCGCAGCACAGTCACAGCGGAAGCTACAAGAGCGGCCTTTCACAGCTTTTTCTGAACACTCAATTGGTAACTGCTGCAAGCACACTTGCTTAGTACCCACTACGCATTAATGATGATTTCTGGGTAGTAGGCCGCCATTCGCTATGCTATTTTTCACCATTTTCTGAAAAGCGTGGTGTCCGCTCAACACTTGCAAGTAATTCTGTGCCGATTGTTCATGCAGTGGCTGACGACAATGAGGCATTATGCCTAAAGTGGGTATGCGCCACAGTCATTAGTCAACAAAAATAAGCTTTTGTAATGGGTTGGAGCATTCGACGACCTAATCGTTATGCTATTCGCATTGTGCAACGCCTGGTTGTTCTTTTGCTGTACTAAAGCGCTTTATTAGTCATAATAAGGCGATTCCTTTCCCGAAATCAAGCCTACCTAAGGCAACTTTGCGAACAAGCCCGGAGCACCGGCGAGGCTCAGTGGTAGAATACTGGGCTCGCACGCAGAGGACCCGGGTTTGAGCCCCACTATGCCCTTGGTACTAGGTTTTTATTCTGACAGCAGTTGTATGGACACTTTTGATTGGATTTTGCCGCTGGCGTCACCATTATTCACCGTACATGTATGTGTATCTATATATATGAAAACGCAAGAAAGAAACATAATCCAGAAAAAGACTCGGCCTGCGAAATCGAACTTGATGCCTCTGAAACGGGATTGCGAGGCGTTAACCATTGAGCCACGGAGAGGAACGTCCACCAACGGTCAAATGACAAGATTTTTGTGTCTACGACTTACCGCTGTTCGCAGACATCTCGGGGGGAACTATCGTGTTTCTAAAATTACCAGCAAGATAGCGCATTGAGCGCGCGTCGCCACATCGACACGGTGCGGCGGCGTGCGCTCTCATCTCCCAGCATACTTTGCCTCGTCGAGAGGAAGTAGGTTCACGCTCACTCGCGCGCTCTTATCTCGCGGTGGGGAGAATTGTACGTCTTGGATGGCCTTGAGATTTCATAGGAAAGATTTTGTTTCAGGCACAAAGGTCGCTGCGATCGTAGCACAGTCTCTGTTTGCGTAAGGACATAGCGAAGCAACAACTGAAACACTTATTTGCGTTCATCTGTACCTGTGATTAGGTTTCGTGCGTCATTTGTGGGTGAGAAACGCGGGACACGTTTCGATCTGCTTGCCATTCTGCGCATGACCTTCCAATTTGTTGCTATCGCGTTCGTTGCTTCGCCTTTGCGGTAAAGCTGTGACTTTTTTTTTCAGCGTCCGATTGGAAAGCGGTCACGGAGTCTGGGAGTCGAATCCACGATGACTAAACCAGTAGCAATCTGGCGTAGCAGAGACCCCCGTAGCCATGACGCTAAACCATGAATGGCGGAATGTGTATGAACCGATGTTCTAATTTGCTGTTCTGTCGCGTTTTTGCGAGCCCACCGATGCAACAGAGCGGGTTTCCTTACCAGTTTTCGGCGGCATAGTCTATTGTGCTATCAAGCAGGCCCAGCTTTGTGAGCAGCCGTATAGCTGAATCACCACCGAGACTTTTGGACCAGAGATAAGCCACTTGCTTGCAGGCAACGGGACCACCATGCTTCTTGGCCACCTGCGCAGTTTGTTCGAATGAAGTTTTTGATGGACATCGGCGCTGATCATGCATCAAAAACTCGTCCTTTATGCATTCTCTTGAGGGGATTTGAAGGCGAAAGCCATTGTATCTTTCAACTCAATGTATTGACCTTCCCCGTCCTTTTTCCAAAACTTTCTGTTCCTGACATTGCTTTTCACTGCCTCCAGGACCAGGTGCATTGCAAGCTTTCTGCACCTCGCCTGGTTCCACGCCAAAGTTAAACCAGAGTCACACTGCATCCGGGATCCTGCCACTTTTGAACAAGAAATCTACGACGTCGTGCAATGACGTCATATGATGACTTCACATCAGGGTGAGTTCACAGTGACGTCACGAAGACGCCATATACCATGGTTATTTGTGACGTCCTGATGACGTCATGTGGTGGCGCCACCACGTGGTGGTGCTTATTCGCATCTCTCATATTGACGCAGCCGACGGTCGATTTTCGCGTTCATGAGGCTGTGAGGCTTTCACCTTAAAATGACGTTTTCGAATAGAACACAAAAGGGCCCCTGCCACACTTTTCCAGCAAAGCCAGAAAACGCTGCCGATTGGTAGACGAAGCACCCAAAGACACCAAGTCAAACATTATAGCATGGCACGCGGCATAGCATTTAAAATTAATTCTCAAAGTCAGCTAAAGATCGCTCCATCTTCTTTCACACACACACACACACACACACACACACACACACACACACACACACACACACACACACACACACACACACACACACACACACACACACACACACACACACACACACACACACACACACACACACACGCACGCACGCACGCACGCACGCACGCACGCACGCACAACGACCGAAACGTTTGAACAAATTTAATTGAATCGAAAACAACTTTGCTTTGTCCATCGAAGCGTGGCGGAGCACACCCGGCTCAGTCCGTTCGAATGAATTGTGAAATTTGAACGATGAACGCTCACTTTAGCTTGAGCTGCAATACAGTGCTCGCGGGCCTATATGTACAGTTAGGATAACACAGAAAAAAATGCACTATGGTTTTACATGTAAGTGCTCTTTTACTCGCTGGTGCATACTAAATTTGCAAATAAACTGCGTGACACAATCACCTTAAGCCTACAAAAAGAAAAGGACATGAAAAAAATAGCGCGACTCTTTCTTGACACCTAACCATTGTGATTCATGTAATTTTTTTAATAAGATGAAAAAACTGAGCTCTTACCTATCGTATCCTCATAATTTCTGCATCTTATAGTGGCGGTGTCGCGCAGTGTATTTACAAGATCACATGTAAGACTTGACTGTACTCACGGCATAGGCTTCTTCCCACATGTCGTTCCCGCGGTACATGTTAACGGCCGCCTTCCAGTCACTCGCCGACAGGTAGTGCGCTTCGGCTTGCAGGTAGTTGCCCTCATTTTCTAGCTCCTGCATCAAGTGCACAAGATGTTTGCACTTAAGAAGACAATCATCTCACAAAACAACTTTCATCTGATTATTGAAAAACTAAATGTTTTGGTGGGTGCTTGGTGACCGCGAGGTACAAGAAATTTTAAGCTTACTGATCAGAGCAATGGGAGTGTTGTTTGAAACGGCTGAATGCAAACGTGCGAGGTTCGCACTGCCATACGTGCACATCGTCTGCTAATTTTACTACAAAAATCAAAGCTGACTTGGAGGGATTTTAGTTGCAGTCACGGATGGCTTAGCTGAGTCAGTATCTGATGTGAATCATAAACTTAGTAATACAGGCACTGCGATTATGGTAAAAATCCTTTTCAAATGTCCTGATAGTCGTTTAAAACGCTGAACTTTAACCGTTTGTTTTCTTAGTCTGAGTTACGTTTGAGATACAATGACAGTGAGTAGGTTTTGTTGATGTCTCCTGCGAATTCGGTTGCAAGGGTGACCATAAAACTGCTTTTTCATGTCTAATTAAGCGCGCTTTTCAATTAATGGCAGCGTGACTTGCTGTTATGGCCCCGCGCATCTTATTTTGTAACAAAACGAGAAAAGTCTAACAATACACCGCATTCATGAAAGCTTTTAAGCGAAAGCTTGGGAGCATACCTTAGCGAGGTGTAAGTGGGTATCTGAAAGGAGGTCTGGGTGAAATTCTTTGACCACACGCATCATGTTGTCATACTGACGATAGTTCTTATACATCGCAATGGCCAAATCAGGTTGCTCGATGAACAAATAAAGCCTGAAAAAATAACAGCAGAGCAAGGATTAAAAAATTTTTGTACACGAAGAAGGCACATGAAGGAAGAAAAATTTTTAAAGAAAATGATGAGCACTTGAACTAACTGTACAAAAGACGGGGACTTTGCCTCTTGGTGTCTCTGCTTTACTGGGTCATGGTTCAGAATGTTTCTCAGTGGCTCGCCGCCCTCATCCAGGGCCCCCATTCACATCGTGCGCTATAATTGTTCTTTAAAGATAATCCTAGCTTATACTGGTGTTTACACATTAGCGAAGGCGGCTTAGGAATGTCAAGTAGCAAAAAAAGCTTTGTGGATTAAGCGCTTGATATTTGCGTTAATACCCTAGATGCAACTTACACAGCGCAAAAACTTGAGAGTCGTGAAACAACAGACGGAAGACTTCTCCTTGCATATTTGTGCGTGTGTAATCTATTGTTGATGTATTATTTTCTTGTCTGACATTCACGCTGATTTGTTCGTACATTTTAAAAATACTATAAAGACCATGCGGAGCGTTTGCTTTTTTTTTCTTTTCTGCAATTCGTTTACGATTTACAGTGAAACAGAGTTCACTTCCCCAGAATTTTTCGTGGTTCAGTTTGTTTTCGTCGTGTGGCAGTTACTCCTAAAAATATAAGCCTATCAGTTACTCTCACCTTTCTCACTTTTTTTACCTGTCAGTCGGCATGTTTAAGCACCAACCCATGGTCCGCCAACACTCGAGTCCTGGTGCAAGCGTGCTCGGAACCCTCCTCGTAGCACCTCCTTCGTCCCTCATAAGTAGGTGGTATACTCACTTTTCAGCCTCTCTCAATTTTCCTTGTTGCTCGAGCTCCGACGCCTGTTCCGTGTACATGCACGTCACATCTTCTGGTCTCAGGTGGAGTTTGGCAAGCTGCGCTGACGGAAATTGGCGAGACTGTTCATCTTTCGCGTATGACTGAAACATTACACGCACGCCTCATCACGTTAGCGAATATCTTTCCTTGGGTTTTCCCACTTTCTCAAAAATAGGTGTAAATATTTTTAAAAGAAAACTGTTTTATGTCGGGGTACACCATACCTTCGCTGATGTACTTACGTCACGGAAGTTACGTTGAAGAATATATACTAAGAAATTACAAAGAAAATACTAAACGCGAGAATTTGCAACTATAACGCGGAGTCGAACCAGGAACCTCTCCATACTGAGTGCGCGGCGCGCTTATACCATCACGATACGGAGCGTACGTCGTCTGGAATGCTGACGGCACAACATTTATATACACCATTTGGCGCTCCTCAAAACTTCGAAACGTTAGCGCGTTTTCGTTATCAGTGGCGAAATGGCGCGATGGGCTGGCGTTGAGCGCGCTCTAAAGGTCATCGCTTCCACGAAGCACCACCTCCAGGGAGCACGGTTTCTCCTGTGCGCACGTTTATCAGGCTCGTAATTTGGGAGAGGACAAAGGTTATTCCACACGCTGCGTGGCCACGTTTACGAAAGGAGCGCGCTGCTGACACACGACGCAGGGAGAATTATAACAGTTGTTCGTGCTTGTCCTGTGTATATTTGTGCGATCGTTTTGTGCGTTTTTCTTTCTGTTGGAACAGCGTGCTTTAAGTGTTGTGCAGTGACAGTGCACGCTGTCCTGTGTATGCTAATTCCGTGCGTTTTTGTTTTTCTGCTTGAGGTGTGCGCTGCAAGTTTCGAGCTACTTGCCGTTGTTAATGTGACTTCGCAATGTGTTGCTGTTTCTGAACTACTTCTGTAAGGACGCGTTTCACTTTCATGTTATATCGATTCCTTCATAGGAGGACCAGCCACGTTTTGTCTATCTATTCTGGCTTGCTGCCTGCTAACGCTCATTTATTTCGTATGATATTTGCTTTCTCCAGCAGTTTTCTGCATTTTCATTTCGCGTTTCTTTTTCATCGTGGTTCATTGTCTATGTCTAAGCACGGTATATTTCGCCCCCTATGTAGAATCATAACACTAACAACTAGATTAAGCATTCAAGCTGAGCTGTTTGTATACAAAGGTCGTCTCTGAAACTTTATGGCTGCATTCTTGTAGAACGACTCGTTTGTCAACTACTCAATTACCGCACATAAAATGATCGAAAAGCTTTACCTTCAGTGCTTTATCCCACTTTCCGGCACTATTGTACATTTCGATTGCCTCTTTTATCTTCCCAGCTTCCACGTAGAAGTGTTCCGCCATCTGGAACGTGATTATGAGACGGCTCAGAAGAGGTCACTAAAGCAGAAAAACTTACTGGCTGATGACACAATTGAAACCTGTGCATGCAAATGGTTAACAGCTAGACCCGTGCTTGAGCTTGCTTTTTTTAGTTGTTTTCGAATGACATGTATCTACAGACTGTTATGGTGTGTAGTTTAGTTCTCTAAGTACGGCTTTAGCCTATCTGCAACTAAGAAGGCTAATTCACTTCGTTCGTTTGTGTAAAGAAATAACGTTCTGCACACATTTTGTTACTAGATTGGTAACCTCCGCGTTTTCGCTCTTTCTCCTAATATGATCATCAATTTGCGTACCACTGCAATTCGCATGTCCTCGCTGTACATGCAACAACTGCACTGAGACCCGGCTGCTAGAATATGTAGAATTGGCATAGTTGCAAGAATAGGCAACTTCAAAATTAGATGCACGGGTTCATAAAACAAAATAATGTAAGAAAGAGATATGTACAGTGCTAGTTTGCTATGTCCGTAGTACAGCTTCGTTAGCTCAAACAGGAGGTGAGCATTTCTCGCCGTCCTTCTTCAAAAAAAAAAAAAAGATTTCATCATAAGTAATGAATCAATGAAGAAGGCAGGCCAAACCTCGAAGTCTCCGGTCGCGTGGAAGTGTTGAGCCAGCTTGCTCTGATACTGGTTTATTTCAGGTGTGTCGTCGATCACCTCGATGATCTGCACAGCTTTTTTCCACTGCCGTGCGTTGATGGCTGCGTCCAGAGCTTTCACCGTCTTCCTGCATCAAACGGTCGCCTTTGGGCACGTGGCACCGCGCTGGGCACTAGGCGGGAATGCTGTGTATCCTGTTACGGTCGGCACCGAATGAACTCCATGGCCAATAAAACCTAAATTATAGTGCAGCACTATTCGATTTTCAAAAATACTGGACGTTCCTATTTCGCATATAAGTTTAAAGAGCTTCTTTTCTATCGGTGGCTACAATGTGTAAATGTGTAGTAAGGACACCAGTTATAAGCGTTACAGCGTTTTGCTCTCTTAATATTCCAGTTTCTGATAGGTTGATCAGTATTATAACTACAGCGAAACGTACGAAGTGCGAAAACAGGAGAAGAGAAATGATAGCTTTCTTTAGTTAGATGGTAAGTGACATGGCGCACGAACGGGCTGAAGGGGGGGGGGGGGGGAGGCGCAAAGTCAGCCCCATGCATTGACATAGTAAAGAAGGGGGTGCAAAGTCAGTCACATATCTTGGCATAATAGAGACAAACCTGCGACAACCCCCCCCCCCCCCCCTGAATGGGAACTTTGCGCGTGCCTATGGTCGGCGATGCTTCCCTCTGAAATACACATGAATGAAGATACGCTTTAAAATTAACGAGTCTATTTTCCCCACCATTCTTTCGAGAGCTCGTCTCAATTTTTTCAGGTGAAGGGACGACATCTCGGTGGCACCACGCCCATCACCCACCCTGCCTCGATAAAATGGTTGATGGCGGCGTCCAGCTGCCTCTGCGAAACCAAGTACTCGCCCCACTCTTCTTCAAGAGCAACCACGTCGATGGGGTTCCGTTGCCGAGACAGTTCCACGGCTGTAAACAAAGGTAAAAGAGAGGAACACCAATATTATGTACAAAGAGAAGAAATAAACCTGGTAGTAGCATGTACAGGAACATGAAAACACAGCCACAGGCACTCTACTATTTGTTCGCAGAAATATCTGCGATACTATACACCACATACACAAAAAAAGATTTACCATATCTTTCGCTAACGTTTACGAAGGTACAGACAAAAACCCTATAGTCTCACGTGACACTAATCAAGCTGCTGTGATGTTCTCAATCGACCAGATTGTTACTACATATTGTTATTTTTCGTTCCTCCGGACTTCACCACTGGTTCTACACGCAGAGAATTGGTCGTAAATATGTTGATTCATGCTCGTTTTTCCTTTCATTCATGGTGCTGCTTGCGATCATTGTGGCAGCGATGAAACGATAGAGCATGTTCTCTGTCACTGCCCTCGTTACAGCGTGCAAAGGCAGCAGCTAGCTGCTGTGTTAGCTCGCTTTGACGACAGACCCTTGTCAGAACAGTCAGCGCTTGAAATGTGACATGATCTGCCTACGAAGAGAAAATCAGTGAAGGCCTTATTGAACATTTTGCGTGGTAGCGGCATATTGAACAATCTGTAGCACCCCAGCTCACTTTTTTTTTCGCACGTCTATTTCGCTCTTCGCCTTCTTTCCCATCTTTCTTCCCCATTCTCCCTTCCCTTAGAGCAGGATAGCAAACAGAATCCTCCAATTTCTGGTTAAACTCTCTGCCCTACCCTCATTTTATTATCTCTCTCTTCAGTTTACTTCAACATTTGATTCACTATTAATTCACGCTTGATCATCCCGTAGTTAACTTAATTCACATTATTCACGTTTATTCACCTTTTAATACGATTAAATCACCTTGATTGGATTGACCACTTATTCACCTTGTGCAGTAATTGTATCTTCTCATCAATTGGTATACTCTTACTGCTTTAAGGTGACTTTTTTCAGTTCTGACTGTGCTCTCGCCAAGCAGGCGTTTGGCGAGAGCACAGTTTGAAACATTGTAATACAGTTTGAAACGGGGGTTTCAGGTGGTAATGGTTAAAAAACTCCAGGTGGTCGAAATTTCCGGAGCCTTTCACTACGGCGTTTCTCATAATTATATGGTGGTTTTGGGACGTTAACTCCACATATTATTATTATTCAGGTGGTAATGGTGTCTGATGATTAACAGACATTATAACCACCGCGGGATAAGCACATCCCACTTGTTCGTTTACAATAACTTGGCGAAAAGCCCTTTAAAAGCTTCGGAAAAGGATGGCCGACCTTCGCATGCAAGCTTTTTTTATATGATAGAGTGTGTCTTAATGTTTGTGTCCCCACACTATGTAGTGGACGCTGAGTAATATGTTGATCCTCTAATAGATGGCGCTGGGAGTATGCGCACGCCACCTCACGTGGGGTATATAGCAGGGTGGCAGTAGCGAATAAACGGGGCTTCTTGTTGTTGCTATGAGCCGTGCTCGTGTCTTACTCGGCGTCTCTGAATATGGTGTCAGAAGTGGGTGTCCAACGCGGAGTTATGGACGAGACAACCGGTACAGGCGTGGGCCTTCCCAGCTCATGAACGAGACAACCGGCACAGACGCCGGGCCTTCCCAACTCACCCTCATTCACGTCGGTACGTCGGGACTTCACCCTCCATCGCCTTTCAACTTCACCGGCCCAGGAGAATGGACAACATGGATAACGAGGTACGAAGATTACTCCTTCGCGGCCGGAATCAACACAGCCACCGACGAGGGGCAGGTGCGAACTCTATTATGTTGCATGGGTTCCCAAGCACGTAGCGTCTTGTCGTCGCTAGGACTGTCTGCTCTGGAAATGGGCCGATTTGTGGAAGTCAAGGCAAAGCTCACTTCGCATCTTGTCCACCCTATCAACGAGATTTATGAGAACCGCCGATTTCATCACCGAGTACAACAACATGGGGAGTCAGTTGATGAATTTTTTACCGCGCTTAGGAATCTTGTCAAGCGTTGTGGGTACAACAACGCCTAGATCGAAGATCACCTTGTGCGAGACAAGTTTGTCGTTGCATTGTGGAATGAGAAGCTATTGGATCAGTTGTGCCGATGTGCGAAATTTACAGCCGAGGAAGCGTTGTGCCAAGCGCGTGTTCCCGAAGAAGCCGAAAAAGAGCGTCTATTCTGCGAAACTCCCAGTGAGAGCATGGCCTTCGACAGCTTAAACGTGGACGTGGCGCAACGCACGAAGAATGCGTCATCGCGTCGCAGCAAGTAGGTGCAGTCAACTATGTCTACTAGCAATAACTGCAGCCATGATCACCACTCTCAAAAAGAATGCCGAGCTCGCAAGGCCACATGCAATTTCTGAAAGGAGCAAGGTCACTTAATTGCTGTTTGCCAGGCCAAGCATCGGAAAAAGCTGTTAAGCTCAGTTGAACTTCACGCGCTCAGTACGCGTCGGGCACGATATACCGACATTCACGTTAATGGCCACCTCGCACACTTAAACATAGACTCTGGAGCCAAAGATAGACTCAGGACTCTTTTCCGGCATTACGTACTGTTTTGGATAAAGTAGACGCCGAGGTATTTGGTCCTGGAAATCAAAGGTTGCACGTTGTGGGATCTTTCGCTGCTACCTTGCAGTGGCGTAACAACGTGTCTGTGCAAAGCTGTATGTTATCAAGAACCAGACGACACACCTTGTGTGATTACCGGCAATCGAAGACTTGGGCATCGTTCGGTTTTTGGACTCTGGGGATAGTATTCCGTCACCCCAATCAAAAGTTTTTCGTGGGCTTGGGAAGTGCAAGCAGAATACCACAATTTCGTCGCTCAAGATGATCGTCCCTTTTCATTATGTGTTCTCGGATGAATACCTCTTCCTCTGCTCGAGCAGGTGAAGAAGGAATTAGATGAAATGGAAACCCAAGGACTCATTCGCAAGGTTGACACACCTACCACATCTTGTTCAAGCCTCGTCGTCGTGGCTAAGCCGTCGGGCGGGTACAGGCTTTATGTCGACTTGACGAAGCTTAACGAGATTGTCCGGCGGGAACGCTACATTCTGTCAACAGTGGAAGCCATCTTAGGCCAGCTTGGTGGGGCACAAATTTCTCCCAAGCTCGATGCAAGATCCAGCTTCTACGAAATCAAACTAACCAGTGAGAGCGAAAAACTGATGAAATTCATCACACCTCTTGGCTGCTATTGCTACAAGCATCTTCCCTTTGGCATTGCGACAGCACCCGAGTATTTCCGATGCTTCATGTCGAGACTGCTCGAAAGCATCACAGGAGTCGTCTACATGATAGACGACATACTCGTCTTTGGTATGAACTGTCATGAGCATGACCAGCGTCTACCTGACGTCTTGGCGCGTTTTAATCAAGAGTGTTTAACTCTTATTATAAGAAGTGTCAGTTCAGAGTCTCTTCTGTCAAGTTCTTAGGAGTTGTCATCAGCCAGAAAGGAATTAGTCCAGACCCGGACAAAGTTAAGATGATCATGGATCTCCCACCACCAATCGATGTTAGTGGTGTTCGCTGATTATTTGGAATGCCCCGCCGCGGTGGTCTAGTGGCTAAGGTACTCGGCTGCTGACCCGCACGTCGCGGGTTCGAATCCCGGCTGCGGCGGCTGCATTTCTGATGGAGGCGGAAATGTTGTAGGCCTGTGTGCTCAGATTTGGGTGCACGTTAAAGAACCCCAGGTGGTCGAAATTTCCGGAGCCCTCCACTACGGCCTCTCTCATAATCATATGGTGGTTTTGGGACGTTAAGCCCCACATATCAATCAATCAATGATTATTTGGAATGGTAAACCATATGGCTCGATTCATTTCAAACCTGTCTGAGATCTACGCACCTATTCGTGCACTCCTCAGCAAGAACAACGCGTGGAGCTGGAGTTACAACCAAGAGCAAGCGTTCAAGAAGATAAAGTCTTTGCTAAGCTCCGACACATGTATGGCTATGTACAATCCCCATTACCTAACTATAGTATCGGCTGACACAAGCTTTCATGGCCTTGGCGCCGTTCTACTCCAAGATCAACCGTCAGGAATTCGACATGCAGTTGACTCTGCTTCCAGATCTCTCACTACTACAGAAATACGCTACAGTCAAACGGAAAAGGAGTCTCTGGCTGTCACATGAGCTGTCACCAGGTTCGACTAATACCGACGTGGACTAAGCTTTGAGGTCGAATCCGATCATCTTTTGCTTGTAGCTCTCCTGTCAAGCAACAATCTAGACGTCTTGCCACCTCGAATTCAATGTATGCGGATCAAACTGATGCGCTATCAGTTCTCCGTCAGGTATGTTTCTGGAAAACTGCTAGCCACAGCCGACACACTATCAAGAGCACCCTGCGACTTGCCAGCTTCCAAAGCAGTCAGCAGCTTGGAAGTCTATATAGGGGAAATCCTCAAGAATCTACTTCCACAACTGGCGAATCAGCTGGACGAGATCCGTTATTTTCAAACTCAAGATAGCGAGTATTTTTCTACTATGATTTATTGTGAGAAAGGCTGGCCGTCTAATAAGAGAGCTCCGACCCATTTAGCACCATACCGGAAGGAGCGCGAAAGACTGAGTATGTAGGATGGCTTACTCTTAATGGATCGCCGCATTGTAATCCCGTCAGCTCAACGCTAGGACATTCTCGCACTGTTGCACGAAAGACATCGAGATGTCCGCCGCAGTCAATAGAGCTCCCGCGAGTGCGTTTGGTAGCCCCATTGCAACCAGCCCATCGAGGACCTTGCGGCTCAATGTTCTATGTGTCCTGAGACCCGAGCCTTGCGTTCTGAGCCACTGACACCAACGCTAACACCACAACGACCATGGCAACGCTTGGGAATCGACTTGTTCTAGTTGGTAGGACACGACTACATCTTCATCGTTGACTAATACTCCAGATTTCCAAAAGTAGTCACACTCGCAACTTCATCAGCAAAAGTGGTCATTGCTGCGGTCAAGAGTGGCTTTGCTCGTTTTGGAATACCAGATGTTGTACGGACGGACAATGGACCTCGATTCTAGCCCAAGAAGTTCGCCGACTTTGCAATGGCGTATAGATTCTGCCATGAGACCAGCAGCCCTCTATACCCTCAGAGTAATGGAGAGGCAGAGCGCATGGTGCGTACCGTGAAAGATTTGCTGAAGAAAAGCCCGGATTCGTACTTCTCTATATTTGCATACCGAGACACACCTGCAGTTTCGGGCGTCTCTCCAGCTCAGTTACTCATGGGAAGGAGACTACAAACTCGTATTCCTGTTCTGCCGGAACGACTTCTTCTGGCCTTACCAAATCACGAGGAATTTCAAGCACAGAATACTGCAGTGAAGTTGCAACAGGTTACAGACTACAATCGCCGTCACAGTGCTACTCCTCTGATTCCTCTCAGTAAGGGGGAGGACGTGTGGATAAAGGATTTAGGTTGCAGCGGTCGTGTCCTCAGCCCAGCTCAGCGACCAAGGTCGTACGTGGTCGAGACTTCAAGTGGTGTTGTCCAGAGGAATCGTTGCCATCTGGTGCCGTTTGTAGGTGACCAAAATGTCCAAGGAGAAGCAGCAACGGCTTCATACCCGACGCATGGAACCTTGCCATCAAGTCCGCCAAGAGCATCAGCCTCGACCTCAGCGCCGGAAACATCGTCTCCCAGTACTTCGTGCGCATCACCTGCGCCGCCATTCGCTCGGAGGATTTCAAGCTGGACGGTTGTGCCCTCGCGATCTCCGACTTCAGCGTAGCTCCCGCCGACTGGTTCGCCCTCCGCGGTCTCCTGATGCCGTGCAGCTCTCGCATTGTGGCACCCCGCCCTTGGACTGCTTCGACCGGATCTCCACTTTCCTATCTCCTTCTTTTTTCCTCTCGCTGGCTGGCGGCTTCTTATCCATCTATTTTCCTTCTATTCTTTTTATTCCTTCTCTCTATATCTTTTATTCCCCATATCCCATTCCTCTGCTGACCTGTTGAGGTGTCCTCGTAAGGAGAGACAGTTACGGGTCGGCACCTTTCTTTTCTTTCCTTCTGATATAACCACAATCTCTCTCTCCTGCGCCGCCTGTGAAGATACCTCCCTCGCCTGAAGCGCAGACTTTACCTCTACAAGCGAGTGCGCCTCAGTGTGGTGAACCTAAGCGTACGCGTTCTGGCCGTGCCGTGAAACCACCACGCAGGTTGAGCATGTAACTATTCCGGGAGGGAATATGTAGTGGACGCTGAGTGCTATGTTGATTCTCTAATGGATGGCGCTGGGAGCATGCGCCCGCCACCTCAAGTGGGGCATATAGCAGGGGGGCAGTGGCGAATAAACGGGGCTTCTTGTAGTTGCTATGAGCCGTGCTCGTGTCTTACTTGGCACCTCTGAACAGCTTCCCGCCCCCCTTCCTTGGTGATTTATGAATGGTGCACGAGTGGCGACCAGTGGTGTCCTACTTCAATCAATCAGTCAATCAATCAATCAATCAATCAATCAACCAACTAACCAAATAAATAAATAATTCATTCATTCATCAGTGAATCAATAAATAAATCATTTATTTGCACAAAAATGGTAGTTAAAAGTGGGGATTATACAGATACAGAGCAAGGTCCCAATATCAACAGACTGTGAACCTCCCATAAGGAATAACACAGGTAAATATGAACACAAACTAATCATTGTAACAAAAGAAGCGTAACAATAACATGATTTGATCATAAAAAAACGGCTAAAAAGCGGTGATGATGATATGATTATGCTGAGTGCAAATAAGATTGAAGGTTAAACGTGAATGTGTGGAAGTTAGAGAGAGTTTATTATGGCATGGTTATAAGTTCCAGAGTTGTGTGGCTGAGAAGTTAGTCGTGAACTTACCATAATTATTTCAGGGTGTCCGTCATAAATAGCTGTTGCTGGAAGCAACATTAGATAAAGCTGGCTAGTGTTAGGTTTTCTAAAAGCACGGATGGTTGAACTTTATTGGTTGTACATACTTCAAAGAACAGCGCAAAGAACAACGCGATAACGGAACAAATTGCACATATATAATGCTTACTCTCAACAATTATGAGAGACAGCGCTGGGGGCGTCTGCGTCTGTTATTCTGTAGTTGTCTTGTTTGCCAGTCTTTGCAGTAGTGTTAGGTAAATGATGGCTAATGCCGGCTAGTGCTGTTTTACTATTGAGAAACGTTGGCGAATGCTGGCTATTCACTGTTATAAAAACAGCATTGTCTTTATTTGATTTCAATATATAATGACTGATTTCTTGCTAACACAGGTATCATTACGCCTAGACTACGATCTTAATTTGTTCGGCCTACTTCTCTCTCCGTTTCGTTCGAACTCGGGAATACGGTAGCGTCCCAAAAAAGTGCATTCGTTTATTTGTTTAGCTTTGGTGCGAGACCCTGGCGCGGATCCGGTGAACGACCGTATAACGCGTGTGCTGTTTTCGCACAGAACGGCGAGCGCACCTTTTGCGTAGTGGTGTCCCGCACGGTAGCACTGTAGAGCCTTAGCGTGCTCGCCGAGCTGCTCGTGGAGGCTGCCAGCGTACTCGTACAGCTCGGACTGGGTAAGCGCCGCGATGACGCGTTCGGCCAGGTGCCGCTGCTGCCCGATTCCCGGCACAGAGCGCAGAACCAGAGCAGCCTTGGCCGGGAGACCGGACTTCAGGTACAGCGACACTGCCTCTTCCACGTTGCCCTCTTTCTCCTTCAACTGCAAGTACCACGTCGGGTCAAGATAAAAATGTTTATTGTTTTAACACTTTATTATTTTTTACGTCAAGTACATAGCTACTTGCACACCTTCAGTATGTCCGGGCAAACAGAATTGCTTTTCAGCGTGATATGGGATCTATCATTTTTCACAGAGAATTATGCAGCGCATTTTTTTACTTGTAATACAATGACTGCTTTTTTGTTTTATTATAGCTGTGCACACTGCCTTTTTTCTATATTTAAAGTCACCAACCACGGTGGCTTAGTGGCTACGGCGTCACGCTGCTGATCACGAAGACAAGCAACTTGTCTCCATTGAACGTCATTCCACAAATGTCGACCCCAAGGGATGGGTATGTTGAAGATACGAAGAAATCATGATCCATTATTGAAATGTGCAAAGTAAACAGTGTTTTCACTAAGAATCAGCATGCCATAGGTTTATGATGATTATCGTACGGAGCATTATTCATGTTTGCTGCGTTTTCAGTACAAGAATGCCCCCTACACTACTTGTACAACGACATTATGCGGACTGCCCTTGCAAAACAATCCATCATGAAGGTACTGAGTATCACGATTTTTTTGTTGTCACAAACCACTTTTCGTCATAAAATTATCGCGAAGCACCCCACGCTTCAAGCGTGTTTTATATTTCTGTCTGGCTGAGTGTTGGTCACAACACTCCTAGCCGATGTAGGAATAAAAATAGAGAGTAAAATTGCGCTAACAACAAAAAATGATTGCAGTTCATGACTGAAATTTACTCATGAAAGGACGCTCTCGTTGTTGGCAACTCGTGGTACCACTTAGTTCTGCATATTGAGTTCGAAACAATACATGTTTTGATAATATGAGAAAGAGGAAAGAAGCCCACTTACCTCGGCTGCTTTTCCTTCCATGCCGTTATTCAAAAGCCACTCAAAATAGTCATCTCGGAGTTTGTCGACGTTGAGATAATTCTGCGTAACATGTGCGGTTGATTAAAAAAAGGAGGAAAACTTTGTGTGAGTGTTCGTCGCTAGACAGGGTAGCCAAGACTATCCTTACTCTTGCTTCGGCCAGCTGGATCATCTCGTCCCACTTGTGCATATTTTTGTACATCTCCATTGCCTCTTCAACTTTATTCTGTACATGACAAAAAGAGAAAACGATGACGGATGCCGACATAGCATAATACCCAAGTCAGCGTTCTCACGATAGCCTCTACAAGATGCATGGGATACACTTGCAATACGAACTTTATACAGTACCACATTGTTTGAGTGATATCTACAAAAAACTAACGACATAAAGCCCATAACACTGCTTTACAAGCCCTGAGAGCTGAATGCTTTTTATGTCAGTCGACTGCTGTGCGAAAACTGAGCCTCGGTGTTGCTGTGATTTGCCCTCGTTCTGCTTCTCAATGCCAGACGTATGATTCCCAGGTCCAACTCAATACGTAAGCAAACTTGTTGCTCTATATCGCATGTTCACATTGATCAACTCAATACATTATACGGAGCGCGCCAACAAATCGTGCACCATTCATTCACTCGTGGTGCTCTATCGGCCTCAGCCAAGCAGCATTGGTCATGGCTTCAGCTAAGACTTTGGAACTGCCCAACCTCCTACCTGCTCAAGGTAGATGTTTTCGGCGAGCTTGAACTGCTTATCCAGCATGGCGATCCTCGCCCTCACTTCGTAGTGGTCGTGGCCGTCCTGACCCTGCAGAGGGAGTTACGAGTGTCACCTCGTATACAGCAGTCATGTGGTACACGCACCGTGGCTTTTGCGGCCTCTTCCTGGAGGCGCATGACGTGCGCCAGGAAGCGCGCTTTGGCAAGGTCGCCCAGAGCGGCATACGAGCGCTCGGCCACGGCCACGAGGCGCTCCTCGAGCGCCATCTGTCCTAGTGTGCGCCACATGGTTTCGGTCTCCTCTGTGAGCTCAAGGCTTTCCAGGTAAGCCACTGCTCTGCACACGTGGATGAGAACTGTTTGCCGGCTCGGCACACGTCAGTTACGCCTTGCTCATTGACGGATGTATTTTATTTCATTAGGCTTGCCTGACTAAATACTGAGACATTTCACCAGATACTGTAACGACGTGTAAAACGCGACGTTCATCGTTCATCACTTATATTTTCACGTTAGCCAGCTTGCAGCCTATCGTCCTGAGTGCCTTTTGTTTCGAAGGGGAGAGCTAACTGGGAGAGAACACAGAAGGTGTTGGGGTGTATTCGCTTTGGAGGCAGGAGCAGAATATTCTAACCATGCATGGGACCTTTCAACGGCAGACTCAATGTCGTGTTGAAGGCAGTTGTAAACGTTACCGCGCACATTAAGTTCAAGTGTACAAAGAAGCAAGCAGAGGGTGGTATTGGGGCATGAGCGTCTGGTCAAGAAAGACACTTTTAAAAAAAGTAGAGATATTAATGAATGAAGGAAAACTTAATTTGGCGCTTAGAGGGAACGAGAATTATGGAGCGAGAATTTAGCTTTACGAGTTCATGGTGATGGTCCTGACCACGTTACTACGTTCTTAGATTGTTGGTAACAATAAAATTTGAGTTTAAGCTGACTTTTTTAACAAAGTGAAGAATTGAAATATTTATGAAGACGTTCAAGTGCGTGTGTTGCATACTTTGGTCAGAAATTAAGCGGTGAGTCTAAGCACAAGGATAAAGATTGCGATTCTCTGATGAAATTTCCGCTGCTGTCTTCTGTGAGGTACTTACTATGAAGATTAAAGGGAAACTTAATGCGCAAACAGAAATTTGACTGCCGAAATAATGGCGACATGAGACTCAAAGGGGAAGCCTCACCGACCGAAGTCGCCATCAGTGATTGCTGTGCCAAATTCGATGAGACCTTCTTTCAGCGGGTAGCCGACTGTTGTGAGACCTTCGTTGACAATGACTTCAGTCTTTCCATCCTCACGTTCAATATCTACTACTTCACCCTAAACAGTTGCAAAAAAGAAGGCAAAGCACATACATAAAATAAAACCATTTGTCTCAATTCTCTTTAGTGGCTTCACGGCAACTGCATGTTTTTCCTCCAAATAGTGTAATCTAGGTATTTCCTTTAAACTCAGAAAGGCAAATACTGAGTCTTTTGCCAATGCCGCCTTTATATTGGCGCATATACACGCCGCATGTTTCTTGGAGGAATGCGACATGTACCGACACTTTCCAGTCCTGGCAGCTTCTTCTGAGATACGATACTCTTTAGTTTATCAAACTTATAGCGTTATTATTGGCACGAGATACTTCAGCAATAAACCTAGAAACAGGTCTATACTTCCACACTTCCACTTGCTTTTCATGCGAACTCGTTTAAAGGTAAGCATTCGAGTAATCTAAAATTATTGTAGTGATTTTCTGTGCAACAGGACGTAAGTTCGGAGTCAAGAGGCCCACGCGCTGTTGAAATGCCAATTCGGAGATGATTATAGACGGACTCGAGGGCAGTCGCGTGCATGACGTACCTTGATAGGAATGGTGGTGGTTCTCTCAGGGGCATCCACGTTGTACCAGACATAGACGACATTACGGCCTTGAGCCACCACCACGTCGCTGTCTGGAACCCACTGCAGGGCGCATGTGTGGCCAACGCGCGTTTGGGCAGTGAGCTCGCCTGCTATGTGTACTACTCTCCGGATACAATGAGCACTCAAAAGGTTTGAAAAAACAGTATATTCAGCCCTCCATCAAGCGTCCAGCGTGCTCTCTGAACTGAACCTTCAAAACCGTTCTTCGTGTGGCTTTATTTCAGCACGCTTATATTAGGACCTGCGTACAAATGCTGCCTGCAACAGCATGCTTTCAGGAGCCTTGAGCTACAGAGCCTCAAAATATCAACACTCATTTTATCTTTCTTAGGCGAATAAGCAAAGTACAGCAACAGTGAAGCAGCGACGCTCACCTGTACAAACGTGCAGTTATTCAGAAGTGTTACTTTGTCTTGTGACGCAATGTTGAACAGGCTGAGCTGGAATAGAAACAGAAAAATAGAAACAGAAAAAAGTAACTGCATGTAATGTACAATATTCTGCAGGTCAATCGGAAAAGAGGAGAACGCAATGGTATCGCAGCTGCTATTATCACCACCACAATACATTCATTTGCAGACGAATTATAATGACTATTGGTAGACTATGTCTATTCAAATTCTTTGTACAACATTCACTTGTTGCTCCGCCGCTGTGATCTAGTGGTTAAGGTACTTCGCTGCTGACCCGCAGGTCACGGGATCGAATCCCAGCTGCAGCGGCTGCATTTTAGATGCAGGCAAAATGCTGTAGGCCCTAGTGCTGAGATTTGGGTGCAAGTTAAAGAACCCCAGGTGGTATAAATTTCCAGAGCCCTCCACTACGACGTCTCTTATAATAATCTGGTAATTTCGGGACATTAAACCTCACATATTAATAAACATTCACTTGATGCTGCCGGGTACTCGCTTCTGGGTCATATGTTATACTGCTGTTGCACCAGCTGCGGCGTCTCATGTAATTTTATTTTCTATGCCCAGTCCATTCAAATGGTGACAAAAGTGTCCTCAGAGAAGCAGTTAGCTCCTGAGGTAGAAGAAACAATATTGTACTGAGGTGACAGTAAGTTTGACATGTTGAAAATTCATTTACATCAGAAGGACCATGGCTATAGCGCATGAGATATGACACTGATTACATAGTTTTCCTTCTTCTGCCACAGTTCCTCCCACTTTTCAAAAACATTTATAGTACATCTGTAAGGACATCTAGAGAAACCGCAAAAAATTAGAAAGAGTGAAGGTGTATTCTCTAGTGATAATCCTTTATGATTCAGAGTTGGTGATAACTTTTCGAGCTCCATATTTTCGAGCATGTCATATTAACTATCAGTTTTGCATGTAACACTAGTTATGTAGCCTTTCGCTGTGGCAGTAGGCCTTAAATAATTTTATCAATAAAGTCGTTCGGGAACACTCAACAATATTTCCGGGTCCTGAAAATTGTTTGAAATACTATGTCTGACAAAAGAATTTGAAATAAGATTCATACACCATGAGACTCTAAGAAGAAGAAGAAGAAGCAAGTAGGTTTCGGACGCCTGCCGTTTGCCTGCTCTGAGGGTTTGGCCAAGGATTTAGTAGTTGTGATTGAATTTATTCTTGATAGGCATTCTGATAGGGTCCTAGTTGATTAGTAAGAGTATTTTTGGATAATAAGGCCAGACAGCTACCGTTTTCCTCTCCTGGACCAGGGGCTTTCTTCTGGTCTGCTTCTCTTTTTCCACAGGAATTACCAGTCGACTTGTTTCTACGCAATGGCATTTCATCCGTGCCTGTGGCATTAGTCCCAAACAACGAAGGTATCATACGAATGAAGAATCCAAAAATGATCTGGTAGCCGTTACAGCCCACTATCAAAACATCACAGAGGCCCGACAGTTCGGCGAAGGAGGCATTCTCTGCTTCTCGTCTGACCAGCTCGGTGTTCAAGACCTGCTGGAATGCTCGGTGTTCGCTGCCAACCCGGTGAGCGCATTGATTCCACCTCACCAAGCTTGCGCCAAAGGCCTCATTCGGGGCGTCGATGTCAACTTGACTCCAATTGAGATACTATATATGTTTTCAGAAGTAGGAGAGGTAGCGGTTTATAGATGTAGTCGAGTTGTGGATAAGAACAAGGTCCCAACTGAGTCCGTGATTGGGACATTGGCCGGGTCGAATCGCCCAACCGAAATCAAGGTGTGGCCTTTAATATGCAGAGTGGAGCCGCCATCACCTCGTCCCTAGAGTGTAATAGGTGTTGGCGTTATGGGCACCAAGTGAAAGGATGCAGGTCAGTACCTAGATGCAAAGTTTGTGGTTAGGCGCACAACTCAAATGACTGTGAGAGTAATGAACAAAAGTGCTGTCTGTGCCATGAAGCACATTGTTATGATAACCTAAATCGCTCAGCCAAGGCACGTGAAATCCAAATTCTTGCAATCGTAGACAGAAGACGATGCTCCCGAAAGGATGTAATTGCTGCAATTCTGGCCAGAATTCAAGGGTATGCTCGTGCGGCAGCCCGCCATAACATAACAATAGAAGCATAACTTTCCCTGTCAATGGCGGACACGATCTAAAAGGATGTGTATAAGGCTATGCTACGCCTTGCTACCACCCTGTGTGAGTCTCTGTCACTTATCATAAAGAACCAAATGGCCCAAGTCTATAAAGTGCAGATAGATATAAGTACGGTTTCACAAAATGCTTTGTCTGCGCACTCGACAAGTGAGGCAAAATCTGAGATTTCTGAGTGAGGCAAAATCTGACCAAAAACTGCGAAGATATATTAATACTCAAAAAATTTGGTTGCAATCAATTTCATTATCGTTAAACATCAGTAAAAGTGCGCTTTTGGTGTTTCCAATAGCAGATTCAATTTCAATTTCTATATTATATAATCAGACACCTATTCCACAATTAGATTCAGTCAAGTACTTAGGAATATTTATTAATGAAAAGCTTAATTGGAGCCAACACATACAGTATATAACAGCAAAGACTCAATGGGCGTTGAGTGAGTTTATTATGTAGGCTAAGCAAAAGAAAATACGGGCTGTGCAGAGACTTGATGTTAATAATGTATAAAATGTACATGCGACCAATATTGGAATTCGGGTGTGTATTACTCTCGGAGGCTGCTGGTTATTTAATTAAACCTCTATAGTAATGTTAGAGCGAGAAGCCTTGCGAATATGCCTGGGACTTCCCAGGTTCGTGGCGAATAATGTATTGCATCACGAAGCGTGATTGCCAACACTCCTCTGTTGATTCCGCATTCTAACGGTTCAAACCTTCTTAAAGTCCTACAGTTTACCGGTGCGAAGATCAAAATACGCTTTTACAAGCGACCCTGACTCCTTCTTTCTTGTAGATTGGCCAGATTTCATACACCTCCGATAATCTTTTGTTAAAAAGAAACTAGATTGCACAAATGTAGACATTAACACGGTAATTGAAACAAATTCCTCAACCCTCAACATTAGGATAGAGTATTATCAAATCTTCCCCCCACAAGCCAAGTTGCAATCTTTCTGATTTTTTACCAATACACTAAAATACTACCTGGTTCATGCAGAAACAAATAATGTAATAGCTACAGATGCTGCTTAGTGAACAATGAAAAGGCAGGTGTAGGACTTGCCTACGATTTTCTCGACTGGTCTTTCTCAGTGAGGCTTCTAGATTTCACTCCTATTTTTGAAGCCGAGCTAGTAGCTATTATTTTACACTTCGAAAACTTCCTACAACCGAAACCAGTGCAATCATTCTAACTGATTCACTATCGGTGTGTGCAGCTCTGACAATCTCAGAACAATCTAGTGCCCTAGCAGCGTTCCGCACATTAGCACTACCGCATTTAAAACTCCTGAAATTAGAGTGGGTCCCAGGCCACAGCGGATTACAATTATATGAACTGGCAGATGCCTTGGCGCGAGCATCACTTGATTGACCATTAATTTCGGTACTGCCAGAGTTGGAATACATAGCAGGGGTTAGATATAGAAAATTGCCTATGCTTACAGATAGTTTGGAAAAGAACACAAAATGGACAGATTATCAGCACCTCAACTTTTCATAGAAATCTCAGTGGAGTCCGTCGAAAAAACTTGAAGTTATTATCTCCAGATTCCGGGACCGTGTTCCCCCATTAAATTTTTATTTACACAGAGCTGGTCTCACACTCTCCCCTCTTTGTTCGTTCTGCGAAAAATCAGAAACCATTGAACATCATTTTGTATCATGTCATAGCTACGCAGTAATTAGGAAAAGACTTCTAGCTACTCCATTGGCGAAGCTAGGTTTAAACTTAACCACAGAAAATGTTCTAAATTTTGATGCCTCCGTTTTGGTGAATAGCCACAGGGATGTTTTCAATGTGGTATGTAATTTCATTCAAGACTATAAACGTATTTCAACATAAGGCCCACTTTGACAAATACTAAAAAATTGGGGTCAGGAAGTTTTTTTCGAAATGTGGATAATTATGAGACATACATCCCAAATTAGTCGGGTTCGGCAAACTCAACTGTCTGGTCGGCTCCCCAAATCAAGGTATAGTTACTAAATTAGTGTCTTATTTCTTGTTTTTTTTTTTGTTCGCACTCTCTAACTCTTTGTTTTTTTTTAATATGCTGCCTTCCTTCTACATCATTTTTTTTGTAAGCAATAGTGCAGTTATCATCCATACAATACTATGTTTTCTTGGCCTATTCCACAGAGTGAGTATGTACCATGGATTCTGGGCTACAAACAAACAAACAAATCTTCGTCTTTTTTCTTGTGTTGTCATTTTTTTTCTTTTGCGTTAACATGTCTCAGCCAGTTATGCCCGACGAACTGGCCAAACAATTAATTCACTTAGAGTACTTGGATGGTGAATTCCATTTTTTACAATAATGTCGCAGTCTGTTATGCTTCCACGGTCATACTGTTTTGAGTAATGCGCAATTAGCTATCACAAAGCAGGGGACCAATCGCACCCACTCGTTGCCGTCTGTCCCGAAAGAGGAGCTTCTGTCCGGTCTCGTTCAACTCGAGCCAGTCGATCTTGGAGTCGTGCGGTACCTGAGCCAGCGTCATGCCCGTCACCAGGTCCACTGCACATGCACACCCGTTGCGTACAACGAGTTGAGTGACGACATCCCGTAAGCAGGCTACCGCAAATATAGGCAGAAAGAATGAGCAATCAACGCAATTCGTGCTGTGCTGTTTAGAATCCCTGGACTATGTTTTAATAAATTACATGCTGAATTGCGTGAAGATGAGATACGTTTATTTTCAGAATCAGCTTTTATCCCAAAACTACAAAATGATTGTCAGATGCGCTGTAGCTTAAGGCTCAGGATTAATTTGAACCTCTTGGGGCTCTTTACCGTGTGCCTAAATCAAGTACATGGCAGTGTAGTTTTTCCCCTCCATCGAGATGCGGCCACCGCACCCGGGACTCGATCTCGCGACCTTCTAATCAGCAGTAGAGCATCATTTAACTACTGCACCACACTACACTGGCGGGTAATGCTCAGCCTAAGACAAGGAATAGAGTGGAATAAATGGATCGGGCTTCTAGCTGCGATAGGGTAGTGCGCTTCTATTCATCCAGTCGTCACAGTAAAAGTAGGAAGTGGCTCTTCGAGGTGGCGTTCCAGCTTAGAGCTTTGGAACTGAAGGGTTTACTTAGATAAGGGGTCAATTAGCCGTCGCGACGTTCCAAGTACCTGGCAAGGGGGGGATGCCCGTTCAAGCATATATATATATAGGTGGGTGCCACAGTGGGTTGAATTTGGTTTGTTTTGCCTAATCCCGAGTCATGATAAACATGACTGACGACTGGACCACTGACGCACTGAACGGGGCTTTGAAACTGGTGTGCAGCAATTAATCGAAGCTAGCCCTACTATACCTACATTGATCGACCAGTGTAAGTGTGAAGAGGAGTTTCCTGCTCAACAATTGGAAAATATTTGTTCAAAACTTATGAAGAAAATGGAAGAACTGTTGCCGACAGATTTTCATCAGGTAGGAAACGTACGGACATTAAAGTAAATTGAAATTCCTAGCTGGAGGACGTAGAATTTTTCATTGAAGACAATTCCAACGAAAAAAGGGTGCAGTCCGACGATGCACGAAGACAGGTTTCTGGACAACTAGGAGCAAAAAAAAAATACTAATAAAAGAATGAAGAGTAGAGTATTTGTCGGCGGAAATAGAATATTCGACCACATACCTAGAAGAATATAATTAAACTTACCAGTCGGTGAGAAAAATAGTTACTCGAAAGTTCAGAAAGTGGAATAAAACTTGGAGCACACGGCTTTTACTAGTTCACAACACCTTCCAAAAACTTTGATCTTTTTGAACTTTGAACTGCATTTTATCAAAGTTTTTTGGAAGTTCAAAACTTCCAAAAAAGCTTTGATGAAATGCAGTTCCCTCATGCAGGTAACTGTCTGTACTCTATCAGCACTGTAGTGCAGAAGTGTGCAAAAGGAATAGGGTTTACCCTTTGTAAATAGAAGAAATGCACATATTTTGGAGCACTTTTCATCAAGTCGAACAAACAACGGACTCGGGTGTACAAGGATCCTCTAATTTTATTGAAAGTCTGAAGTTCGGAATTCATTTTTGTGCATAAATGAAGTGGTACAAAACGCGAAAGAGCCCTCGCGACAACAACTTCCTGGGCATTAGAGGCACGTGCACGTCGTTAATATACGAGCTTGGACAAGCAACTATACCAAGCGCTGTAAACCATTACAAGTAGCAATTCAGTCGAGCGAAGAGCTCAATCTTACAAGCAATGGTCTGATATCAATTAAAGGCGATTCACTTATTTCGTTGCGTACGTCACTTAGCAGGCACGCACTAATTTACGCACTTAGCTTGTCACCAACTTCATATACATTTATATAAAATATTTTATCTCGAATTAAACAGGTACGAAGGTAGAAGCTGGACGAGGGAAAAACGCCTGGAAATTTGTACAAACAAAACCTGTATGAGCGCCTGTGTTGATTAGTCGGAATCTCTAGACATAAAGTACGATAAATATGCTTCGGAATATGAACAATATATGCTCCAGACACATTCACAGTTGTGAATCATATGGGACGTAAGTAATTATCCACCGTTAAGTGCAATTAACAGTACTGAAAGGCATTCTGTCATGCTCCAACTAAGCCCACATGTTTACATTGCAGTGGATAAATGTGCCATTAGCTCCCCTTTCCGCAAAAGACCGCCTGTTCAATGAAGCTGTAAAACAACAAAAAATTAAACTCAGAAATTACAATTTTGAAGATGTCTAACCTCATAATATATATATATATATATATATATATATATATATATATATATATATATATATATATATATATATATAGATAGATTGATTGATTGATTGATAAATCGAATCCAATAGAGACCGCTGATATGAATTTGTCATTCTAGAGGCCCGTAGCCTCTTGTAGCCTTTCTGGTGACCATTTCAAGGATAATACATTTATAGGCAATAAAATTGACTTCCCGTGTACCCTCTTAATACGTCTAGTTGATTATATGCTTTCGCACATTCTGAGCGTGCACATCAGCAGTGAGGCGACAGTTTCAGTTTGGCCCTCACTTCACATTCCCGTGAAGTGATGCCTCGGTTCAACTGCTTAGGGTGAACCCGCTCAGCTACAAACCTTATATCTGTCTGCGTATCCGACTTTTTAGGGGCGAAGCTCCTTATAGCGGCACCCGTTCGTCCCTCGTAGTCGTAGTAGTAGTCGTAGTGTGTAACCAGTCTTACATTTTGACCTCCAAGGTGGTGCCGGTGAGTGATTTTTTTTGTGCGTTGTTGAACAATAAAAACTTCGCAGCGTGCGCGTTAACTAAAAGCCGAATTCTCCTGTCTCTCATTCCCCCTTAGCAAGCATTGGCATGTACATTGAGCACTATCTGACAAAAATGGGTTGCTACGTTATACTCGCTGGGCATAACCTCCTTGGTTTTAGAAAGGTTCAGCGAGCGTTGGGCCGCAGTGCCATGAATACAGTGAACTAGTATATACCATGAACTAGAGGAGGTTAAAGGTGGGAAGTAGACAAGAAGCGCAAGCCGTAAGAAAGTGTGCGTGTGCCACCTCTCGTTTAGTCCTTGGAATGTCCGCTGGATGGTGGTGCATATGCGGAATATATGATGAAAAGATGTGAGATGGTGGTACTTGGAGTGTTGAATAGATGGACGAATGGACACACAGACAGATGCATTGACGGACTCACTGATGGCTGCACCGGCGGATGGACGCATGGATGTACGCAGGGGCGGACGCATGGACGAACGCAGGGACGGACGCACAGATGGATGTGCGGACGCACGAACAGACGCACGTGCGGATGGGCGAATAGACGCACGGACGGTCACACAGACGGACGGAAGCAAGAACGAATGGACGGACGAATGCTTCGCCCCACTCTCCATCATTCACTCCGTGGATATGCTGCCGTTTTTTCATTCGTATTTCTTACCGATTTTGCATGCAAATTTCTGCACGCTAAAACGAATAGACGTGCGCAGCCTATACGCAGCAACTTCTTTATAAAATGAACGACCCCACACGAAACGAAAGTCTTGTGGCGGTGTACGCTGCGAATCGCGTCATGTAATCGTCACGTATGTTTTGTAGCTGTGGTTATGCAAAACTCATCTAACTTGATTAGTATGGTAATGCGGTTACGCAATGCTAACATCTACTTTCAGCACAAACCATTGTTACAGGGTAGCTTCAGTATGTCAGAAATTCGTTTTCCTGTCGCGGGCGAACGTGAGTAAATGTGAGCACTTGAACGTTCTATGGCCATAGATATGCAAGCATGAACTTAGAGGAAGCACTTTCTTACCTACGAATATCGTTTTCAAGTCAATTAAATAGGCTAGCTTCTTGTTGTCCGCAGGCTCTTGTTGTCCTGGGCGCCTTCGTTCGTTCAGACGCACACTTAATAAGAAAAAGAAAACATGCAGAAACTCGTTAGGCAATGTAATCAACCGTAATATATGCTTAGTTTTCGATTATTTAAAAAGTGACAATGAGCTTAAGAAGCGCAGTGTTGTTTTTCATTGGGGCAACGCACCTTAGCAAATGAGGATTCATGAATTCTGTGCGCACCGAACCAAGGATCTCGTTGTGACCATACTCTACCAGGGACAGTTCACCAGCATTGAAAATCATGCATACCTGTGACAAGGGGGGGGGGGGGGGGAAGTAGAAAGAGAAAGTACTCCATAACTGTTAAGTCCTCTAGTTCAAGCAATTAGTTCTGACTGCTAAATAATATATCTTTTTAAATACTTTCAGACATATATAAGACCAGGCAAACTACTCCTGTAACATTTTACAACCTGCATTTCTAGCATCGTGGGTGTGCGCTTCGCGTAAATGCAAATAGGTTTTCTCGTACATTTTCGGTTTCAAAGTAAAACTTCTCGTTCCTCGAGGTTCCTTCCCAGAAGACCTGCAGTAAGAATACAAAAATTAAAGCGACTCACTACAAAACACATATGATAAATGAAAAAACGCGCGAACAAGATAGGTCTACCCGCACCTCACAGAACTTGTCCTGGAGCAAATCGCCGAGCAACAGCGTGGCCGCCGTGTACGCCACCAGGTAGCGATCTCTGCCCAGGATTTTTATATCCTGAATCTCGTGACCGTATTGCGACTTGAGCGTGCTCTTCGTTTTCGTCGCCAGGTTCACAATAAGGGCCTGCGCGACACAATCGCAATGTGTACTGTACAGTTTAAAGTGAAGTTTAAAATCGAACGTAATAAAACAAACTCCTCTTTTGTGTACAACCTTGGTTGCGTGAACGTCTAACTGCCCGAGACAACATTAGAAGTCGTACCAGCAAAGTGTGAAATAATAGAGTGCACTTATTATGAATGCAAATGCAAACGACATTGCTGCTGAGCGCATTGATATGCAATGTGGGTCCTTTATTTCGGCACTGAGTTTTCATTTACAGCCATTTCAATAAGCCTTAAACTGACTATTGTAGAGACAAGAATAATCAATGTAACACTTGGTGAGTAGAGTGCCACGTACGATGCACTTACTGCGTGTGGCGTTGTAGCATCAAATCTTTTACCCAAGAACACACTATTTCATTCATATGCATGAAATATTTTGCTTTAGATTGAAGCGCTGTTAAGAAATCCCGTTAAGCGTGAGAAGCGTCTACTAACCTGACTCGGCCCCACAAAGGTAATTTCAAATTTGTTGTTGTAGAGTGTCTTGCGTAGGCTGCAATCATAATTCAGAATGGCGCCGCACAGCGTTCCCTGCGAGTCACGGGTATCATTACTTGGCTTCGCTCAGTGTGAAAGAGACATGGCGTCAGTATCGATCATTACGCACAATGCTGACAAATTCTACAAGGAGCGAAAGGACGTTTGTGTCCAAATTGCGACAATTATTTCACATGATAAGTGCGTAAACGACGAATAATTTATTTCAATGTTCATGCGTAACATATGGGCACGCGAGGAACAAAATAACCGCCGTAGATAAGCGAACCTATGCGTGCAGTAATATATTTATTTTTCGTCACCTGACTAGGCCAGCCAAAAACTGCAAGCTCTGCGGCACCCCGCGGAGCATATGTCATGCTAACCCCAGAAAATTGCTGGGTAAAAAACGAACACTTCTGATCACTTCACAGAGAAACTCGCATACACGCGTAAGCTCGAGCAACTATAAAACAGAATACAAGATTTAATAAATACCAAGACCGAACTATCATCCACGCACTAGCAGTGCTACGAATAAACATGCTTCCAAGAGCGGTGTGCATTTCATAAGAATATATTGCCAAAATTATATGCATTGATTCCTGCATTTATGTGCATGGAAGTATTTGGAGAACACTGTATACAGTCTTACAGCTTTCTCTCTGATAAAGCTTTCAGTCTTAATAATATAAGCAACAACAACAAAAAACGCTTTCCCTTTCCGCCGTGGCCGGCTTCACCAGCCTTCATGGTGCTTTTGTTTTCATTCATATTTACATACAGGATGTTTCAAGAAATGTGTAAATATTGTAAAATCCAGCAAAAGACGTTACTTGCTCCCTATCTTCACAGTTGCTTTCTCTGTAGTGGCAGGTATATTAAGAAGTTTGAAGATATCACTCGGAACAGTAATTAGTAAAGTTAAGTAATTACCTTCTTAACTAACGAATTTCTACAGTTAAACCAAATGGGAGAATCGAAGTCCTTGATACACAAAACCAATTGCCGCTTTGAGATTTAAGAAAAGCAGCCTTTAGTAATAAGTACGAATGAATCAAATAATCCAGATTCTGCGGCGAAACCGAAACCAAAGGACCGATGACAGCAACAAGCAGATGACTACAGGGACGTCACTGTTCAAAAACGTGGTTGCTGGGGTACAGTGCTTTACATTTCCAATTCATTAACACACACACCACACACACACACACACACACACACACACACACACACACACCACACACACACACACACACACACACACACACACACACATATATATATATATATATATATATATATATATATATATATATATATATATATATATATATATATATCTATATATATATATATATATATATATATATATATATATATATATATATATATATATATATATATATATATATATATATATATATATATATATAATTATGTGCGCTGTGATTGCGAGCACCGCCCACACACCCACGCAACGAATTCGGTTAATGGTTAATATAACAACGCTTCGTCATTTCCGTTGCACTTTTTCGCGTTTCGGTTTCACCGCAGAATTGCGAAAAATTTATTAATCGCAGTTATTACTAGAGGCCACTTTTCAAAAATCTCAAAGCTCCCATAGGTTTTTCACATGAAGGACTTCAATTATGTCAATTGACTTAACAGCCTAACTCCAATAATTAAAATTCAAATCATTTAACTTTCCTAATTACTGTCCAAATGATATCTTCAACCTTCTTAAGAGGTCTGATGCTACAAAAGAAACAACTGTGAAGACAACAATAAAATAACGCATTTTCCTTATTTTTTAAGAATATAGAACACATTTCTTCAAACAACGTGTATACAAAAAGTAAGAGAGGGGGGCTCTAGAGATACAAACGAGAAATCACGCCCGATAGCACCTACGCGGCAATCAGGCACGCCCACTAAACTGACGCAAAGAGTGCACTGTTCTTACCACGGCGAGCCTTGATCCGTCTCGCTTCCAAGCGAGGCTGGATATGGTGTAAGCGTTCTGCAGCTCCTTCGGCTTCGCCTCGTCCCAGGCTCGTTTGTTGCTGCTCCACGTGAACACACGGACTCTGCGAAGCCGCGAGGAGCTGAGTAGGAGCTTTATAACATTATCTTATTGTCGCATGTTATTACTAAATAGTCAAATATAATATTTTGTCACTTGTCTTCAGAAGGAGCGTAAGTCATTTTACATTATAAAGCCGAGCTAAATAAGCATTTGCGGAATGTCATAACTTAAAGTAACCAGTAACAATTCAGAAATTTCGTGCCCTACAGTGCGTTTTCAAACAAAAAAAAAAGCAGCTTTAAATTTTGTGTCTCGTTTTTAATTTTTTGAAGGGCTTCTGGTTTGATGGAGAGCGGGCTATACTTAGCTATCAAGCAATTAAAATTCGTTGCTGGGAGGATAATTCTCCGGGAAAAGGCGGTGGATGGCAACGCTTGCAAGGACTGACCCCCAGCCTGGGCGCAAGAGGTGTCGGAGACGCAGAATACCTTGTGCACTATGTCGACCTAACGTCCCTGTATAAGCGTATAGAGGGACGTTAAGGTGGAGCAACCTGTTCACCTATTGTGCATGCGAAATAGATCCCACCTGTCATAGCTGCCGACAGCCAGGGCGTGTCCCCCGGGGCTGCATGCTGCCGCGGCGAACTCGTGCTCGTCTGGTTGCCGGCTGTAGTCGAACTGCTGCTGCACACGACCCTCCCGGGGAGCGTAGAACACAATACGTTTGTCGCAGCCAGCCGCCATGATGGACTGCTCCGTCCAGCACAGCGCATACGGTGGGCATGGGTGCGTCAGCACTTTGCCCTGTGACCCCGCCGGAGGGCGAAGCAGTGTGCACTTCATTTCTTTTCGATTACTCATTACAATAATTCATTCGTTGATAATTGTTGTGCTGAATAAAATGACCATGAATTGATCTCGGTTCACGATAAAATCGCACGGGCCACAGCACATATGTACGCTACATTGTGTAGAACCAGAGTAACGTCGGACGCGGCAAGAGGATAATTAGCTTGCAAAGCCAAGTAGTAACACTGAATAAGCAGAGGACCAAGTGTACAAAAATGAAACGAATTTACTGTTTCGAGAAGTCGAAATCTATTAATCACATATAAATAGAGTTATATATCCTTATTTTTAGCACTGAAAATAGAATGTTCTTTTGCTCTGTTTCTTTATATTTTTGTTTTCAACGATGAAACCCCTGACAGCATCTCATGTATGATAATACTGAGGGACTCTGGCCTGCAGAGCTTTTGATTCCACATCTCGATTTCCCAGCGACTTCATAAAAAGTCACTCTTAAGCAGCAGCACAAACTACGCTTGTCTCTATAGCAAGTCATGTGGGTCCGAAGGACTAAGGCGTGGACATGCAAAGCGATAAACAAAACAACAGAGCACCTGTGCCTGAGATAGCGTAGCCTTTCTTCCGTTCTTCGACATTATTGCGTGTTATTGCTAAATATACAAAAACATTTCCGTCCCAGTTCTTCGCTCGTGCACTCTTCTAACGCCGCTATTGTGGCGCTGGCGTGTGCAACGCTTATCGTAAAATAGCTTTGTATAACTGTGTACAAAGCATAACAGTACTATCCGTGTCAGTCTATCCGCCAAATGAAGACAAACCATTATATTCCTAGTATTTTTTATGCTTGCCACGTTTTCATGCAGTCATTATAGTGAGGTCAAGGTATGAATCGTATAGGAACATGTCTCTATTTATTATTTATGCAAGTATAATTGCATGCGCTTGAACACCAGAAGAGCGTGGAAGCTGAGAGTGCAAAAATCACCCCTCCGCTTCTCTTTCTTCTCTTTCTTACCATTGTCTCCTCTCTTTTTCTCTGCGAGGTCAGCAGAAACTTCGTAAGCAAAAGGTGAACTTTTCCCGCTGTTTATGTACTTCGGCCTGAATCTATAGCAGTACTCGCTGCATTTTCGACCGTAAGTTTGATTTTCAAACTTGTGGTACAAGACAGTGGTCTAAGCTATTTTCAGCAGTCGAATAGTGATTCAGTCTCTAATTTCGGATGACATTTTTTTTTTGGGGGGGGAATAAAAACCTTACACTGTGCATACTGCCTCATTACGCTCAAACAATGCAGAACAGACCAGTACAATATTTCTCTGTAAGTAGTGCCGGCTGCGATCTAAAACGCTGATTCGAAATAAAAATTTCAAGTAAATGTTGGTATGCATTAGCTAAAAGCATTTTAATTGCAGAGACAGGCCTGGCCGTTGGCTTGAAAGGCCAGTCAACAAGCTCCGACTTTTTTTTACCCACCCCAAAGAAGCTCGCGCATCTTTTTTACGCCTGAATAACCTCCTTCCACGCGCAGTGACGTCAACTCGGCGATCGACGACGTTGACTTCATTACTGTTTGTTGAGACCTGGTTTAGACCAATCGACGGGCTGGGTGCTGCGTCACGTCGCCGATTGCCGAGTTGATGTCACTGTGCGTGCAGGGAGGTTATTCAGGCGTAGGGAAATATGCGCGAGCTTGTTCGGGGAGTGTAAAGTTGGAGCCTGTTGACTGGCCCATTAAATGCAGACTTGCCAACTAACGAACAAATTATCTTAACGCGCGTGGCTGTCTTGTGTAAGTGGCTGGTCTGCGACTGTCCACCAGAAAAATAAATAAATAAATAAATAAATAAATAAAACGCTACATCTGACACTATACGACGTTCGAAACCTTTAGAAAGTTCTCGCAAAGAGTTTATCGTTTATAGAGGCCAGATTTATAGGCACTGAAAAGTTGGGTTTTAGGCACCAAAAATAGGCAGGCACAACGCAGTTTTAAGCCCACAAAATTGTGATTGTAAACATAACAAATATTTACAACTCAAAAATGTTTGAAATAATGTGTGCGGCACCTGTGTCTACGACAGGAAAGGAAAAATAAATGGTTCAGTTTATGACGAGTCAGTGATGGTACAAAGGCTCCAATGGTTTTGCAAAGCAATGCAATTCCCCCCTCCCCCCACAGGGCGCGCAGAACACGGTCTCTCTTTTTGTTGCCCAGCGTAGTGAGTTGAGTGTCCACCGTCGAATAAACACTCTCCTCGGTCTCTTTCTTTTCGGCGTGGCTGAGAAGTGGAGCACAGGGGCAAATAGTCAGACCGTCAATAGGCCACAAGGGCCTTTTAGTCTTGTATTAACCGTGTCTAATTACAAAGGGTCAATATTTTTCTCTGGTTGTTAACATTCTTAAGAGCCCCTCTTCGAGTTCGAGAATTTTGAGCCGGCAACAGAAATGCATGCAATAGGCGCTCACAATCTCGTCTGTCAAGATTTGCAACGCTACGCGCCCCGGAGCAACGTGAAATGTGAGGCTGAACGCCACTTGCCCTTCACCTCACGGGCGAGTGCTCCAAGATGGTGGAGGTGATGTATACTACAAAGAATGGCCCCGCGAACATAAAATTAGTACGTGACGCTGCGAGAATTATACGAGGCAACGTGGGTAATTTGTGCAATCTTTTGCTTCAATAGAATTATGAGGGTTTATAGAAATATTAAAACATACAGATTAAATTTGTGCTCGTTATTAATTTTTTAATTCACATTAAGCTAAAAGCGAAACTAAGCTGCCTCCATTTAGTTTGCGTTGGTTTTCTTGGCGTTCTCGAATTGTGCTGGTGCCAGCCCTGTATTGCTTTGCGTGTTTATGGTGTATTGTACCTTAAAGCAGTTCCAGTGGTGCGACGCTGCGTATTTTGGTAAGGATACATGTTCTATGCCAGCCTCTTCAATTTTTTTTTTGTGCGCACATGGAGGGGTCACCTTACAGAAACGGGCAGTACACTACGGAGAACGCCGAAGCGACCCACCGCCGCTTGCGAGCATGACCTGGATCAGGCATATCATGTGAATGTAACCTTGAGTGCACATGACGTGTTGATGCATCTGCGTCGTGTGATCTTCCAGCTCCGATTTGCTCCGATACCCAAGAGGGCAGGGAAGGAATCGGGGCTGCAAAGTATACACCGGACAAGGGGCAAACGTTTCAAGTTCATATCCTCGTATCATGCTTTCGCGGCTCGTAATGAAACCATTAACTTTTTTTGCGGTACAATGCTTTTATTGGGCACGCATCAACTTATAAAATTCAGTCGATGGGAAGATGTGCACGGGAGGCAATTGGAACCTTCTCAAACATTCGCTTGACGATTCCGGCACCATGTCAAACCAAAGAGGTGTCCTCGCTAAAGCTTTGCATGAAGCCAAGAAATCATCTTCGGAAGAGGAAGTACTGGAGAGTCTAGCTCAGAAGTACCTGCCACTCACAACTGTGGTCGATGGCGCCGCTTATTCAGTATACAAAGGGATGCCGAACTCTGCGCTAGATGAGCCTTTCATGGTCAGCGAAATACGACGCGTCCAACACGACGTAACTGGTAGATCGGCACCAGGCCCTGATCACACCACCAACAAGGCACTCAAAAACATAGAAGACGGGTCAATCGACTTTCCCACAGATAAGATAAATCGTATTTGGAAGGAGGGAATAGGGCCGAAGCAATGGAAGGAGGCGAAAGTAGCGCTCATCCCGAAATCTGGTAAACCACCAAGCCTGCCTGTGCCACATCTCCCTCACGCCTTGTGTAGGGAAGGTGGCTGAGCACGCCATTTTTACCAGAATTACCAAGCACATTGACACCAACGACTTCTTCTCTCACAACATGATAGGTTTCATTCCAGGCCTCTCCACCCAGGGTGCCATGAAGCTTATCAAGATCCAAATACTAGGCATATGTACCCGGGACATGAGAGCCATCCTCGGTTTGGATCTGGGGGCTTTTGATAACATCCGTCACGAGTTCATTCTCGACACCATCTCAAAACTCGACCCAGGCTCGTCCTTTCATGCTTTTATCAGACCTTTCTTGAGCAGACGACACGCTGTCCTAAAGGTTGGAGACTTGAAAACGAAGAAAAATGGGTCTGGGTGAAAGGGGCACCCCACAGGGATCAGTTATCTCGCCGCTCCTCGTCAACGTTGCAATGGTTGACCCCTCGAGAGACCTAGCCAATATCCAGGTCATTGGTCACACAGTCTAAGCGGACGACATCACTGTGTGGTGCGTGGGAGGCAGTGACGGACAAGTTGAAGCCACTCTCCAGGAAGCTCTCAATAATACAGAGCACTACAAAACGGGACTCTGGTGTTCTCCAAACAAATCAGATTTCCTTCTGTACAATCCAACTAGAAAAGGACCCAAGCCGCATAATTGGAAACCTACCACTGAAATCTACATTGATAAGAGTGGAGATCCGATTACCAAAGTCTCATCTATTCGCATCTTGGGAATGACCCTCGAAGCTGCGGGCACAAACTCTTTAACCATTCACAAGTTGTCAAAGCAGACGGATAGCATCATTGGTCTAATCAAGCGGTTAGCTATCAGAAGGCGAGGCCTGAGCGAAGACAAGCTGATACGACTCGTACACGCCTTCTATCTATGCCATTTCGCGTATGTAGCTGCTATGCACATCTGGAAGAGGGCCGAGCAAGACAAGCTAAACGCCATGATAAGTAGGGGAATCAAGAGCGCGTTCGAACTGCCAACTTGCACACGCAGTGACCGACTCCTGCAATTGGAAATTCACAATACCCTTGAAGAGATCGCAGAAGCGCAAGAAAGGGCACAGATTGTCAGACTTTCTGGCAACAGGGCGGGCAGACGACTCCTCATAGAGATGGGCGTCCCGCCCACCAAAGTTGAAGACATCTATCTGGGCCTTCCAAAACAGCAAAAAGACAATCTCATCATATCCCCCGTCCCGAGCAATATGCATCCCCAGCGCAATGAGGAAAGAAGGAAGGCCAGGGCGGTGATGCTGCTACGTCAGGCGTCCGAACTTCATAGCGGAAGCTGCTGCGTTGACGCGGCCCAATACGGCAACAGCAATTGCTTTGCAACAGTGTCAATCAACCACAGTGGTTCGACCATTAACGCTGTTTCAGTACGATGCTCATCGTCGTGTGCATCCGAGCAAGAGGCAATTGCCTGGGTGCTTTTGGAAGACAAGCATGAACATATATTCAGATGAGTGCCTTTAGCGTTGGCGCCGTGTGTAAAGAGGCCTATCACATGCTGGAGGGCTAAAATATCACCACCCACACTTTCACGTGGTTCCCCGCTCACATGAGATCCACCAGTGGAGGCCCCATACAAACACAAACGAGCTGGCCCACTCCGAGGCGCGAGGTCTCGCTTTCCGCAACAACGGAGAACTCCCCCGCCGGCCCGCAGTTGTGGAGAACATAGCTCGACCCACCACTTACAACGAAACTACCCAGAACTTTTATATCAGCAGGATAGACTTTCCTCTTCCTAACAATAAGTCAAATCAAGCGCAGGCTTTGACTCTCAGGCTACTGCAGACGGGTTCGTATTCCAGCCCGGCTTTAGCATAAAATTTATCCCTAGATTTATAATAATAGCTGTTGCAGGCACTGCAATGAATTCGCTATAGCCTACACCACATGCTCTGGCGTTGCCCCTCGCTGCGGGGCACCAACCAATCCAATGAAGAGAAGTGGTTTTTCCCTATAAAGAGCCCTGATGTTGTGGATCAACTGTGGGCTGTCCAGAAGGCCCACGATGCGGCGGTCTGGCTTGGCCAGACTGTCCCAACACGGGAGTGGCCCACTGCGTGTAGAGTCATGCACCCCATTCATGTGTCCTTGTGAAGCGTCCCTTAAGAAGTAAATGACCAAAATCATGTGGACGTAGAATTTTTTCACCAACACTTTACTTTCTCCTGATTACACTCTATAGTTTTGCATTCGTTCTTCATCGTCCAGTGGCTGCACCCACGTACCTAATGTTCACTACGCGTGCGAGCAGACACCGGGGCGATGCCACGCAGACGACGCGACGCGGATGAATACATGTGTAGAGGCTAATCGGCCTTCCTATTGGCTGCGGGGACTTGTAGCATTGAATGCTTAAAAGAACTTCTGAGATGGAGTATAGTCTGTAGCATGAACGTCATTGTATCAGGTGGTACACCATCTTGTTGTATAACAACCATGTTTTTCCACGAAATAAACTAGTTGAGAGTGCAGCGGTTTCCCTATCGCTTCTTTTGTGCCTGTCGTCGTGCACTGCTTCATATGTAATCATAGAGTACAGGTCGCAGCACAGAAAGTTCTGAAAACTCAATTTTGCCCGGTAACATCAATACCGGTCTCCAACTGTACTGGAAAGCAAAATTTGAGGTTAAATAGGGCTCATAATGGCACCGATTCTGAAATTAGTCATTTATGGGCACTATACAAACGCTATAAAAGCCCTTCTTCACTTTTAATTTATGCTCGTATATCAAAGTGATTCGATATAGGAACGCAAGAAACAAAATAGGCGTTTGCCTATAATCCGGGCTCTAATAATTAACAACGTTTCAGTTTGCTTTAGTATTAGAAACATACACACACGCACACACGCACACGGGCACATGCACACACACGCTGAGGATGACACCGCTGTCGATTTACCAAGTCCCGGATCACTCGCTGGCAGCCTGTGGACGGGCTCATAGGTTGCTACGTCACATGCACGTGATCCAAAAGTCCGGAGCCAGTCCGAGTGGCCTCGGGCCATCTGCGCGCTTGATGCTGTCTGCGTCCGCTGTGGCGTCTGCTATGCCGCCCACTCCCTTCATGGCTGTGACACAGGCCACAAAGCCGACTCGATTCCAACCTAAACAGTTAGGTGGTGAATTATACCTGATTCTGTGGTGATGCGACTTACAAGTAAGTCGCTCAAATCGTCAATTGATTCGAGAGCGCATGCATCGTAGACCCGCGTGGTCATTCCACCGCTGTTTCTCCTAGTGAGTATATTGCGTACATGTTCACCTGACCTTCGGGAATACGCACATGCTCGACGTGGCTCAGAACACTGATGACAAGAACTGGGTGCGCAAACAATGCGAAATTCATAAACATGCGAGAAGCGGACAAAAAAGCAAAGAGAGAACAACAACTGAAAATTTTCCGTGTCTAACTTAAGATAGCCGCACTGGCATGCACTTTGTGCCGTCGGCTGCCAGCTACCCGAAAGAAATCGTTCGGTCAGTCTTGGGCTGCCCGCAGGCCGCCAGGCACACGAAAAACGAACATGCGTCCGAGCGATCCCAGACCAGTCGGCGGAGCTTCCGGTTGGTCCCCGAGAAAAACGAATGCAGCGCTGGCGTTCGGGGACGTCCGGAGCCGTCCGCGACGTGTGAATCGATGAATCTCAATCCCGTAAAGGCCAGAATTATTTCGCATAAATTATGAATAAAACAAAAATAAGCTGGGGTTAAACGTGAATGCTACAATACCTGAACTTCACCGCTGTCGTCATCGGTGAGGAAGTATCGTACCACGCTCCCGTCAGCATGTCCGGAGAGGATGCCTTTGCCCGAGATGCTATGGAGAAAGATAAGTTTAACGCTGCATTTATGCTGCTGAGTTTGCCCGCATTCAGACTAATTTCACTAATTCGTTCTGGCACTCTAACGTTTCCTTTTTTCTCGTTTCCTTTACCTCAATCTGGCAGTTCTCTGTAAGAAATTAATGGCTCACTAATTAAGCTTATCTGCAGTGTCATACTTGAGTTTGTTTGGACTACTTACTCGAAGAGCCATTTATTTCCTTAACTACAGCACACTTAAACACTGTACTTACCATAGCCTCTTTATGCAAAATTATTCTTGTTTACTTATGAAGCAGTGCACGGAGACAAGCACAAAAAGAACAAAAAGGTGTCCCTTTCGTTTGTTTTGTGCTTGTCTCCATGCGCTGCTTCACAGGTAAACATGAACTATCACCAACTCACCTTATATCCAAAGTTTCTGAATATCATTATTCTAGAATTGCACGTATGCGCGCAAGCCAGCTGCGCTACGCAGCCTCTTTTGCCTCACTCTGAAGTACCTTTCACATAAAAAGTGTTAAGTCACATCTAGTGACAAATTTTTGAACTTCGTATATTCCTCAGAATTCTGTAAACATTTCTTTTTTGTAATTGTGCTTTCGAATGATTGTGACTTATGAAACATTATTTCCGCATATGATGGTTCTGCATATTTTAAGTGCCGAGCAGAAAACTTTCACAATCTACATAAAGTGAGAGATGGTGAAAGTGTTTCCCGTGAAACAGTCGATCGTACTGTATGCGTGCCAACGTGAGCAGAATAAACGTGCAACGCACTCGAACGCCGTTAAAATATAATTTATATTTTATAAAATATATTTATTCCACGTAACAATAGTGCAGTTTGCGACTGAATACGAGTAGTGCTTATTATGCTTCGTGAAACTGTCCCTCGAGCCTGGCCGTAGTACGTTCTTTTTCCACAAGGAGGTCGAGAGTCCACATATGGTGATAAGCTATCTCCAAAATAACAGCGACTACAAAAATGATCTAAAAAATTACAGCACGCAATGAGTAAACCTACTGATAAACGCACTTTATTTAACTCAGTTGTTTGGTGCCTGAATATGCTAACTGCACATAGCACCAGGCAACTCGGTTTAATCGATTGGTTTATAGCAAGTAGTACGTTACGTTTGTAAAATTTCTTCCGCGATATTGATTTTCAAACAGAAAAGGAGAAGGGGGCGCCTCCTGCATAGCGTACTTTGCCCCGTGAATATGCTACGGCACAAGAAGCCATGTTTATGGCCCATTCGCATCGGTGACTTACGGGGGTCGCACGACCGAGTTGGTGACATATAGTGGTGAATGACCACTTTGATTGAGTTCATTTGGGTATATGGTCTCTTTTTTGCATATTTCGGCCATTTTGGTGAAGTCGCGCTAGCTGGTGTGAACATCGGTTGCTGCGAATCATTTTTGTTCGCCAATCACACAAGGTCACGCAAGCTCTTCAAGTCGCTAGTGATAGCGAGTCATTAGGCTTTTGACTACCGCTATCGTAAGAAACGTGGGACTAACGCTGAATGGCTAAGTGGTCCTTAAAACTCACATAATTTAAACAATATTAAGTATCATATATGTAACCTGGCACTTTGTTATCTTTCAGATGTTCTCGATCATGCCGCCTTTAACCCATTTTTCGCTGGGGCAATGTTCAGTAACTTAAGTTGAGATTTAAACGCATAATGTCGTTAGCCAAATAGGCGGGTCAGTATTATTGCAAGCCACACGCTTTCTCACCTGCTGACCACAGAGACGACATAGGAGTCGGTGCCATATAAGGTAGACGACTTGTTCGTCTTGACGTTGGCGCTCCGTACCTGGAAACGAAATGGTGTACTTTTTTTCTTCTACGCGTCTCAGTGTCGAAACGAAATCGCAAGGGATGAGTTGAACTGTGCTGAATTAAATATAGTGATGTCCCTTGAGAATGAGTGTGTGGCAGCAATGCCTAAGGTTTCTGCGTATATATGTATATATATATATATATATATATATATATATATATATATATATATATATATATATATATATATATATATATATATATATATATATATATATATATATATATATATATATATATATATATATATATATATATATTGTCACGTTACACCGTAACTGTAACCTGTAGATAACGGCACACAAGGACGTCAAACTGATTCGAATAACGGCAATATGACTATTGTTTTTCTCTGCACACACATCTTTGTCCTCTTCTGAACCGCGGCACATACAAGCCTGCCAGAATCTGTGAAAATAATACTTTAAGAACTTGTACTAGTGGCATTACCCCCCTTCCCAAAGGATATCGTACCGATGTCACAACATAATTACCAGATGAAAAGAAAACACATACGATAAGCAGTACACAAGGGGGTGTTCACAATCACTGTAAGTCCACTCAAGGGAGTTCGACGAATAGTCAGCGTTGGTAAAATGGTTTCATCCTCGAAACATGGACGACGTGGGGCTGTTGTGAACGGCGGGATTGACGAGCCATGTCCTCGTCAAGAACCTCGTAGTTCACTTCGCTGAGACGACGGAGAACTCTATAGGAACCAAAATAGCAGCGTAACAACTTTTCCGACCGGCCCCGTTGTCGAAGGAATGTCCACAACCATACGCGTTCTCCGGGTTGGTAAGAGACATCGCGACGACGAGCGTTGTACCGCAGCGAGTCGATGCATTGTTGCTTATGAATTCGTTCGACTGCAAGCTTACGAGCTGCGTCTGCCAGTCCGATAAATTCGTTCGTCTTGACACTAGTCTGGTGTCTGTCTGGTAGAAGCATGGCATCCAGCATTGTAGTGACCTCCCTGCCGTGAAGCAACCGGAATGGTGTGAATCCAGTTGTTTCTTGCACAGCGGTGTTGTAAGCGAACGTGACGTAAGGGTTCCAGTTTTTGTGGTCTTGGTCAACGTACATGGATAGCATGTCGGCGATCGTCTTGTTTAGTCGCTCTGTAAGGTCGTTGTTTTATGGGTGGTATGCAGTAGTTTTTCGATGTACTGTGCCGCTAAGCTGCATGACGTCTTCTATCATCCGGGCGGTAAAAGCTGTGCCACGATCAGTGATGACAACTGCTGTTGCTCCATGTCGGAGGACGATATTTTTCATAAAAAAGTGGGCAGTCTCAATGGCGGTGCCACGTTGTAATGCCTTCATTTCGCAGTTGCGCGTCATGTAATCAGTAGCGACTACAATCCAGCGGTTGCCGTCACGAGACTTGGGAAAAGGTCTGAGTAGATCCACGCCAATTTGTTGGAACGGTTGTGTCGGAGGAGCGACGGACTTCAAAAGCCGGCTGGGCGCTGATGTGGTGCTTTACGGCGCTGGCACTCGTGGCACGTCTTCACGTAATGCTTCACGTATCGATTGAGCTTAGGCCAGTAGTAGTGTTGGTGAATCCGGGCCAAGGTACGTGTGAATCCTAAGTGGCCTGAGGAAGGCTCATCGTGACAGGCGGACAAGACATCGGCTGGCGGGACGACGAGCAAGTACTCAGTCGCGTAAGGGTCGAAGTTTCTTTTATAGAGGATATTTCTGCGAACGCAGAACGATGATCACGAGCGGGCGAATGCTGGTGGTGGATGCGGCGTACGGTCTTCGAGATATTCGATGAATTGTCGAAGCTAGGAATCGTTCTTCTGCTGTTCAGCCAAGACGGATACACTAACGGCGCAGAGAAAACGGCCGTAGAGATCGTGATCACCTGACGCTGTCTTAAGAAGAGCTCGGGAAAGGCAGTCCGCGTCAGTATGCTTCCGGCCAGACTTGTACACGACTGTCAAATCGAACTCCTGAAGGCGTAAGCTCCACCTGGCCAGACGTCCGGAAGTGTCTTTAAGGTTCGCCAACCAGCAGAGCGCATGATGATCGGTAACAACTCTGAACGGGCGACCATACCGGTACGGTCTGAATTTAGTTATTGCCCAGACAACAGCTAAGCACTCCTTTTCAGTGGTTGTGTAATTCGCTTCCGCAGATGATAAAATCCGGCTCGCATAAGCAATAGGGTGTTCGACGCTGCCTTGCCACTGGACGAGGACTGCACCAAGGCCGATGTTACTGGCGTCTGTGTGTAGTTCAGTGTCGGCATATTCGTCGTAGTGTCCGAGTAAGGACTCAGACTGGAGACGTTGCTGGAGCTCGGAGAAAGCGCGTGTTTGCTCAGGGCCCCACACGATGGGAACGTCGTCTTTTGTCAAACGAGTGAGGGGTTCGGCAATGTTTGCGAAATTTCGCACAAAGCGTCTGTAGTATGCGCAGAGGCCTAAAAATTGACGCACATCACGTTTGTTGGCAGGTGGTGGGAAATCTGCGACAGCCAATGTTTTGTCTGGGTCCGACCGAATACCATCAGGGCTAACAAGGTGGCCAAAGAACTTTAATTCGTTGTAACCAAAATGACATTTTTCTGGTTTCAGTGATAGGCCTGCCGTGCGAATTGCAGCAAACACAGATCTAAGTCGCTGCAAGTGCTGCTCAAACGTTTGGGAGAAGACAACGACGTCGTCTAAGTAAACAAGGCATGCTTTCTACTTGAGACCGGAGAGCACTGTATCCATCATCCTCTGGAATGTCGCAGGGGCAGAACACAGACCGAAGGGCAGCACCTTGAATTCGTACAGACCATCAGGCGTTATGAATGCTGTTTTCTCTTGGACGCGTTCATCAACTTTGATCTGCCAGTAGCTACTGCCTAAATCCATAGAGGAGAAGTATCGGGCGCGTCGGAGGCGGTCTAGTGAGTCGTCGATGCGCGGAAGCGGATAAACGCCTTTCTTTGTGACTTTGTTGAGTTTGCGGTAATCGACGCAAAATCGGAGAGTGCCGTCCTTCTTTTTCACTAGTACGATGGGGGACGACCATGGACTGTTCGAGGGTTGGATTACGCCATCTTCAAGCATCTGCTTCACTTGAGAACGTATAGCCTCTTGTTCCTTTTGTGATACTCGGTAGGCGTGCTGACGTATGGGTCGCTCAGCATGGTCAGTGACAATGCGGTGCTTTACGGTTGGCGTTTGTTTTATCTTGGATGTAGACGTGAAACAGTCGCTAAACATGCGGAGGATACAGAGGATTTGCTCTTTCTGCACACATGACAGCTTCGGAGGGACATCGACTGCATCGGCTACCGCAGTGTCACTTTCAACGGCTGCAGAAATCGGGGCTATCGTCGTACACGCTTCATCGTCAATGGATTCGAAATGAGCGATAGTTGTTCGCTTGGCCAAATGTTGGTATGTTCCACTAAAATTGGTGTCCAACAACTCAGTCATCTCACGTTTAAATTGAATCATGCCACGAGCAACGCAGATTCGCTGAGACAAGAGCACCGAAAGGTTGGCTTCAGCGATACCACTATTGTCATGGTCTATGTCGCCCTGTACAGTAACGAACATACTGGTGCGTGGCGGAAGTGTGACGGTGTCCTCGACGATGCGAAGCGCAGTCTTCTGCGGATCGGTATCTCTAGGCTTCGGGCCATAGTCGTCAGCAAACGTTACGAGGCAGTCTCGAAGATTTATAACAGCGCCGTGCTCACGAAGGAAATCCATACCAAGGATAACTTTCCGGGAGCATACGGGAAGCACAACGAAAGAAGCAATGAACGTCGACTCATAGATTTGCAGCCTTGCGGTGCATCTCCCGATTGGTGTCAAGAGATGACCACCTGCTGTCCGAAGGTTTGGTCCATGCCCCCAAGGAGTTCAGCCACAAGTTCAGCGCTGATAACTGAGTAGTAGGCGCCGGTGTCGACTAGAGCAGTCACTGGATGGTTGTCGACAAGAACGGCAGTGTCAGCAGAAACAGTTTCGTCAGCGATGTGAGGTGTCGGCTGAAAGGAATCGTCAAAGGTCGGCGGATGGGTCGAAGGAGGCTGTTTTGACGATAGCTTAACAGCGGTCCCACCCCCGAAGGCCGCTGATTCTAGTTTCCCCAGCGTGGACTTGGGGACCTAGAGGATCGTCCCGCAACAACATCGGCGAAAGAAGAGTGTCGATTCGCGGACGTAGAGCGTCGAGGAGACGGAGAGCGTGATTGGTGTCGCTGAAGATTCGGAGACGGTAGACTTTCCAAGTATTCTGCGATGGTGCGGGGTCGTTCGCCGTCCCTGGGCCGACGAGCGTCTGGCCGAAATCCAGGTAGGCCCATCTGTCTGTGCAAGCACTTCCGGTACAAGTGACCTGGCTCACCACAGTGGTAGCATAGTGGCTGATTGTCGGAAGCGCGCCACACGCTAGATTTCCGCAAATTAGGTCACGGATTCTCACATAGTGTGGCAGGCCCGAGAAGTACTGCGATCTGCATGCAAGTCGGCCGTTGGTTTTCGTAGTGCGGCAGGCCCGATAAGTGCTGCGGCGTCGGCAGGCTGATCGGTCGTTGGTTTTCATAGCGTGGCAGTCCCGAGAAGTGCTGTGGCGTCTGCAGGCTAATCAGTCGGGGGAAATAGCTGGCTGCCGGTGCAGGAGTGCGTATAGCTTCCGCGTACGTTAGCAAAGGAGCTTCGGTTGGAGGTGGCGTTAATGGTCGTACCAGCTGCCGCACCTCATCACGGACGACGTCTGTCAGAGCAGCCACTTGAGGCTGTGAATGCACTACGTGAAGCTTTTGCAGCTCGTCGCGTACAATGCTACGGACTAGCTCAGCAAGGTCTCTCACGCTCGTGACATCGGGTGTTACCAAGGGTGCTGACAGACATGCAAGGTTGTCGGACCGCTCATACTGCGAAGACCGCTGTCTTAGCATTCACTCTATTGTCGTCGCTTCACGGAGGAATTCCGCCACGGTAGCTGGTGGGTTTCGTACAAGTCCTGCAAACAGCTGCTCCTTGACACCCCGCATCATAATGCGTACCTTTTTGTCTTCCGTCATTGCAGAATCCGCTCGACGGAACAGACGAGACATCTCGTCAACGAACATGGCGACGCTTTCGTTTGGTCTTTGATTGCGAGAATTGAGGAGACGTTCGGCTTGTTCTTTCCGGTCGGCGCTACCATACGTGTTCCGCAGCTCAGTGCAAAACACCGACCAGGTTGTCAGGGCGGCCTCGTGGTTCTCGAACCAAATACGCGCTGAATCCTCCAGGTAGAAATAGACATACCGCAGTTTCCAGTGCTCGTCCCACTCGTTGGCGACGGCGACTCGATCGTATTGGTCCAGCCAGTCTTCAACGTCTTCGTAGGGCTCCCCATGGAAGGGCTCTGGGGTTCGAGGAGCTGATGGCCATGGAGCTGGCGAAGTCGCGGTCTGTTCAGTCTGGCTTGCAGTTGTCGCACTTGCCATGGTTCTGGAGCGTTCCGGAAGAGGGCCGAATAGGGGTGGTAGGCCTAGTTGCCGCCGACTGTGTCGAAGGTTGGCTGTTTCTACCAAGGCGTCGATGTTGGGGCCGAGATCTTCCTCGTGGTAACAGTGCATAGACTATTACCCAGCACCTCCACCAGTGTCACGTTACACCGTAACTGTAACCTGTAGATAATGGCACACAAGTACGTCAAACTGATTCGAACAACGACAATACGACTTTATCGTTTTTCTCTGCACGCGCATCTTCGTCCTCTTCTGAACAGTGGCACATACAAGCCTGCCAGCATCTGTGGAAATAATACTTTCAGAACTTGTACTAGTGGCAATATATATATATATATATATATATATATATATATATATATATATATATATATATATATATATATATATATATATATATATATATATATATATATATATATATATATATATATATATATATATATATATATTCCTTAATGTTCCCTTGAACGCCCGCTTGTTACGAATGCGCGCTTGACTAAGGATGCATGAAGCTTACAGGGATGCGACACGGTCATCCGGCTAACTTTATCATAGCAATTGAGAGTAGAGGACCCAATGTGGTTAATAACACATGGACACAAAATGAACACAAAATAGTTTTTAAACTTCTACCGACAGCGGCAGCCACTTTCGCCGGCTCTCTGTGACGTCATAAAATGAGGAAGCCGCTTTTGTGTCATCTGGTTTAAAATGACGTACGAAGCATGGCATTCGACATCGGCGTTTCTTACTGAAAGAGTGAGTAGTTTTCGAAGGTGCTAGTTCATTAAGTCCCCATTCTAAATGGCCGCACTAGTTTGCGTTTTAAATGCCACAATAACAATTAAATTATGAAGTTATAGATATCACTGTAGATTAGTGGCTAAGGCGTTGCGCTGCTAACCTGTAGGGCGCGGGTTTGATTTGTAGCCACGTTGACCGCATTCTGATTGCGGCGAAATGCGATCAACACGCCAAGACTTAGATGCAAGGTAAATAACCCAATGTGGCCAATATTTTTCTGTAGACTGCCGATTCTGCATTTCTCGGGTTTTTGTACGTAAAACCACGGCATCGTTCAAATGGAAGTTTTTTTACCACGTTGAATTGCGGTCAGGTCTTGTCAATCTGTTATAGGACCTGTATGAGTAAACATTAAATGCATGCCTGAAGCTTGAAACTTAAATGCCACAGCAGCCTTTTAGGTGCGTAGCGCAAATGACAGATGCGGGGCCGGTGCTACGTTACCATAAATTTGTTCTTTCGTGTAAAAAAAACCAACAACACAAAATAGTACTCGAGACGCCAAAAAGTGCTGATTGCGCGGCTATTCAGTTTTTAAAAAATGTTACAGCTATTCAAAACGCTACTCAAAAAAGTTACAGAATAATGGGAATAAATGCATAGCTTTGAATATATATCATGAGGTGATTATTTTTTGTTTCCCATCTCCGGTGTGCAGTATATACTCACGTATTAAAGCAGGACAATTTAGGGTTGAGTAAGGCAGATACTTTCGTTTTCACTGTCTTCAGCTCATTTCGGCGTCATTTCGACTCGAATGCGCAGATCAGAGCCAACATTATTTTTTAGAGACCAGATTCGTCGCGACCTGACGTAGTTATACAGAAAAATGGCACATACCAGTCGTAATACTAAAAATGTGTTGTCGCGTTTGAATCCATGAGCTCTGTAAATTCACATGTCTTTCACCTTTCTCTCTCTCTCTCTCTCTCTCTCTCTCTCCTTTTTAAAATCCAGTTGACGTAATTGGCATGTCTGATCACACCAAGCGTTTGAATATTGCGGCACTTCAAGAGGTCAAGGCTGTTGGCGTGTAAGCTTTATGTTCTGTAACCTCACGTTGGTGCTAAGCACGGAGTTATCGAAACGGACACGATTTCCACCTGTTTCTTATCGCTCGAGATTACGTTAATTACGCTGTGCGGGCTCAACAGTGACAAGCCTCTTGTGCTCACCTTTCCCTCGGCGAGTCCGAATACGATGGGGCCGTGGTGGGGCCAAGTCATGCACGTGACGGCACTCTGCTGGATGAACTTGTTGCAAATCACCTTTTTCTCGCCCCTGAAATAGATGACGTTCGACGGGATCTACGCAAGCACTTTCGCAAAGGGCACATCATAAAAAGCTAGCGTCCGCCCTTGCGTAAATGAGCCCACGAAGAACATAATAATGGCTCGACTCAATGAAAGATTCACAATCTCTAAAGAAATCTGAATGAAGGTAACAGAGGCAAACAAAATTATTACCTGCCATTGAAATAAACGACATAACAGCGTGATTAAAACCAGGACAACAAGAGAAAGCACACTACGGGACAAGCGCGTCTCCTGTGGCCTCATTTCCTGTATTGTACTAATTACCCTATTTCATTTTGTTAATTATGATGCAAGTAGCCCGCTAATATCAAGTTTTGATAGTGGCGGGGGAGAATAAGGCTAACGAAGAAGAACAGCTTTGTGAAGTGCAAACTACGAGCCCATGGCACTCGAGTCGTCTTTCCAGTAGTGCATTTCTTAAATCTCTGCATGAATTTCTTTGGTCAAAAAAAAAAAAAACTGCCTGTAATGGTGCTTACGAATGGCGGCTGCAAAAGTTGCATTTAGCATCGAAAATATTATGACAGTTTCTACGGGGCAGCCTTCAGGTTTGCTCGTAATATAATTTGTCTTCTTAGCTTTGATGGCGACTATAGTGTTTCTAGCTATTAAGTAATATTATATTCCTGTCCAAGTTTGTATTGCCGGAACATGCTACAAGCATTCATGGCGCTCACTTCAGTAATTCCAGGTTTTATAAAAGGATCAATGGTGTGAAAAAGGTATGACACTATCCATGCTATACGAACCGATTTTGAAGCAGAGTGAAATTGGTAATATTTTCGTTGCTGGTTGTTTGTCCTGCCGACTGTACTATTTCCCAGGAGATGTACTCATAAAAATAATTCAAATTCGGTGGCCGCGGGATGCGCGTGCCACAGAGCCGTCCGAGACGCTGAAAAGCGCTTGAAAGAATTGGCATTGCACTTGCCTGAGCTCGTTGGTGGCACATAGCGAGCGGTTCCAGCAACTACTTGGACGAGTACAGAAGGGGAGACGGCACATGCAAGTCCAGCGGTGTCTCATCTCTCCATATGTCCTCGTACAAGTACATAGCTGGAACCCCTCGCAATTTGAGGAACGCCATGCCGATACCACCCGAAAACATGTGCCCGTGGAGAAAAAAACGAACGGCCAAGCAGATTTCTTCGTTCCAGGTGAGGCACCAGTGTTAACTTATTCCAAGGTTATACAGAGTAAAGAGGCAACTCACAATAAAACTATACGCTTACGTATCACCTAGACAACTCCAAGACTAAACCGTCTGTCATAACTAAGTTTAGTCAGTAAAAATATACGGCAACGCGATGTTGAAAAATTATGGGGGATATTCAGAACATTCTAAGAATGTGAAGGAGAAAGCGTAGCGTTGAACCGATACTGACGCGCAATAAAGCTGTGAGCTCTTGTGGCGACGTAGTTAGGGACCCTGCATTGGAGTTTTCGAAGTGTAGTATCATTGCGAGAACCCACAGCCCATCGAGCGGAAACAGCCATATTGGGCCCGCCCTTGGCTAAAACCGTATACGCGACTCGCGTTGCCCCAGGACTGGCGTGGAGCAGCGCGTCTCACCCTTCTGCGCTGCTGCGCGCGCGAAGAGCATAAAGACGACGGGAACGCAATAGACGCGCAGCTCGTGCGCTCGTGCAGTTTACTAGTCTTGTGTAATATTTTTTTCACCTCACACAACCTTGAAAGTTCCTTTAGGTAGCATATGTGCCGTGACTCTCATTTTCATCAAACGTGAGCGCTATTTAAAAGCTGCTCAAGCACGTTGAATAAGAATCCGGGCCATGTACCTCGCCTAGGACTGGACATCCAAGGTAATTTTAAAAAGCGGCGAAAAAAAAGAGAGAAAAATAGGACGCCTCAAAAGTATTTGAAATATGCTCCTCACCACTCTTCTCCTATTTTGTAGACGTAGATGATGTTGTCAGTTTGCGCAACAGCCAACTTGGCTGAATCTGGAGAGAAGCAAATGGCCTTGACCACGTAGCTTTTCTTCCCGTACTGCGGGCAGAGCACAATAATAAGCGATGACGGCAGTGAGCAAAGCTGGGAAACACCACCAATTTAGAGAATTAAACAACCGGTAAATTCGGATATTCATGTAAACTGCATAGCAGTCGCGAGTGTAAACGAATTATAATCGGGAGCTGAGATTTCAATATGAAGACTGAGTATCGTTCGGCGACTACCCAAGAAAACTTTATCTGTGCAGTGAAGCCTTGCAAAAAATGTTTGATAAATGAAATGTTATGACATGGAACGTTGGAAAATTGAAAATATAGAAAACTGACAAAGTTAGAGTGGATCTTAAAAAGAAAAACATTTTAGAAACAGAAGAACATGACATAGAAATGAATAGAAAAATACTTTTGAATATTGTTACTGTGTCGTTAAAAGAAGTATTCATCGTAGCTTTGCGCTACAAGCAACGACTGATATGTGGTCTTTAACGTACCAAAACTACCATATGTTTATGAGAGACGCCGTAGTGGAGGGCTCCGAAAATTTTGACCACTTGGGGTTCTTTAACGTGCACCGAAATCTGAGCACACAGCTCTCAGAATTTTCGCCTTCATCTAAAACGCAGCTGCCGCCGCCGCCGGGATTCGATCCCGCGACCTGTGGGTCAGCAGCCGAGTACCTTAGCCCCTAGACCACCATGGCGGGGCTCCAAGCAAGGCAGGCCAATTTCCTCTTTTATATATGTCTATTATTATTATTATTATTATTATTATTATTATTATTATTATTATTATTATGCCTGTATTGAAGACGCGTATCATGAGAATATTAAAGGGGTCCCGATAAGGCTCCATTACAAAAATTTTGGTTACGGCATATGTGGATATTTTAAGGTACTGTCGAGAGAGCCGCGTATGTCGATATGTATTCATGTTATTTGTGATTAAAATTCATCCCTGCATAAGGCAGAGAAAAAAAGAAGACTGATATTCCCACCACCATGAGGCGAGCGTCGTTCCCTGCAGATTTATATGCCGCCTAGCTTCAAGCATAACATCCGCTTGCAACTGTCTTGTCCCGCAGCGGAGAGGTCAGTTGACTAACCCTTATCGCCTGTGGCAATATCGGCTCTCACCATACATTGAGAACATGTACCGCATTATGTGAGTGTGTATAACTTTGGCGTGTACCTTGGAGTCGATGGGCTTGGTGGAGAACTTGTCGCGGCGCTCCCCCATCTCGTCGAAAAGCAGCACGACCCTGTCCGCCGTGCAGACGGCCAATTTGATGTTGTTGGGCGACCACGCCATGGCCACCACCTTGGCTGCCCCGTCCTGCACGTAGACGAGACATGTTCACGCACACGCGTACGCGAACCCAGCAGGAAAATGCCAGCTGTTTCCGGAGCGGAATGGTTCTTACCCCCGCTGCAAGGGAAAAATTCCGAATCTGGAGAACCATTTCCAGCTAAAAACTGAGCTTGAAAGCCGATTTTCAGCTGGAAACGCGCATTCAGTTTTCATATGCACTCCTGATACCAATTCAAGTAAACTGTAAACCAGCAGAATACAAGGTGGTTGCAGCAGCTACTAAGGAGATGCATCCTGCTGGAAACAGTGCATTCAACAAGATGCAATCTGAGATCAGACAGAAAACCATAACTATACCCTGCTGGAACCAACAAAAAACCAGGAGGTGGCCTATATACTAGAACCAGCTGTACAACCAGCAAAATCGGCCGGTTACCTGCTGGTTCCATCTAAAACCTGTACAAACCAGCAGCTCTTAGCAGGAAACCAGCAGAAATTTTTCACCCTAGAACACACATTATAACAATATCGTTGGACCAGTGCTAGGCAGATTTAGCATGCAGCATACCTCAGTTGGCCCAAATGCATATGGTGCACTGTAGTTCTATGTATACAATTAACTGTATATACTAAGAGAGTCAATTCTTATATTCATGTATGCTTACACTGGTCAGATTTGTGCAATCGTGCAACAGCAAATACGTCAAACAAAGAGCTGGAGAGGAATTCACGTTTATTTAGGTATATGTGGGATTAATGTTTTTTTGTTCTTGGGGAGGGGGGCGAATATTCGAAATTCTTGAATAACCAATTGAATAGTATTTTATTCGATTCTGTTCTCGAATCGAATAGCAGATATTCGAAATACTGAATGTTATAAATACTTTTTGAATAATCAGCATTGACGGAAGAACCCTACGGGAATAAAATATACATACACGCAGCCCAAGCTCTAATGGTACTGTCGATGCTGAATCACAGACGAAGGCGCTACTGTTTAAACCCTAGTGTCTCCGAAGCAAAAGATTTCTGAGTCTGTGATATTCGCTATGTCGATTCACCAACTATAGTTCATTTTCTATAACACAGCTTCATTTTGAAGTCGGTGACGAATTTTACAGCCTTGAGTTCTGAAGTAACCGTCAACCTACAGTCGCAAAGTATTTCGTTCGTAAACTGTCACTGCTTATACGAGCTTCAATCAGTTTAAATAGCTGTGGCATTTTTGTCAGTTCAAGCCAACCGTAATGTTCCTTTGTTAATGTTTAATTGTTACTATCTTTGATTCAAACTAAATATTGCATTGTACCAATGTTTTCAAAGTGATTTCCTGACTCTTCAAAAACTTATCGAATACTATTCAATTTGTATTCCTATTTGATTCATTTTCATCATCACCCCGCCATGGTGGTCTAGTGGCTAAGGTACTCGGCTGCTGACCCGCAGGTCGCGGGTTCGATTCCCGGCTGCGGCGGCTGCATTTCCGATGGTGGCGGAAATGTTGTAGGCCCGTGTGCTCAGATTTGGGCGCACGTTAAAGAACCCCAGGTGGTCGAAATTTCCGGAGCCCTCCACTACGGCGTCTCTCATAATCATATGGTGGTTTTGGGACGTTAAACCCCACAAATCAATCAATCAAATCAATCGTTTTCATCATCACTATGTTCAGTTTTTTAAGTTCACTATTCACTCACCCTTAATTTTATTTTTAAACTGGGCTTGCTGTAGTAAGATATTTTGGTGTTATTGGTTTTTGTCTCGCTTAATATTATTTTCTCTGCGATAGGCGTTTTAGGCATGTGGGCAGGAACACATAAACTCGATTTTAAAAGTCTTTTTTTTTTTTGTTCTCCTGAAAATTGTACATACGTTCAAGTTTCACTTAGGCGTGGAACTAATCTGCCCGGAGCATTTTTTTTTTCCACATAAGTAGGCGTATAGAGTGTCACTTTTCAAATAGATATAGCGAGAACATATTATTTCGTATTCAGCTGCATCATTGCTGCAATTGTGCTGAAAAGGCGAGATGCGAGAATTTTTGCATGAATTAGTTTACTGACGAGTTGCGCAATTATTTCAATAGGTACATTTTGATATAAACTTGTACGTTACCTGAGGAGGCATAAGCGTCTTCAAGTACTTTATCTGCATGTCGAAAACTGCGTGGTCTCAAAGAGCCTGCGCGTGGTCGGCTGCGGGAGGAATTCACCGGTCCAGTTCGTATGTGTTGTTGTGGTTTTGTTTCCATGGTAACGAAACAACTCGTAATCAAGCCCTCACTAATCTGCCCGACATGTTTTTTCAGCACCACAAAAGCGACTTTATTTACTTTTTATAGATGAAAGTTAGAAAGCAACATGAAGTCCACTGTTGAGCTAACCAGATCAACCAAGAAATGAGCTACCGACATTCCCCACAGTTCCCGTTCATGGAATCGAAACTGAAACAACTTCCTACCAACATCAAAATAAAAAAATAAATACTGAGGAGGTTTAAAGATTTAGACAATGTGTAGGGATTTGCTCGTGAATAAATTTGTCGTAAAAAGACACGAATAAATTAATTTTTTTGACGTGCTTTTTCCAAAGGGCTGCTTAACTTCAAGACATGCATGGCCTTCCAGGCTCTAGACCTCAAAAAAGCCATAATAGTTGAAATTGACTGTAAAATGTTTCCAGAACAATCAGCATAATTATCGTACCTATGGTATCAATACAAGGCAGCAAATATCAAAAACCACGAAATTGTTTTGTCAGGTTTAGTGGCTTTAGCCATTGCATTCGGCAACCATGTCCAACGTTGTGGCGGGATTCTTGTTTTGAGCGTTAGAGCTTCACTGTTTTGGAACAGAGTGCTAAAATTTGCTACTGAGACTGAAATTTACGCCTGAAAAGGCAGTAATGGTGCCTTGACCAACTGGAAGAGTTTCTTTACTTTTGATTGTGACGTTCCGAAGAGGTGGAAAATGTCCGAAAGAAACCATATTTGGTTGGCGCAAACTGTGTCGGCATTGATCGTATCCTTCCTGTGCTCAATTTTCTTCTGCTTTGTAATCGCACATACTGATAGTATCGAGCGCGAACATCAGGTGCTGTAATGTGTGTTTGTTTTTATTTGTTTTCACGAATCCGGCTCTCCACAAGACTCGGTGACTATGGCATTCCGCTGCTTTTCATGAACGAAGTCTTGGCAGGTACATACTCACTGAAGCGGAGAGCTGAACAACTCGTGTGACCTCCTTTTCCTGCACAATTAAAGACTTATGTAAGAAGACAACAAAATAAGCGTAATAGTGAAACGCGATCCGCTGCCCTCTAATGCGGCTTCCCTCACAATACGCCGTGTAACGCAGCAATTTAATTTGACTTACCCGCAAACATTCAGAACAGGCCTTTTTTACCTGAAGCCAAGTAGCTAGTCAAAAGTATTTTTCGGGTGAAGGAAAGAGGGAAGCAGGAGGGAGGGGGTTCAATCATACTTAATGTATGTTCGTGTGTATAACTTGCGCAAAATTCAAAAATTTTGAGGGGGAGTGTTGAACCACTCTCCTCTTTGGGTATGCCAGCGCTGGCGCCTATATGCATTATGTCAGGGCAAGATTTTTTTTCATATGATGTAACTTTGGGCATGTTGTTATTCCATGTCAGTTTTTTGACATATCAAAACATAAAGTGTGTATTTGTACATTCAACTTAGGAAACAGCCGGAAATTAGCATCCTTCTTCGTTGTATTCCATGTTTTCTTGTGTTGTTTCTTGCACTGAAAGACTGATAAAAATTCTTGCATCCTTAGCTGTTTTCAGGAAAGTGTGCAAAACGAATCCTTGAAGCATTCATACATAGGTGAGAAACCATGCAATCGTGTGCAACTGTATTTTGTAAAGTGCATTTTTATTACGGATATGCTACATGGTTTTATGTGGAGTCGGCTGATATTCAGGTGACACTAGTGGTGTTTTCAATTTAACAGGCCTCCTGAAAGACATATGCTTCGTGGAGCCAACGGAGCTTGTTATAGACTGCAAAATTGCAAATGAGGTTTTGTTGACTGTAAGATCACATATTCTGTTTTTATCTCAGTTTTGGAACTGTAAATGTGGAAAGAGTTGTGCTGTCCTGATACTTTATTATTTTTAGGTTCTTAGGAAGTTTGATTCCACGTGCAAAGGACTTGTTGAAAGATGCCAGTCGTCCAACACTTGCGATGACAAAGAGCATCTTGATTTGATAGAGGTATGCATCCATGCTTTAAACATATCGAAGTTGTTTTGTGATCTCATTCCCTGATATTATTTATTCATGTGTATCTTCTATATTGTAACTTTAAAGATATTTCACTGATAATAAACAATTAGGAAGTTAAATAGTTCATTGTTCACGATAAAAAGTTGCCAAAAATGTATCTCTTGTGCCAAAAGCTGTTAGACGTGTATGGAGCTGAAGTACGATTTGGCAGTAATGTACTTACATGCATAGTCTGCACAGTAAACTAAGTTGACTTCCACGGGACAATTACAATATAATGAAAACTGAGACCACCACCGTAGCCTTGTGGTAGAGCATCTGACACGTTATTAAAAGGTTGCAGTTTGTTTCCTGCTGGTGGTAAGTTATCTTTTAGTTCACTTTTCTTTCTTCATATTTACATTACAGTTACTTCTAATAGCATGTCATATACTTCTCTTGGCATCACTGTTTGTTAGTTGGCATCACAATATTGTGTCTTACAAAGAAAATGAGCTCTTATATTTACACATAGCAATTGCGGTGTGTTATAGCTTTTACTAAGAGAAAGGAGAAAGTTGTGCCATTATGATGATCAGGTTTCAAGCCTATTACGGCACATCGTTGACCCTTTCAAGTGTGTGCTCCATTTTTCATAAATTGTTTATATAATCAAGAATCTTTCGAATATGATTGCTATGATGCACTGTTTTGAAAGCACAGCTTGATTTTATGCTTGTTTGCTTGCTTCGTGAGATGTGGCGATTCACACGCTATGTGAGTGAGTGCAAGTACTTGATGCAAATTGATTTTGAGGCACCAGTATTACATCTGCACGAAGTAGTGGCATTGTTACACGACATTTCTATTATGTTTCAATTTGCACTACTGAGTTGTACCAACCCTGCTACCAGCTTGCTGAAATTTGGACCGTTTTTTATATGCAAATTATACCGGGTGTCCAAAGTTAAGCTTTATGGTTTTTATAAAATTCAGCGCTGGCAAGATGATGAAAATCACCTTTTGTAGATAACTTATATAACCAAGAAGACACAAATTGAGACAATAATTATCATTTTCAGCTGTTCAATTTCCATTTGAATGAAGCAGTTCTCCAAAGAGACACAATGTGAGACATTAATTATCATTGTCATTTGTCCAATTTTCATTTTAATGAAGCAGGTACCTCGCAAGCCAGTGCCGCATCGTTCTCGTCCTCATCATCCGCCAGCATGTATCAATATGTTGACAGTGATCATATAAATTTAATTTTGTGACTAGTTGTAAGTGCTTATTGTAGATCTATTTGTGTGTTCCTGGATTCAGTTTGGAAAATTCAATTATGTTACAGTATAAAAGAAAAGTACAGGAAAAAAAAGATTACTCTTGGACGTGTTTGTTTACGTTAAATGTGGTGTTAAAGGCAAGTTACCTACAATGACGAGTGGGTCAAATCAACGAAAGGGCGAAAAATGAAGATGTGTTGAGGAATAAGTGGTTAGTGTAAAGTAGCATAAAAAATTTGTTTATTTTTTTCTAAGCTGAAGCAGTGAAATGTCATTAATTTCTCTTAATTTGTTCGAGAAATAGGATTTTGGTCACTTCTTTGATAAAAATGTAACAGCATTTTTTCTTAAAAACTGTTGATGTTAGTAATAGTGCGAAGGCCCCAAACTACGCTTGTGTATTGCAGTTTTGGTATAACCGGTTGAAAGTAACTAAATATCTTTCCATTACTGGGTAATTTTGCGTGACACATGTCTTCATATAACATTAATTCCTATAAAGCTGATGACCAAATTATGTATGAGCCTTTTAAGAATAAAGTGTTATAAGTCTGACAGATAGCTGCTTATATCATGAACAGAACATGATTTTAAATGATAGTTATAAATTAAGGGTGATTTCACAAGTATTGTTAAGAGTACCATGACATTTATTTTTATATGCATATAATTTCGTGCCTGAGCAGCTGAATGTACACGCACACTCAGGATAGTGAAACTAAACTTAGGTGCAGACATATATATAAATAAATGATATATATGTCATGGCATCAGGTACAACATTATTCACTTATTGCTGCTTCGGTGACTCAAATCATTTCGAAATTGGCATCCTCAGGGCCACTGACAGATATTTCAGTGCTGTTTGCCTTTTAGGAAACTCAAGTACGGGCATGCATTTCATACACTTAGTGGGCATGAAGTCCGATTTACAACTGCCTATCCTTGCGCGCAAGGGAATTTTTTTGACGGGCTGTAGCTGCAAGTGAAGCCAAATGATGCAACATGTTTTTATTGATTGTGAAAGCTGATGTGCAAAAGAGTAAGTGGGGAAAGTTTAACAATTATCAAAAATGTTTTTTTTTTTCAATCGTCGTCAGAACTATTTACTGTATGCTGTTTTCTTGAAGTTAGCGTGATTGTATCTCTTTATTAAAAAGCTAGTAGTATAAGCTTTGGCAGTTTCATAAATAGGCATACTGAGAATGTAATGCGAAATTTTGCTGCTCTGTTATATGCGCTTTTTTAAATAATGACCTGCAAACTAGGCAAAAAAAAAACTATATTTGGGTGATTGTTGAGAACATTCATAAAAGTATGTACATTACCCAGACAAGTAAAATATAACAACGCAAGCTGAAAGATGCATATATTTAGCTAAACAAGTTTAGGATCTGTGGCTTCAATATATTTTGTATAAATCAACACCAAAATCGAAAAATATACAGCACAGCAGGTAAGCATGGCACTCCACGTCTTTGTCATTGTTTATTTACTGTGCTTCGAAAATTTTTTTTTTCGGTAGAACCGATTGCGGATTTATTCTTTCCACTCATCAGGCAACAACATATAAAATTTTGAAATAAATTAGAGGTCGGCCTGCCATGCTTTGTTTGATCTCACGTGAAATCGCCCAGCATTAAACTAAATCATAGCGTTGCATTTGGGCTAACATGAACGTGCTTGCATACGAATCTTGTATTTATTTTTGCCTACCATATTTACTCAGATTTAACCCGAGTTTTTTTTTTTCGAGGTTTTTTGCTACCTAAAGTTGACCCTTGTTTTACAATTGAGTACAAGAAAAGCAAATTTTTTTCCTGGACGCAATGAAAATGGTACAATAGCATTAAAATTAGGCACATTAGTCAAGTAAATATATGGTAATGAGTGCACTTCGGATAAATTATAGCTGAATATTCATCCAGGGCATTCCGTAAGGCGCCTCCTTTGAATGCAATTCCTTGCTTTGGCATTGCTTCATAGTCATCGTACTTCTGATTGTAATATTATTTTATTTTTATGCAGTGTATTAACACCAAATAAGTATTTGTTTTAATTAGGAAATTTCAGCTTTTTATCTGCATTTCTAGAAAGCATCTGGGGTTGGCCTATGAAAAATAATATATTTCTGTTTATATTTCATTTCACTTACAAGATTCGTCTACGTATTAGGTATGTTAATTACGTGATAATGATGTTGCTTAGAAGTGTATAATTGAAAATTTCAAAGCAGTGATTCTTTGTGTTTCCTTGTGCAACCGAGTAAATATGTTTCAAAACATGTCTTTTATGAAATGTTTGCAGCACAAAACTCTGTATGGAGAACTTCCCAGTAAAGTGCAAGATACTCTTGGAAATCTTTCTAACCAAACTGTGCAGCTGCAGATGGTAAGCTCTAAAAAATAAAGTTAGCATGCGCTTTCTTGATGGAGAAATGCTCAACACAACATATTTGTAGTATGAGAGCTTCAGATAATTTGGTTCTTTGTTTACCTCCCCCATATGCCTGTAATAATATGGAAATTAAAAATGGTAACTATATTAATCATGGGACATCACTGTACATGATAGATACCTGTGGAGATCGGCATCCAGTAATATGCAGTCGATTAAGACCTATTTGCTGCAGTAGTACAAAAAGCCAAGCTAGTTCATAATGCATTGTAAAATAGCACAAAAAAAAACCCGTGGACACAGCAAGATTTCATGTGGTCGCACACATGTCGGACAGCCGGGACGAAGTGTAAATGTTCGACCCTGTGAACACCATTCTTCCCTAAAAGGCAAGCCTTGTAGCCACCTGCCCCTTCACTGCACAGAATGTGAATGTACTCCATTCTTTGAAGCCACCATACTATTTCAAAACGGTGATCAAACAGCTAGAGAGCTAGCTGAAGGTTTTTTCATTGCAAGTTTAGGTGATAAATGCATAAGCCATGCTTCTTTATCCCTGTCGGACAGAGAACTAGGTTTGCTGGCATCATGGCTGTGAAATGAGGCAGTGAAATTGCTGATTATGCTTACATATTTTTTTGTTGTGCTTGACGAGTCACTGACCAGTTATTTCTATGTATATGTGTTCACTTTGAAAAAATTAACATTTGAAAATATTGTCCCTATTGTCTTATTGTCATGTCCACGTGTTTTCTTGTGCTATTTTACAATGCTGTGTGCTTAAGTATCATATATTATATATCGTCCAAATTAAGAGACAGTACAGACAGTACAATGAACTGCATTCTGATCATCAGCATGTGTTGTAATATATTTGTGTGGAGATCCCAACTGGTGTACAAGATTTAGAGGGACATTGAAAAAATAACAAGCTGCATTACTTCAATTGCACTTTTGCAGTATCATAGCGGACCATTATTGAGCATGTCAGAAAGGATTGTAAGACAGAGAAGACTATCTGCACGTGCAGGATTGCATTACACTCTGAAAGAATTAAAAACAACCTAGCAAGTTTTGAGAATATTTCCCATCCTGAAAGGCCCGACCACAAGAAGGTACCCTGAAATTTGAGACGCCCATGCACCAGCACCAAGATTTGGTGGGAAAATTTAAGAAAAGGCAGTTTTCTTTTTATATTATACTGCAGTGCTTATAACAATTTTCTCCAAGATGAGAGAAGTAATATTTTTCAATACTTCACCAGTCTAAATAATTTAACTTGTCTCATTCATGTGTGCTTAACTTCGTATGAAATGTTATCTGAGATCTTAATTTTACATTCAACTGCCAGTCGTCTGCCAGCTCATCATGTCAGGGAAATGTCTACATCCTCATGTCTCCACCACTTCCTTTTTTTTTTCGCTTTTTTATTTGCGGAACACCTGTTCCCTTCTCACTCACACAATTTTTCACAGCACACCATGAAGCTTAGACAGGCTAGCGCTAAAGAAATCAGTTCTGTTCTAGCATTGAGTAAGACAAGTCCACTTGTTGAAAGGTTGGCTCAACACAACTCCTGTTTACAGATTTTTTAAATGCATAATGCATGCTATTCTTGTTCATGGTGGGCAGTGAAGTTTATGGGATATTTTTTATTAATATAGAAGCCCGCAGGTCATAGATTTAAAGAATCAATTCACTTTTTATGTTTGCACTCTTGACTTCTCACTTTCTTGTGTCAGTACTAGTTTCTTAGTAATGATCTATGAGATGCGTGCATATTAGTTTTAAACATTCCAGTATTATGGCTGCCATTGTCCTGCTTGCATGGTTGAATAAATTTTTTAAATAGTCATGCATTCTTTCTAACTGGCAGGCATGTCCTTCATACATGAATGAGATATTTGATCCTCGCCATTAGTGCTATTGTTATTTTTGTTGCATTTCGTGTGGTGGTGTTTCTGAGCAAAACTCTGAGAACAAATGAGTTATTATAAGTTGGAAGATAATGGAGTTAGGAGTAGTATGAAAAAGGAGGCCTGGCTTTCTATGTTTGCCATGCACAATGTAATTGTTGCTTTATTGTACTTTATGTGTGCTCTTCCTACAGATTTTGCTTCAGTTCCTGGATAAAGTTGATGTTGTAGCATCACATGAGAAGCAGCTTGTTGGCCTTGCAAATGTTTGTGAGAAGTTGAGAACACTTGCCATACTCCTGCAAGACTTGGATCTCAAGATGCTTATCTCAGCTCGGAAAATCTTAGTGAAGTAGGTAGTAGTGCCATGTGTTTCGTTATTTGAACTGCTTGTTTCTTGTGAAAATGATTTCCTCGTGCTAGTTTATTATCATGATTGCGTTGTTTTACTCACTACCGTATTTGAGATGAAGCTTAATGCGAAAGTATGCGAATTTGCATTATTCTTTTTAAAATTTTTAGGCCATTGTATGCAAGACGAGGGCAGTCGACTATTTGTAAAAGGGCAAAATCGCTGATCTCAACAAAATATTTTTGTTTCCTGCTAAGTACGATACAAAGGGCTTGATAGGAAGATGTACTATTGTGTTAGCTTGCCACCTTTCTTGTTGAGAAAAGATATTTCATGGGTATAAGATGGAAATATGAACATTGCAGCCAAATTTTGGAGTTTTCCATGATGCGTGGAGTTCTCAAGCACATTATAAAGTTTGCCTCTTAGTAAACACCTGCATTTCAAACAGGTTTACTCCCATTTGTGAGTTGGTGTCAACAGCTGTTCACTGATAAAGTCAAGCAGGTTCCCACAGAAAGCTGCCATTGGCTGATAGTTGACATTAGGCATGGAGGGATGTTTCGATGAGTGTGCTGCTATCTGTAGTTAATCATCTTCAGCCTGACTACGCTCACTGCAGAGCAAAGGCCTCTCTCGTCATCCACCATTCAACTTGGTCTTGTGCTTTCTGCTGCCACGTTATACCTGCGAGGTTTTTAATCTCATCGGCCCACCTAACTTTCTGTCTAATCCAGTCAGTTACCCTTAATGACCAGCGCTCATCCTGCTTATGTGCTACGCGCCCGCCCCATGTCCATTTCTTCTTCTTAATTTCAACTATGATATCCTTAAGCCCGGTTTGTTCCCTGACTCACTCTGCTCTCTTCTTGTCTGTTAAGGTTACACCAATCATTTTCTTTTCCATCGCTAGCTGCTTCATCCTCAATTTGAGCTAAACCCTCTTTGTAAGCCTCCAGGTTTCTGCTCCGTAGGCAAGTACTGGCCAGATGCAGCTCTTATATACCTTCCTTTTGAAGGTTAGGGGCAGATTACTATTAAATTTATGATCTGAGAATACTTGCCAAATGTGATCCACCCTTCCCTTATTTTTCTAGTTTTTTCACTCTCATGGTTATTCACCCCATGTAAACATGGGGTGAATAACATTGGAGAGATCGTGTCTCCCTACCTTACACCCTTCTTTATTGGGATTCTGTCGCTTTCTTTATGTAGAACTATGGTGGCTGTGGATCCACTAAAGCTTTGTTTCAATATGTTTATGTAGGGTTCGTCAATGCCCTAATTCTGTAGTGCCTGCATTACTGCTGATGTCTCAACTGAGTCAAACGCCTTAATATTAAAGCAATTAACTGAAAAGAATGTGGTAGTATAAAGTTTACATTCTGAATTTTGATTAGGATTGCCACTTTACAAAAAACTGACTGTTTTCTACTCTCCCTTTGGTGTACCACCCACTAGGTATGAAAGGTTTGTGGCACCACACTTTTCTTTAGAATGGAAGGCATTCATGGGTTATGGAAAAAGAGAACGTTATGCTTATAGTATCTCTGCTTTTAGTCGGTCTCCTATTTTTAAAAAGTTATCTTGGAAATACTATATGTCTGGGTGGTACTTGACACATTTTAAAGCATTCTTGTGGCCGATTCAGAGTGGTTTTAAAAAAGGTAGTTCAGGGCACCTTCAAGTTCATTTTGCTTGGCACAAAATAAAAAATAAATATACATTGCATGAATGTTGAGACTCAAGTATGTAGGTTACCATAGTAAGCTTGTTAGCATATATTTTAAGAAATGGTCAGACGCAAATATCTTGATCAGTAACAATGATCATGACGTAGGCCATTTGTGCATGCCTTCGATTTGTGTAATGCTGTTTTCTCAGGATCAGATGGACAGCTGATTGAATCAACATGCCTCAATGTCACTGAATCAAGCCGCAGTCATGAATACTACAGACCAGTTTCATGTGGTGGGATTTGTAGCAACTTAGCTATGTCCTGCTTCTTGTTTCACCAAGACAGCATTCCATCCTGTTGCAGGAATCTAGCTGTGCAGTATAGGCACTGGTGCTGTAATAAACGTCCAGCTTCAGGTATTCATTTCAGTACTGCTTCTTAGATTCAAATAAATATGTGCTTTTGGCATTCTTTATGCAACATACCAAGCAAATGACATACAACTAAAACAAACAGACATTTATAGTAGTTAGAGGGCATTATTAAACTTGGTATATTAAGCGGCCCAAATGGAATAAAAAAAGTGCAAATCAAAGTTACACCACTGCACATAAACAAGTGCCCATTTTTATTCTGCATATTTATAGGTCACTCAAAGTTCACTGGATTAAGAGCATACTATACATACTGCATTGCACAATGAAAATTGTGTATTTCGAAGTGATAACATATAGACGAAAAAAATGACCGGCAAGGATAAATGTCAGTAGTGACACATCCAAGCTTTCATACGTGGCCCTTGAACACTGTGCACTTTCTTGGTCCTTCATAAAGAATTCAATGTTTGAAAGGTGATTATTCGTGACTGAATGTGCCTACATTCATTCCTGAATGCACATGGTACAGTACGGAGGCTTGGAGGATCTGTTATGCCACTGAGGTAACGAAAAATAAGAAACTCAAAGGCTGGCATGACTTCCCACGACCTTTTTTCTTCAGAAACGGAGCAAGGGCTATCGTGTGACCAGTGTCGAGCTCAAACCTCCTCTCCTCCTTTGTCCTAACTCGCCAGTACACATGTTTGTAATAAGACCACTTGTGTACATGTAGCCTCATCATGCCTTCTAAACTGGAGTCTATCGTTGGTTTTATTTCACTTGCTTGTTTCTTTCCTGAATTGTATTTTGTTGAATACTTCTTTCAAAAGTGCTTCAGACAGACGATAAATTTATCCCTTGAACATAAAAAGGCATATGGTGAGTGAACTTAGCACATTGTTTTAAAGATTGTTTCATAATACGTTATCACTTTTATTCTATCCTAGGAACCTCCTTCAGTACAGGGATTGTTTGAAACGCAGATTTAAAATTGATGCTGCTGTGACAGATCTCTGCTCATATGTGACTAACTGGTTGCTAAAGCTGGAGAAAATGGAACCTGCAAAGGTATTTTAAAACCCTCTTCTTTGTCTTCAATGTGTCTTTTATTCATGTAACCTACAAATGATGCGTGATGTGTTATACACATATAGTGCACACAAGGACAAGATACAACAAGAACTAATGCACTGATTTTGTCAGTGGTGTTTTCAGGATATTATTTCAGGCGGGTGTTGTGGTGCAAGTGTCTGTATGTGCACATATTCGTATAGACAGTGTGTTTCAAATAATGTGTCTGAAAATAATAAAAATAAGCAAATTGGAATATTTGATTGTGGCCTTTATAATAGCTTTTCATGTGGTGGGAGACATCTTCTGAAGTTACTTACTTAAGTAAATGAATTAAAGTTTTTCTTAGCAGAGACAGGCGGTCAGGGAAAATGGGAGAATTGCTGTCTTTTATGCAAAGAGGCCTTGTCAACTTTATGTTTTCAAAATTTTGTTTCTGCTACTTATTAGAAAGGAACTTGAAGCAAATTCATTAGCAAAATTGAAACTGTAGCTTTAATATGTGCAACTAGCAGACGACCAGAATGACCTCACTGTTCAAGACTGTTTGCAGTGGTATTACTTCTGCATTTGTTAACGTACTTCTGCCATAAATGCTCTAATCACAAACGAAACCCATATGACCATGAAGAAAAGTCAATCAATGGTTGGTAGAATGACGCTCAGTCATTCTGTACATTTCGAAAGAGTGTGGCAGTTGCACTCTTCAAAGTTTGTTTCAGTTTCACTAGCGATATTGGTCAGATTTCATTATTTGTTAATAATAGCCAGTGGCTGCTTTTGCACAATCTGAAAGCAGCAATCACAGGAAGGGCTGCAATTTTCACATTTGACCTGACAGCCTGTCTCCGCTAATTGAAAAATTATTTAACTTATTTTTTTAATTACTGCTGTTATTGATACCTCTACTCGTCTTGGGATGCCTGCCACCTCATAAGGCAGTGTGGAAGTATCTCATTTTCCTCAATTTCGTGGATTTTCAGACACGTTTTCTTGAAACGCCACGTATACACTCAAACTTTCATACTTTGGAGGGTTGTATCTCCTTCTTCTGGCTACATCTGTGCCTTCGACTATGAGTGTGCTATATGTTGGAAATTATTCACCATCAGCCTGCCAGAGACACCAATCCAGAGTGCATCCAACATTTTTTTACGTTTTCACTTTACAGTAAAAGTTCTTTTTACTTTCAACTTACAAAAAAATTGCACTAAATCATTCAAAGATGGATGTCATAGTAACAATCAAATACACTCTTGTGTAGAATGAAGCTTCCTAAAGTGCCGAACTTTGCACTGCCTATGTTCTTTAGCTCAGAAAGAAACATCACTGTTATATCAGGCTTTAACAAAGGTTTGAAGCAATATTTACGAAATCTCTCTTTAAAATAATTAATGTTTTTTTTAATGTCATAGTTACAGAGGGTGGGTGATGAAGGATCAGTTAGACATGGTTACTTCTCAGTAAGTAATGTAATTTCTTTATGTTAAAATACACATTCAATCTCTAGGCCTCACTATAATTGAGAAATTGAAGCTAGCTTTATCCACATGGCCTTACCAACTTCTGGATCTATAAAAAATATAACTGCCCTTGCAACTGTAGTACAGCAGTATCAGAACTGAAGCAAGACAATTTAGGGCTAAGTAACGCACATACTTTAATTCCCACCGTCCTGAGTTTGGGTCATATTTGCATAACTTTCACTTGAACATGTAGATGAAAGCCAATGTTATCTTTAGAGACCATATTTATCCCAATGTGACGTAGTTATCCTGAGTAATTGCGGATAACAGTTGTACCAAAAAATTTTGTCTCGTGTTTGAGTCCGTGAGTGTCGTACATGCTATCTGCCTGCAGCCTACTGATATAGTTTGTAAAGGTTTAAACGGCACGACGAAGACGTTACAAAAAAAAAAGAATCCATGCGCACACACAAATGTGTATGTTTCTGCTTTCGTCTTGTCTTCGTCACGCAGTTTAAACCTTTACGATACCATGGACCAACTAGCCCAACAACATTGCTTGGTATACTTTCGACTGCATGCCTATTCAGCATCCGAGATTGCTTGAAAGGGCATGTGGGAACAGCTTGCTCCCATTTCTAAACTACAAAGAAGTTCATAAGTATATGTAGTAACAGTTAATTAACCTTTCCACTGCACCACGATCACTGCCAGTTTTTTTTTTTTTCATCTTTTGCATGTTAGGCAGTAAGCATGTGGGAGCAATGCAGTAGGTTGTTCTTCAGCAAGTGTAAACATTTTAATGGGGATTATCTCATCAAATACAGAAGTCACAGCTTTGCCGCAAGGGCGAAGCGATGAACGCGATAGCAACAAATGGGAAGGTCGCAAGCAGAATGGGAAGCAGATCAAAACGTGCCCCGTGTTTCTCACGCACAAATAACGCACGAAACGTACTCACAAGTACAGATGCACGCAAATAAGAATCTCAGTTGTTACTTAGCTGTGTCTGAAAAGCACGCACTTTTGCAAACGGAGACTTCAATGATTGCAGTGACCTTTGTGTGCCTGGTAACTACAACAGAATTGTTCTAGGTAAAGTCCGAGGCCAGCCAAAATGCACGATCCTCCCTTCCCCCCCATCGCGAGATACAAAAGTCACAAAAGGGCGCGCGAGGGAGCATCACTCCTCTCCTCTAAGCGGGGCAATGTACGCATGGGAGATCACAGCGCGCATTGCCGCGCGATGTGGTGACGCGCGCTCATTGCACCGTTTTTGGTAATGCTGCAAACACGATAATTCCCCCCCTCCGAAATGCCCGTCAGCAGCAGGAAGTGGTAGATATAAGTAGCTTGCCATATTTGAACAGTGGAGGATGTGCTCCTCGGTGGCTCAGTGTTTAACGCCTCGCACTCAGGTTTCAGAGAACTCAAGTTCTGTTCCAAGCGCTGGACTTTTTTTCTTGTTTTGTTTTTCTTTTCTTGCATTTTCATATATAACGTATACATATACAGTGACTGACGGAGATGCCGACACCGGCGGCAAAATACAGTCGAGAGTGTCCATGCGATGTCGTGGTTTCGGTTCCGGTTTTGGAACCGGTCGGCTGACCTCTCGGGGGCGTTGTACATGTGTATATATAGTGATGTTTATGTATATAAAAAGAGTTCCTGCTTGGCTACTAGCTGCTGCATACTTCTTGTTGGCTGGCGTCTCAGTGTGGTGCCCTGTGTTCTCCGTGCGGCGTACATGCCGCACGATACTACATTTTGGCGATGAGGATCTGCAATCCATGAGCATCAGGCGATAAGATGAGGATTCAGCCTTCTTCCTCGTGCTGTCGACTCAGCACCCATGCAAGCTGTCCCACCGGTACTGTATTTCCTGCATCCATTTCTACTTTTCTACACTTTCCGTGCAAGTCCGGTCACGAGGCCTAACGACGTGCATGTCTCTTTTGAATTGCCTTCTCAACGCTCTCTTCCGCGATCATGAATGCGACTATCCCTTCGCCTCCGTTTTTTCAGTGTCCCGGTGTTACAAGCTGCCACTCTAGCGTCGCCAGCGTGAAGTCGGCGACGGGAATGACAGCAGGTTGGTTCGTTCCGTACGCAAGCAGAGACAGTGAAGAGATCAGAGACGTGAGAAAACAAAACAAACTTTACTCTGGTGATATCGCAGCACACGGGATCTAATACAACACTTCAATACAACTAACAAAATACATCGACACTTGATACAACTAAAGAAGTATATAACAGAAACAAGAAATCAGCTTACGAGAGAGAACTATTACAAACTACACAAACTAACAAGAATAGAACGATGGAGGAGAAGGTTCGAAGATATAAACAGGTGAAGGCCTACGTGTGATGACCGGCAGCGTTGTGTCCCCGACGATCAGATGCGAGAAGTTGAAGAGAATTCTGGCACGACTGCGATGTCGGCGGTGTTGCAACGCTGGTGGCTCCGGGAGGCTAGTGCTTGCAGGTGACTTCGAGCAGGTTGAGCTAACTCGAGGCGAAGTCCCGATGTCTACGTTGCAGACGTTAATATCGCGTCACAACTAGACGAACGGCTAAGTTTAGGTGGCCAGCCGATACAGAGCCACACTAAAAACTTCTAGAAGAGATGCTTGTTGATCTGTTTCTACACCATCTTGGTCAGCGACTAGTCTGCCTAGCAGGGCAAAATCCTGCGCTTAAATCCCCCTCGTGTCTCCTCGCTCTCTTCTTTGGGGACAAGAGACCTCTACCTGGGTCCAATCATGCGCGTTTAATTGATGGGAAACTCCGCCCCAAAAATATTTTGGACCCCACCCCCTTTTTAATTGGGAGAGGGCTGTCAACTAGCGAGAGTGACAACCTGTCGGGTTGTTGTCATACGGCTTGGCCACTAGAGCGTTTCTCACGCTTTTCCCCATGGGAACGGTCAAACGTTTGCCTCTCAGCCGGGCGTCTCGTAGTCTAATCCTCGTTCGGGGTATACCGCGGCCTTCTACGACCTTGCAGACGCCGCTACAGTTACAAAAGGATTAACCGTCGGCGGCGACGTTCTAAGAAGAGCACCCCATTCTGCACTTCTCGGCTGCCTTTCATGCGCCGCCGTTTCTCACGGCCAGTCGGGGAGTACGGCGCCCGTTAATTGCCGTGACGCGGTGTCGCCAAAGATGGCCGTCCGTGACATTGCCCCCCATTTTCAGAATGTTATTCATAACATTTGTTCACACGGAGGGGAATTTTTCGACAACAAGGAACAAAACACCACCAACAAGGGAGACATGAGGGCTGTCCCTCTCATACACAACATAACTAGGCAGAGTGCATCAAAGTAACAACAAAAGAAACAAACAAACAAATTGTTAAAGTACCAGCTTCAGTTACACGCAACAATATCAATGCGCCATACAAACAAGAAGAGGAAATAGCCGTGTACGGCAGCCGTCAATACAGCATACACTGCACGAATGTACACTACGAAACAAAACGGAACCGTTGTGCTCCTCTACTGTAGTGCAATCCTTCAATGTG